CCAGCGTGTGAACCAGACTGGAATCAATAATTAGAATTGTGAAATACAAAAATTTTAATGGAATTCTGCTTAGAATGACAAACCGGCAGATTACAATTCAAAATATTTTTCATAAAACTTAAAAAAAGTGAGAAGGATGTTTGACTTACGAAAGTGTCTCCCCATCCAGCAGCCCAGACAGCTTGGTTGTCAGCGGGGAAGTAGTTGGCACCAGCGATGGATGCGGCGCGGACATTGTTGTTGAAGGTGAAGGTGGTGGCGGAGCGCAGGATAGCGATGTCGTTGTTGTAAATTGCTCCTACGTTGTATTGAGGGTGAACGATGTTCTGAGCAACGTTGTGAACAACACCACCGCTGTTAGCCCAGGTGGAGCCAACACGGATGCGCCATCTGCCTACGGCGTCACCACTACAAAGAATATTTTTTAGAAATTGCTGTGCAGCTGAATATGCATAATATATTCCATGCTGTTTAACCTTTAAGCAATTCCTAATACCAAATTGCAAAATACATACACTGTGCAGTGAGCAGCGGTAAGGATGGAACGGTTGTTGAGGATGGTACCACCGCAGTTCTGCCAGTAGCTACTCCAGTCCCGTGTGTACAGCAGAGAAGCAATGGTGGGGTACTGGTCGATGGTGGTGACCGATCCTCCGACAATCCTTTGGGACCGGGATGGAACGGCTGAAACCAAATTGACCAAATTGTGTTATCAATATTGTTTTACTTTTTATGATTATTAAAATTGTTTTTATTTTGAATGACTTTCAAAGGTGCAATAAAAAATGAGGCAGGGTGGAATCAGAAACACAGAAAGATACAGTTTTATAAAATTAATCATAATTATTCTGGGACAATTATTACCCGTCAAGCCAGAGCAAAAATGCGAGAGCACTGCTCAAAACTAAGGAAATTAAAAAAAAAGTAAATGAATTTAAATACAAGAACTCCACATACCTGCCACGGCCGCTAGGCACAGGGCTAGGATAGCTAGGACACGCATGTTGTTATTGACTCGTTGAGAGGACAATGATGTTTGATTTAGATGATCCGATATTTATATGAACGCAAATAGATTATTTTTTCCCAAACGTATTATTTATTTATCAGTAGCTTATCATCTGTTTCTATAAATACGCAATTAAAGAAGATAGTACATGAACACCAAAAGGACATAAATTATTAAAAAATATTAGCGTGCTAGAAATTCTCTTCGATCTTTTGATGTACCACCCATCAAAATATTTTATAATTTTATTTATCTAACAAATGTGTTAGTAGTAGTAAGCGCATAACTGAACAGCCATAGCTGGTCAAATTTTACCATGCCTTTTTTTGTTTGTTGTTGTCAAGAAAAGGTTCTTATGAAAGAAAATCTTAGAAAACTAAAGAGAAAATTGAGAATTATCAAGTGTTGTAGGTAGCGAGTGGTTAAATAGTCAGTTTGCTTGTTTTATAAAATAATTCTGTAACTGGTTAACTAATAAACAATTTTATAGAAAAATCTGGATGGGTTTGGCTGGTTACGTTTTACACAGATGACAGTTAATATCCACGATTTTTAACCGTCAAAATTATCTTTATTCCGTCTATCATAATTCGGATAGTATGTAAATCTCTTAATATCGTTGTATATTTTCGTGTTATCATTTCGTTAGTACAAAAAAATTATCCAATTGCCTTTGAATTTTCATCAAACAGATAGGAGTGGAGAAACCCATTTAGATCATAAAGATTGCAGCTGAAAATCAGGAAAATCCTAATAACCAGAGAATTTCACCAGTCATCGACTTGACACATAATTGGGCGTCATACTTCGTATCATAGTTATGAGCGGATCGTGTGTTTTGACCTGCAACAATTATATTTTTAAATATTATCTTAATTTATTATGTAGTAATAATTTTTACAAATTTATTTTTAGAGTTTTTTAAATAATTATTTTAAGATTATTACTAGCAGTGAAAAGTGGTGAATAGTGCAAGTTTTGTTAATGAATAAAAATGTTTACTACTCTAATTATTTGATTTTTACATCTACAGATTCGGGAATTGTGTCTTTTTACAAACTTAACGTCAAGCCTTACACGGCATTTAAATAATGAGTTTTCGTGTTAATATAATATTAATACCCATTTAATAATTGTTGTTTCTTTTTCATCTATTTTTTTTTTATTCTTTATTTTATGGAACTTTTGAACACATTTCACGTCAGTCCCATCATAAAAGAATCTTAAGTGAACTAACAAAATAAACAAACTTAACAAAAACAGTGCTTTAAATATTAACTTGTCGTAATAAAATAAACAATACGTTTTAATTTAGCGAAATGTATTTTATTTTTAATGACAACCAAACCACACACGCAGTTGTTTTTATCTTATTTTTTTCTTAAGGAAAAAGAGACAATGCTAATAGACAAGTACATTGTAATTTAAGGTGGAATTACATTGTTATATTTTAACACACCCCCTCAATGTAATTGCACCCCTTAATGTAACATAAACTAATTAACAAAAATAGTATTCTCAATTTACTGTTTTTTAAGTAACATAAACAACCAGTAAACATAAAAACTTTTAACCTAATAATAACCTATGTAACAATTATACCATCTGTAATTTTTCCAAGCCACATTTTCTTAAAAAACGAATTATTAATTCATAACTTACAGTTTTTGTTAGAATATCTGCAGGCTGATCACTTGTTTTGATATACTTGAGACACAATCTTTTATTATTTATTAATTCTTTTATAAAGTGATAGCGTATATCAATATGTTTCAATCTTTTTATAGTGTCAGTACAGGCAACAGATATAGCTGACTGATTATCACAATAGATAGTTATTGGACAGACACTATTTATATTAAAATCATTTAACAAATTACTCAGCCAGCAGGCCTCACTGGCCGCTGTACTAATGGCAACATATTCCGACTCTGTAGAAGACAAACTTACAGACACCTGTTTCTTTGAACACCAGGAAACTAAACAATCAAAAATTTAAACAGAGCCTGTAGTTTATCTTCTATCGTCGAGATCACCTCCCCAGTCTGCATCACAGTACCCCTCCAAAACATTATCTGTTGTACATTTATAAACTAACTTATAGTCTAGAGTATGTTTCACATAACGTAATACTCTTTTCAAAGCACTTAACAAAGTATCATTTGCACATTTTTGATATCTGCTCAATAAAGATACAGCGAAACATAGGTCAGGCCTAGTGCCAGATACAGCATACATTAGACTCCCTATTATTTGCTGACATAACTTTACAATGTTTTTGTCCACTGGACTATTGTGGTTTTGAAAAAGCTTTAAATTAATGTTTTGATCTAAAGGTGTGGACATAGGTTTACAATTTTCCATTCCAAATTTTTTAAGAACTTTTTCTAAATACTCTCTTTGGCTTAATTCAGTTATTCCTCTATCTAAATTTTGCTTTATATTTATACCTAAGTAATCTGTTACAAAACCTAAATCTTTCATTTTAAATTTCTGACTTAGTACACTTTTCAACTGTTTAACTAAAGCAATATTTGTTCCAAAGATTAGAACATCATCAACATATAATAGTAAATAAACCTGGTCATTATCGATACACTTTGTATATAGACAAGAATCACAATTAGATCTAACAAAACCTTCATTAAGCATAACACTATTAAACTTTATATTCCAACATTTAGGGGAATTTTTCAGGCCATAAAGTGATTTATTTAATTTCACAATGTTGCTATCAACTCCTTTGCGAGCATAACTGCTTCGCAGAAGGAGGTGATAGCTTCCCAGTTCCTCTCACGCTGCACCATGGCCTCGATTAAGGCCGGGCGCGAGAGGTCGCCACCGCCGATCGCTTCCTTGAGAACACGGCAGTGCTCAGCCCAAGCAGGGCACTCCGCCACTTCTGTCTCTTCTCAGTTCTTAGTTGAGTATCGTTTGACAGTCAATAAAAGTAATTTTGCTGGTTATTGTTACATTGTCGTAGCATATATACTTTGCCAGCAGGTTTCGCAAGCAACAATGATGTAACTAACTCTGGGTTGGAGCAAAAGAAAGAAAAGGAATTAAAGTCATTAACAGTCTGACACTCAATCTCGCCCAACTAAGGGCGGGGAAATACATGGAATGACTTTTCCCCTGAAGTACTTAAAACTACTTTTTAATAAATGCCATCTGTTGGAATTTGCTAGAACTATCTCGAAACACACAAAATGAGTTACTTAGCTTCTATATCTATATCTATATCTATATGTATATCTATATCTATACTTATAATAAATCGGTAGAGAAGTCAATTCTGTACATGAAATATATTTTCAAAATAACTATCAGGATTACTGATCGATACTAATGCCAAAAATGCAATCTGTAAAAATTTTGTCTGTCTGTCTGTATGTCTGTATGTTGCTTATAGAAACAAAAACTTTTCGATAGATTTTAACTGAAATCGGCACAATTATTCTTTATATTCCTGGACAGGATACTTTTCATCACGCTACAATTAATGCCACCGTTATGGTTTAAGTTACATAAAAAACATATTTCACGGCAGCATGTGTCTATCTTTTATGGTTGACTTGATGACAAAAAGAAATATTTATTTTTTGTTTATTTAGTATAATTTGTCACATAGCACTTTGATTGCAAAATATTCTACATAAAAAAAAACTTAGATTAAGGTTAGTAAGAGGGAGAGAATGAACCTTGAGATTAATAAAATCAATAAACATTTTATTTCAGAGAAAAAGTGTCCTATACTCTTAGAAAAGGCAAAAAGTTCTTAAACTTTCCAGATGAATATTAAATATATCTTCACACGTATCTCAATTTAATTCAAGTTTGAACTTATAGGAAGAAACAGGACTAGAACACTCTTAAATAATTATACGGATTGACCCAATGTAGGCGAAATTAAAAAAAAAAGAGAAAATATTTTTACAGTTTTATTTCGCCCTTAATTATAACATCCTGCAGAAAACTGAGAAAACCAGTTTTATGCGTTGGCGGCAATCCAGGAGGAGTAGCGAGATACGCGAGCGTTGACACCAGAGTATCTAGCTTCAGCACAGCCAATACCAAAAGAGCAGACACCAACAACGATGCCGTTGTGGTAGAGAGGGCCACCAGAGTCACCCTGGCACTGGTCGCGACCACCGTTGGGCCATCCAGAGCACAACATGTTGTCGGTGATTGAATAGATAGTGTTGAGGTACTGGTTTCTGCAAGTGTTCTGGTTGATGACTACAACCTGGACGTGACGGAGTTGCTCGGAGCCAGCGTGTGAACCAGACTGGAATCAATAATTAGAATTGTGAGATACAAAAATCTGAATGGATTTCTGCTTAGAATGACAAACAGGCAGATTACAATACAAAATATTTATCATAAAATTTGAAAAAGTGAGAAGGATGTTTGACTTACAAAAGTGTCTCCCCATCCAGCAGCCCAAACAGCTTGGTTATCAGCGGGGAAGTAGTTGGCACCAGCGATGGATGCGGCGCGGACATTGTTGTTGAAGGTGAAGGTGGTGGCGGAGCGCAGGATAGCGATGTCGTTGTTGTAAATTGCTCCTACGTTGTATTGAGGGTGAACGATGTTCTGAGCAACGTTGTGAACAACACCACCGCTGTTAGCCCAGGTGGAGCCAACACGGATGCGCCATCTGCCTACGGCGTCACCACTGCAAAGGATATTTTTTTATAAATTGCTGTGCAGCTGAATATGCATAATTTTTTCCATGCTGTTTAACTTTTAACCAATTCCTAATACCAAATTGCAAAATACATACACTGTGCAGTGAGCAGCGGTAAGGATGGAACGGTTGTTGAGGATGGTACCACCGCAGTTTTGCCAGTAGCTACTCCAGTTCCATGTGTACAGCAGAGAAGCAATGGTGGGGTACTGGTCGATGGTGGTGACCGATCCTCCGACAATCCTTTGGGAACGGGATGGAACGGCTGAAACCAAATTGACCAAATTGTGTTATCAATATTGTTTGAATTGAATTGAATGACTTTGAAAAGTGCAATAAAAAATGAGGCAGGGTGGAGTCAGAAACACAGAAAGATACAGTTTTATAAAATTAATCATTATTATTCTGGGACAATTATTACCAGTCAAGCAAGAGCAAAAATGCAAGAGCACTGCTCAAAACTAAGGAAATTAAAAAAAAGTAAATGAATTTAAATACAAGAACTCCACATACCTGCCACGGCCGCTAGGCACAGGGCTAGGATAGCTAGGACACGCATGTTGTTATTGACTCGTTGAGAGGACAATGATGTTTGATTTAGAATATCCGATATTTATATGAACGCGAATAGATTATTTTTTCCCAAACGTATTATTTGTTTATCAGTAGCTTATCATCTGTTTCTATAAATACGCAATTAAAGAAGATAGTACATGAACACCAAAAGGACATAAATTATTAAAAAATATTAGCTTGCTAGAGATTCTCTTCGATCTTTTGATGTACCAGCCATCAAAATATTTTATAATTTTATTTATCTATATATTTATACTTAAAACAAATGTGTTAGTAGTAGCAAGTGCATAACTGAACAGCCATAGCTGGTCAAATTTTACCATGCCTTTTTTGTTTGTTGTTGTCAAGAAAAGGTTATTATGAAAGAAAATCTTAGAAAACTCAAGAGAAAATTGAGAATTATCAAGTGTTGTAGGTAGCGAGTGGTTAAATAGTCAGTTTGCTTGTTTTATAAAATAATTCTGTAACTGGTTAACTAATAAACAATTTTATAGAAAAATCTGGATGGGCTTGGCTGGTTACGTTTTACACAGATGACAGTTCATATCCACGATTTTTAACCGTCAAAATTATCTTTATTCCGTCTATCATAATTCGGATAGTATGTAAACCTCTTAATATCGTTGTATATTTTCGTGTTATCATTTCGTTAGTACAAAAAAATTATCCAATTGCCTTTGAATTTTCATCAAACAGATAGGAGTGGAGAAACCCATTTAGATCATAAAGATTGCAGCTGAAAATCAGGAAAATCCTAATAACCAGAGAATTTCACCAGTCATCGACTTGACACATAATTGGCGTCACACTTCGTAGGTATCATAGTTATGAGCGGATCGTGTGTTTTGTTTTGACCTGCAACAATTATTTTTTTAAATATTATCTTAATATATTATGTAGTAATAATTAAAAATGAGATTTTAGAGGTATTTAAATAAATATGTTAAGATTATTACTAGCAGTGAAAAGTGTTGAATAGTGCAAGTTTCGTTAATGAATAAAAATGTTTACTACTCTAATTATTTCATTTTTACATCTACAGATTCGGGAATTGTGTCTTTTTACAAACTTAACGTCAAGCCTTCCACGGCATTTAAATAATGAGTTTTCGTGTTAATATATTAATACCCATTTAATAATTGTTGTTTCTTTTTAATCTATCGAATTCAAATTTTACAATACGGGTAAAAAATTAATTTTATAACAACGTTAGTATTGTGATGATGAAACTATTTCAAAGTGTGACAACAGGAAACTTGTGACACTAAGTGATTTCTAAGGACTATTTGACGTCTTGTAAGTTAATATTAACTAAAATTGTCGTGTCCATTCCAATATAATGCATATAATAATACATACTATCGATAAGTGTTACCGAATTTTAAGAGATTCGATTTAATGTGAATGGATTTATAAAAAATAAAAAGTTGCGCCATATTACCGTGTGTCGTGTGTACATTTGTTCCTTGCGGGAATACAGCCCACCATGTCAACTGTGCAGTCTAATTGGCGCGTAGAAATAAATGTGTCTGTGAACGACACTACTGTTGCTAGCCTAAGTACAGCCTACACGGATACGCCATCTACTAACAGCATCACCACTGCAAAAAGAAATGTCAAAGAATTATGCTATACATTATTATGCTCTTCAAAATGAAGCCATGATATATGTACGTTGATTTCTTTAAAAAAAGTTAACTTACGCGGTGCAAAAAGCAGCTATGAGGATTGATCTGTTGTTGAAGATAGTGATACCACATGATTGTCTGAAGGTGCTGGTGACGGTTAAACAGTAGAGCAGCCTGATAGTGGGGTACTGGTCAATAGTAGTAACCGACCCACCGACGATTCCTTATAACAGCTGAAACTAAAACATATAATGTAAAGCACTTATTACGATACGCTTTAGTATTATACAAATTATACTATAATATTTATCTTTCTAAATTATATTTATTCTACAGGTAACGCGTACAAATTTGAAACTATGCAAGTATAATTACTTGTTTTTTATGTAATAACTAGCAGACCCAGCCACGCGTTACTGTGGCTAAGGTTCTTGTCGTATTACATATGGATAAATTCACTGCGTTACAAATTAAAAAAAAATTTGAGTACCCGCTTTGAAATGTCATGTTTTCTTATTTATACCTATCGCTTATTAAACATACATACAAATTTTCTTTTCATCACGTCTCATTTTTCTTCTGTAAGAATGTGCCAATTTATATTAAAAATTAAAAGGCAAAAACATATTTTAAAGAAATCTAATAAAATCAACCAGAATTTTTTACATTCATCAAGTTTAATTTTATCATTTAGGTAAAAAAAACTCAAAAAAAGCCATTTTATAAAATTTTAATACATAATATCATGAAAATTTAACTTTTTCTTTTGTGCTCAGAATGATCTTCTCGTTTTAAATGTCAACAGTAATCACCTAGCATGGTTGTGTCCCAACGCCCTTGAAATCGTTCCTCAAGCTTATTTACATCCTGGTGGAACCTCTCACCCTGCTCATCACTGACCGCACCAAGATTAGATGGAAATAAAGAAAAATGAGAACGAAGAAAGTGAATTTTTAATGACATTCTGCAACCCAACTTTTCGTATGCCTTTAACATGTCGTTAACCAGCTGTCGTGTCGTTAAATCTACGTATTAGTTTATTGCTCATCTTCATCATCATCATCATCAGTCTATGGAATTTCACTGGAGGACACAAGCCTACTATTTCTTTTACGCCTAAAGTGAGGGTAGTAGAAAAAATCATTGACTGTACCTCGAAAACTAGACGTGATGGATACCACATATGTTTGGAACATTTCATCTGTGACTCATTACCTATTCATTCCAGCTATCAGTTAAGAGGGTACCAAAATCGTGTAACGCAGTGATTATTTGCAATAAAATAATATTGTGACTATAAATTGAGATGTAAGCTATCCTATATTTCAAGTTGGATCAAAGTGCACAAAGAATGCAAATCAAATTTAAAATCGGTTTTAGTTAAGTAGTTTAGGAGCCCATCGCGGATAAACACGTGACACGAAAATTTTATATATAAAGACTAGCTTTTGCCGCCCACTACTTTGTTTACGTGAAATTGTGATTTCCTGCCGATTTTTGGTAAAAAACTAACCTATGTCCTTTCTCGAGTTTCAAACTATGTCTGTACCAAATTTCACATAAATAGGTTCAGTAGTTTATGCGTGAAGAAAAGACAGACAGACATAAATAATACAGACAGAGTTACTTTCGCATTTATAATATTAGTTTGGACCTAAAACTTGTTATATTCGGGATATATAATATAATCGTTTATGTTATATATATCATATATCTGCAAAGACCAGCATTTTTTACTTTTTGCAATCGAGTAGCGTCTTTCTCCACTGTAGGCAGAGATCGGAATATTTTCTTAGCTAGTTTTATGTTTATTGATAATAGAAATATGAAATAAGTACTAGTTTAGAGTTTATTGGCCTCACCTTATATGATAGATGTACAAATTAATTTGTTTTAGGTTAGATAACCTCAAACAATTATTAGGGCAAACAATTATTAAATATTAACATAATATTCATCCATTTAAGGTGGACAAAAAATTGATAAAAACAATGTTTATATTGCACTATGCAAGAGACTATTTTTGAAGGAAAACTTTCTATTATTCTTCTATAAGAAGCGAGATAAGCTGTAAAGGTGTTATTGACCGCTGATTCTAAGGTAAATGATAGTTTCGTTCTAAAAAGTTTCGAAAAATATTTACAAAGGAATAGTATAGATAATATAAATAAAAAAAAATAGTATTTAATTTATAAATTATTTATTGTTTATAGAAAATAATGAGTTACTCACAACACGAAGTCGCTTCGACACGGAGGCTGCTTATGGTCCCATTGTGACCTGAAACGATAAAAGCTATTCTTAGTAAATTAACGTGAAGAAGTACATAGTTAATTCCAATGAGTTCAGTAATATATAACCTATTTTTTTATGATAGGGTGAATAATCATATTTTAAACTTTTTGAAATCATTGAAAGGGTTTCATTTTAGAGCTTCCGACAAGCTGTAATAACTATCTGTTAAGGGGTCTATAACTGTACCTAAATTCAATTGGGTAGTTTCCTAGGTCAAAAAAAAATTAATTCGACGTTTTAATACGATAAAATATTGAAAAATAACTATACTTTTATTCATCGATCGATCGATACATTTTAGTCAGACTTTTAATTCGATTCCTGATTTGACATTGAACACTGTCATTTTGTGAAATAATGATACCACATATAACAGTGTAGTGATGAACACAAAAATCGATAAACAATCAGTGAATCAGGTTCAGGAAGGCATTCAAAAAATTACGGCTACCGAATGGTCTAAATGTGTATCCGATGTTTTCAAAGAAGAGGAAAAAATGAGTAAGCTAGATATGTTAATTGACAATAAATATCAAAGACACAATTCATAATAAATGTTACATAGTAACGGCGATAGCGATAGCGATGACGGCGACAATTTATAAAATGTCTGTTTTATTAGTCACGTTCCTTCATGATCACATTTTTTATTAATTTCACACACAATTACAAAAGAAAAGTCTCAGATCGTTAATTAATTGTCAAAACTAAATTATCGGTTCAGAAATATATTATTTCCTGATAAACTTAGTTTACGAGAGTAAATTTATAAACGAGAGGAATCGATTCAGAAATATTCGATTTCCATATTGAATAATTTCGCAACGTCACTATTTATTACGTGTCATAACGTTTTTTTTTTTTTTTTGTGAGGGGAAAATCATCAAATGACTTCTCCCGCCCAGGGCCGGGCAGGAGGCAGTGTCAGACTCTTACTGACTAAAAACCCCCCTGTTCCTTCTCCTGCTCTGTGCCGAGGTCGCGGTGCCTCATTGCGCTTACCCCGCAACCCCGGCTGAACATCAGCCCTTTAGGGCCCCATCTGTGGTGGTCTAATGGCTCTTTGAGGTGCGCGCGGAACGCTACGCGCCGTACGCTCGGGCCTGGTTCTGGTCGGGCGGCGAGCTGCCCTTACTCGCCGACCGCAGGCCCGTGCTTACGGTGGCCGGAGATCGTCCCTTGATCCCCGACGCCCGTTGTGTCGCCAGTTGCGGCTGCTGGGGCGTGAGGAGGAAAATTGCTCCCTCACGCGGGCCGCCTCTCTCTTTGCGAGCATGACTGCTTCACAAAAGGAGGAGACGGCGTCCCAGTTCCTCTCACTCCGCACTATGGCCTCGACTAAGGCCGGGCGCGAGAGGTCGCCGCCGCCGATCACTTCCCTGAGGATACGGCGGTGCTCAGCCCAGGCAGGGCATACCGCTACCGTATGCTCCACCGTATCCTCTAGGTGATCCTCACAATGACGACACTCGGGCGTTTCTTCCCGCTGGATCCGAAACAGGAACCTACCGAAGCTGCCGTGCCCGGTAAGCACCTGCGTCAGACGGAAGGTGAGGACGCCGTGGCGTCTCTCAAGCCACTCCTCAAAGAGGGGTCTTACCGCTGCTATGGTAGCGTGCCCGGCCCTCGGTTGCGACAGTCGTTGTTTCCACTCTGACGTGTCATAACGTTGCAACACTGAAATTGTCAAATCTGGAAATGGAACTAAAATTCCGAGTATAAGTATTAGATATTTTTGAGCTAATTTTTTAAGCTATTTGACGCAAAAATGCTATGACGTCATAATTCAATGTTTCATACAATTTTCATAGAAAAGTATCGTTTTTGACTTCGGGATAAAAGTATTGAATTTGAGTAGTTGGAAACAACCGTATTGAAATATATAAAATAATGTACTCCAATGCAACATACACAGTCCAACTATGTTTACAAACTATCCAGAGGTCCTATTTGCTATAGACAAGTATTTCAAAAATGTATAGTTTACCAATGAATGCCTTCTCCGGAGAGTACTAAAGTAACAGAATATGTAAGGTTATGTTGACATTCGGGTAATAATATTTTTGTCTTTGATGCCGGTTTGCTAAGTTTTCTAAGCTTGTTTAAAAATGCACATGTAGTGTCGGTGCGTATTGTGCTTTACCCTATATTGAAACCCTTATTTCTTGATCGGATACTCACTGAAAATTATCGTAACGATTTGCAAATTCGACTTAACATTTACTTGTATGAAAGCCTTTTAACCTAGAAAACAATAAAAGCCAACCAAATACTGTTCTTACATTTCAAATAAAAAATAACAGCAAATGATCAGGTAACCATTAAAAAGCGAAAATTTAACCAACATTTTAGATTATTGAGTAAAACCAAAAAAAATTGATTCCATTATTTATTATGTACATCACAATAAGCCTTTATATTTGCCTTAATATCAGTCGTATGCATTAGCAGTTAGCCATCCAATATGGGTAGCGAGACACACGAGCGTTGGCACTAAGAAATTTGGAAAAATATTAGTAATGCTGGCTGGCAATAAAGATAATGCGATGTTTGAAAAGGAAGTATCGTATAAACATAAACAAAAATAAACTTCTTATTTCAGGAAAATTTGGTAAAATTCTTTTCTTGAGAAAGTACGCTATAAGAACAGTCACAAAGTTCTTCAACTATCCAGATTAATATTAAATAATGACTTCTCACATATTACATACCTAATTAAAGTTGTGACTTAAAAAAGAAAAAAAAACAAGTAAATTTAAATATAAATATTGCTCCAATGTAGGTGAAAATAAAAAAAAACCAAGATGAAATAGTATTTACAGTTTTATTCAGCCCTTAATTATTGCATCCTGCAGAGAATTAAGGAAAACAGCTTATGCATTAGCGGCAATCCAAGAAGAGTAGCGAGATACGCGAGCGTTGACACCAGAATATTTAGGGTCACCACAGCCAAAACCGAAAGAGCAGACACCAACAACGATGCCGTTGTGGTAGAGAGGACCACCAGAGTCACCCTGGCACTGGTCGCGACCACCAGAAGGCCAGCCAGAGCACAACATGTTGTCGTTGATTGAGAAGACCGTGTTGGCGTACTGGTTTCTGCAAGTGTTCTGGTTGATGACTACAACCTGGACATGACGGAGTTGTTCGGAGCCAGCGTCTGATCCAGACTGAAATATCAAAAATTATCCAAACTTATACACTATTTTATATTAAACATTATTTATTATCCAAATTAATATTATAAATGCGAAAGTAATTGTCTATCTGTCTATCTGTCTGACTGTCTACCAAAAATCTGTGAGAAGTCACAATTCCAGGCGAAGAAAGTCGCGGGCAAAAGCTAGGCCAAAATAATATTATGAATGCAAAAGTAACTCTATCCATTGTCTGTCTTGTCTTCACGCCTAAACTACTGAACTTGTTTTTATGAAATTTAGTACAAACATAGTTTGGAACTCGAGAAAGGACATGGGATAATTTTTAAACCAATAATCTGGAGGAAATCTCTACTCCACGCGAAGAAAGTCGCGGGCAAAGTATAGAAAATATTATAATGTACTTGTAGCAATCAAATTAGACTTACGTAAGTGTCACCCCATCCAGCAGCCCATACAGCTTGGTTGTCACCGGGCAAGTAGGTGATACCAGCGAGGGGTGCCGGACTGACATTGTTATTGAAGGTGAAGAAGGTGGCGGAGCGTAGAATAGCGATGTCGTTGTTTAACATTGCTCCTATGTTAAATTGAGGGTGGACAATGTTCTGGACAACATTGTGGACGACTCCACCACTGTTGGCCCAGGTAGAGCCTACACGAATACGCCATCTATTGACAGCGTCACCACTGCAAAATGAATATCAATATTTGTTTTAGTTTGATTTCTTGATAGGTTTTATAAATTAATACTTTATTAAACAGTACATACAAAGTGCAGTGAGCAGCAGTGAGGATGGAACGGTTGTTGATGATGGTACCACCGCAGTGTTGCCAGTAGTAGCTCCAATCACTTGAGTAGAGCAATGCAGCAATGCTGGGGTACCGGTCGATGGTAGTGACTGATCCACCAACGATCCTTTGTGAGCGGGACGGGACGGCTAGAATATGAAAATTAACAAATAAATCATTTCTTCAGAATTAATTTTGCAAGACAAGAAAGACAGAAATTGTGAATCATTACTATTTTTCACCTCGTTCTTTTCTCGACCGATGCCTAATAAAACCATTATATTATCTAAATACTCACCATGAATTATACTTTTATTTTTATTTTATGGATAATAGTTATATCAAATTGAAAGAATTTTTTTACCTGCGACCGCCGCTAAGCACAAAGCCAGAATTGCAAGGACACGCATGTTAATTGTTTACTAGGAACTTACTTATGATGATAGATTTAAACGCTCCTGTATTTATATCAATGAAAATTGATTACACTTTTATTTTGGGTTGTTTTTATTATCATGTCTATTCTCTTATCATCCTAAAGAGGATTGTAGATAATTCATAATTAGGTATGTATTCATAACATTTGTCTATAAGACACCTTTCATAATTGATTATTACTAGCATATTAAAAAAAAACTTTTTTTTAAATAACGTAGGTATGTCTTGTGGTTTATTGCTTTTCAGTTTACTAAGAAGACTACCAGAAGAGGGTAAGATTCTGCAGATATAGTCCCTGAACACCCGCAACACCAAAGAAGTTACAAGTGCGTGGACTAACATTGTGTATTACGGTTTAGTTTTTTTTATGGTATAGGTCGGCAATCGAGCAGACGGATTACCTGATGTTAAACAATCAGCGCTGCCCATGGACATCCGTATCACCCAAAAGGGTAACGAGTGCGTTGCCCTCCTTTTAGGGATAAAGGTTTCGGATATTTAAGGATTGGGAAGGGATAAGGGGAGGGGGAGGAATTGGGCTTCCGGTAACCTCACTAACACGGCGAAACACAACGCTGTGGTTGTTGCACGCTGGTTTTTTGTGAGGCCGTGGTATCACTCCGGTTAAGCCGACCCATTTCATTTTTCCCTAATTCATTTATAAAGAATCGACTCATGCTTAGAAACAGGTTCACCACCATTATAAAATACAAAATAAAAATGTAATGCCAGATGCTGAATTACTTTTTGAAAAAGAAGTTGTGTTTTGAAAAGATAAAGTATGTTTTTTCTAGACCTGAGTTTGGCAGAATATAACTGACTAAAAAACCAACCCGTTCCTTCTTCTGCTTCTGGATGGGCCAAGGTACTTTATTAGTTTTTGAAGAAGCTAATCTGCAATCCTCTTTATTGTCTCGTTATCTTTTTAAATTGGAAAATACATTTGTAAAACTAATCTTTTCTTTACTGTAGGTATAACATTTTCGCGAAACTGATAAAAACGGGTAAGTCCAGCGGAGCTTCCTCATATTCATTCATATGAATTTTTCTTCCGCTTTAATTTTTATATACATATATTTATTGACAGTAGACAAGTGATACCCGCAAGAAGTACCCCTCGCTGGTGCTAGTGCTAGTCGTAATTACTGCAATATTATGAAAAATACAAAAATCAAAATACATAAAAATAAAAATAAATAGGAAGGACTATCTTTTCATAAATAAATATTGATTATTCGTCTATTTGGATATTATTATACGTTATTATTTTTTGTGAATACTTGGAACACAAAACCTTGACAAACATCGGTTGGTGTTGCTAATTTACTTTGTGTTGTGCCCTTGTGTTGGGTAATATGTAAGTATGGGAAACAGGATTATCGATTTACAAAAATATTTCAATGATAACGGTTTGTTCTTTTCTTTCTCGTTTTTTCTTTTATGTAATAGGTCGTCAAACGAGCAGCTGGATTACTTGATGGTAAGCAATCAGCGCCGCCCATGGACACCCGCAACGAAGGAGTTACCAGTGCGTTGCCGATCTTTTAGGGATTCGGGTTTTGGAGATTTAGGGATCGGACAAAGGGAAGGATTGGGCCTCCGGTAACCTCACTCACACGGCGAAACACAACGCTGTGGTTGTTACACGCCGGTGTTCTGTGGTATGACATTTTCGTAACAATACTTTCGACATTTTCGTAACAATACTACAGACCTTGTCTGGATAATTATAAACAATTTTAGGAGCAAAAGGGGTAATAATACATATCGGAAATTGATTTTTATTTAAATTGATACCTATCAATTTAAATAAAAGACAATAATATACTATGTGTAATTTCTGTCATTCACACATATCAACCAAGTCGGCTTCACATTATTATTCCGTGTGGTCCATCTGCCATTTGTTTCATAATCAGTTGCTCCTATAAGGAAATCTGCAGACCAATTCTGCTACACAAACGATTAAGTACATTGTACAATTTAAATAAAAAGGTTATTAAAACTCGTACTAATTCAAACAACTAAACTCAATGTGACGAAAAAACCCTTCAGAAAGTAACAAAATTTTATAATAAGTCAGTTTTAGCCAAGCAGTCTGGGCATTATTGTTGGATGAAAAGGTAGACGCAGAGCAAGGGAGATATTTTGTGTAACGTTGTAAACGGCTTTACCACTGTTAGCTTAAATGAGGCCTAAATGGATAGGTCATCCTGTATCAGCGTCGTCATTCAAATAAAAAAAAATTACTATTAGCCCTATTAACCTTCAGCCGGGGTTGCAGGGTAAGCGGAATGAGGCAGACCGCGACCTCGCCCCAGAGCAGGAGAAGGAACAGGGGGGTTTTTAGTCAGTAAGAGTCTGACACTCCCTCCCGCACGGCCCTGGGCGGAAGAAGTCATTTGATGATTTTCCCCCTCACAAAAAAAGTCCTATAAACCTTTTTCAATATTGTTCAAATTACTAACTAATAAACCTTTTTCAATATTGTTCAAATTACTAACTAAGCTTTATTTCGTGTATACACGGTGCCTGCTGCGAGTATGGATCGCTAGTTGAGGATGATGAGAACATTCCATTCTTGGTAGTAAGTGATCCAGTTTTAAGTGTACAGCAGTGAAGCAATCGTGGTACCGCTCGGTTAGCAATCAACCAACGAGCTTTTGGATTCTAGATGGAACAATTTCAAAACAGAATATAATCACACACACATTGTACAAAAATCCCACATTCTCGTGCAATAAGTGTGTAAAATATTTTAATATATTACACACAACAACATATATATATACTTATAATAAATCTGTAAAGAGGTCAATTCTGTACATTATTTTCAAAATAACTAGCTATAAGTGATCGATACTGATCCCAAAAATGCAATCAGTTATTTTTTTTTCTGTCTGTTTGTCTGTATGTTCCTTACAGAAACAAAAACTACTCGACGGACTTTAACAAAACTTGGTACAATCATTATTTATATAGCGGGAGAAGTTACTCCCTTTTTAAGTTTCCGTCGCGTGTGTGGCCTTAATGGTTAAAGTTACATAGAAATTATGTATGATGGTAATATCTTTACCTATATATAAAAATTTCACGTGTTTGTCGACAATGGACTCCTAAACTACTACACCGATTTCAAATTTGATTTGCATTCCGTGTGCACTTTGATCCAACTTGAAATAAAGGATAGCTTACATCTCAATTTATAGTCACAATATTATTTTATTGCAAATGATTTGTTTGTGCAACGCGTGTCTGGGTCTACATAAAATTATCTAAAAAATAATGTTTTAAAGCATATGTCTATCTTTTATGATTAACTCACAATAGCACGTGTAACTCCTGATAGCTTAGCAGTTCGGATAATAAGCCATCGCGCCGTCGCATGTGAACACTGAATCATGCTATAAGGATTATTTTTGTGTTACGGTTGCCGTGCTCGACGCGAAGTGGTGTAAAATATAATATAATAGGTTTCAGGAAATATTTGTAATACTTACCTATTAGTTAGATCCGTACCATTCTATCTATGTTCGGACGGATAGCGGAGACTTAGTAAGTAATAGGGTTTTTATTTACCCATTGGAGATGTACCCATAAAAATGGGACGATTAATAACGAATTTTATGTATACTTCGATATTGTTATATTGCTATAGGCTCCTTTTTATCAACACAGCACGCGGGCGAAGCCGCTGGCGGAAGCTAGTTATAGAAATACAAAAAAACAAACATAAATCGCTGATGTGAACACGCTTGTTATAAAGGTACTGACTCACTTAAAGATATGATGGTGATTACTACAGATGTTCTAATAATTACATGAACGGAAATTGATTAAATTATATTGAGTTTTGGGTGTAGTGGTGGGTTTTTTTCTATCATATCAATTTTCTTATCTTCTATTTCATAACATGTTTATTTAATTTTGCAAATGCAAAGAAGAGTCATGCTTCGGCATGAAATAGCCCAAGCTAGCATTAAACAGCGCTTACGTTGAGTGAGTAAAATTACCGCACCTAACAAAATAAACTGTCAACATAAATTACCATTTCATTTCGCGAATGTTTAAAAGTTTCTAAAATGAACTGTCAGCATGAATTAAATTCTACTACTACTAAAACTACTTCTACTAGTCTATTTAATTAAATAAACCAAAACAATTTCTGCTCACTAAAATCAAAGGTACTTATAGTGATACGACCTTAACCTTATGATTACACCCAAAACTGAGATCAATAATCTAACAAACAGCTTTACAACCAGTTGTCTCAAATTGAAAAACTCATTAACATGCACGAAGAAAACATCACTTACCTATTATAGGTATAAACTTTTTTCCTAAAAAGTAAAGTTTTTTGTTAGAAAATCGAACCTTTTCAATGTAAGAAACCTAGGGTCATTAATAAGTTTATCTAGGGTATCACCTATCTAAACACTTCATATTTTTAACATCAAATCAAATCAAACCAATCAAATATTTTTTTTTATTATAAGTATTTTATTATATCTTTATCTTTATTACAAGTAGACCACAACAGGCACTTTTGAACGACAAGCATCAGTTTTCGAGTCAAGCAAAATGAGTTGCCTCGAAAATTTTGAATTAGATATTTATCATTGCGTTTATTTTTTGTTTGCTTTAAATGCGTAGTAGAGTGTCTGGCATTGGACTCAAGTTCATTAACATTTGGCCATTAATGATTGGCCTGATGATGATGAAGATGACATTGGACTAATATTATTAGGAATATCGGGTGTTACATTTAATAATTCGATCATTCGTTGTCATTTAAGCACCTATGAAGTATTACTGAGTTTAATTCCTATTATTTTAAATTGATTGTCACAAGTTCGTCCTGAACTAGATGCATTACACAACTAAACAAATATTATTACAAACTTCACCTTTTATAGTAAAATATATTTGTTAGAGAATTAAGTACATAGTCACTAGCATAGATATTGGTTAGATTAGGTTAATATACCAAAGAGGTTAGGTTTAATATACATGATGATAAAGCATCATGTATTTGGTATATTAACAGTATAACAGCTAAAAGTACAGCAACATAAGTCTGTAATATAATAGTCTTCTCATATAATATGTATTAAGAGAGAGAATAATCTCATCATCAGCCTATAAATGCCTTCTGCTGAGCACAGACCTCTTCTCACACTGAGACGGATTTTGAGCATTAATCAACACCCTCTTTGGGCTTGGCGATTTCAAACTTACAATTAGAAATTATAAGACCAGGTCATTTCACGATGTTTCCCTTCACAGTATGGCAGTGGTATCTAAATTATCATAGAAAGTATATAACTCGGAAAAAGTCACATCTGTACATGCCAGGTTCGGAGCTCATATTTTTAACCGACTTCAAAAAAAGGAGGAGGTTCTCAATTCGATTGTATTTTTTTTTTTTTTTTTTTTTATTTTTTTTTTTATGTTTGTTACCTCAGAACTCCGTCGTTTATGGACGGATTTGCAAAATTTTTTTTATGATTGAAAGGATATGCTTCCAGATTGGTCCCATTCTTTTCAAAATTGAGTTTTGATGATGGGATCCATGAGAAATCGAGGGAACTCCTCAAATATTATAGGCAACTATATAGTAATTTTAATATTTTCATAGAGCACTCAAGCATTTACAGTCAAAAAGTAATATTTGATGGGGTGGAACTGGTGAAGAAGATCAGAAATGGGTGATGAAACTTGACACTCGCATAGATATCACAATCAAGGTAGTTCAGCAACTATGAAAATGCACTGTAAACCAATGATCTTAAATAATTATGTTGGAAATGTTATCATCGAACTGATTTAATGATGATTATGGAGCTGGAAGGTAGGCACTGGAACTGCGTACCTAATTAATATATCCTAGCCGTGTTTGGGCTTGTTAGAATTGTTATAAGATGCACTTTGGCTGTAAGGTACTATTGAACTGATGTGATGATGAAGCTGGAAGGTTGGCATGGGGCCTAGTATTGTGTAAGCTTATTAGAGCTGTCAAGAGCAATGGAAAGGGCTATGCTCATAGTTTCCGTGCATGTTCGAATCAGAAATGAAGAAATCCGCAGAAGAACCAGCGTCACCGACATAGCCCGAAGAAATGCCAAACTTAAGTGACAGTGGGCACGGCACATTGCTCGTAGAACAGATGGCCGATGGGGCCGAAAGGTTCTAGAGCGGGACCGCACACCTTTGGGGGCGGAGTTTGGCCTAGTATTGGCTATTTTGCATTAGTCCACGTGGACTGCGTTTACACATTAGTGGTGAAATGCGTCATTGTGTTCTTATCGTTTTCCTGGTAATAGGCTAAGAGAATTCATTGGCATTTTTAACAAAACAGTCGTTTTTAATGGGTTACAAAACAATAATTGCGTCGTACAAAACAATAATTGTGTTTCTTTTGTGTGCACATATGTAGATAATACTTACTTAAAAAAGGTTCATACATTGAATGACTCATAAATGTATATTTACAATAGCGATGGTCTTTTGTATTTTTACCAACTTGTCTATATATGAATGTTCTTAGTAATAACAAAATAGTATTCTTCATTTAATGGGTTACAATTGATACAAAACAATAATTGCATCGGTCTTTTTTCTATGTACAAATGTATTTAATCATAGATACTAAATTAGATTGCATTTGGTATCTTTGAACTTTATCTGTCTGTTGATGAAAATATCTAGTTTTTTGTTATTTGGCGAGAACTAATATGAATTTATGATAAGATTATTATTTTTTTTTTAACTATAAGTCATAAGTATCTCATGCATCATATCATCTCTCCTCGAGATCAAAACGATTACACAGTAACAATGTACTATGATATGTATTTCTACGTATAAGTATGACATTGGTAACTTTTTCAAAAGAAATGTAGGAACGATACGACTTCTTTGCCATAACACATTATAATAAAAAAAAAACACTAAACGGCTACAAATAAAAAAAATAATTACAAAATAAAAAAACCGCCTTCAAAAAAAGTCAAGCAATAAAAGTTCCTACACTAAAAAGTAAAAAATAACAATTTGAATTACTGTAAAAAAACTTAGTTTATAGGTAAACTTATTTGACATTAATATTTTGCAAATATTCAAAATTTATTACTTATTTTTGGAGTCGGTGCCAGCCCATGCAAGGAAATACATGTTTGGCGAGGATCTTTAATTATAAGAACAAAATGTTATAACTAAAATTGTACTTTTTGCTAAATAAATAAATAAATAAATAAATACAAATGGGCAACAATCCCTTGAAAAACTACCTCTTACTTAATTATAAAACTACTTAATACCTATTTGCATACTCAAATATAGGTATATTAATTAAGACATAAATACAGATTAGACTTCTCTACAAAAAATGTCCGATTTGCACATTTTTTTTAAATAAAAAATATATACTTACAAAAACATTTTAAGTACATTGAAAATGTTTAAGCATTATGTACGAAAAATGACACCGGATATTAAAAAGCTAACTAACATTAAGTTTCAACATTAAAATGCTGGCACCGACTCCAAAAATAAGTAATAAATTTTGAATATTTGCAAAATATTAATGTCAAATAAGTTTACCTATAAACTAAGTTTTTTTACAGTAATTCAAATTGTTATTTTTTACTTTTTAGTGTAGGAACTTTTATTGCTTGACTTTTTTTGAAGGCGGTTTTTTTATTTTGTAATTTTTTTTTTATATAGAATAGTAGACAACCTTTAAACCAAAATAAAATTCTTATATAAATTATTTATCGTATTTTTATTTAAAAAAACTTATGCGTTGGAGGCAATCCAAGATGAGTAGCGAGACACACGAGCGTTGACACCGGGGTACCTAGCGTCAGCACAGCCAATACCGAAAGAGCAGACACCAACAACGATGCCGTTGTGGTAGAGAGGACCACCAGAGTCACCCTGGCACTGGTCGCGACCACCAGAGGGCCAGCCAGAGCACAACATGTTGTCGTTGATTGAGAAGACCGTGTTAGCGTACTGGTTTCTGCAAGTGTTCTGGTTGATGACTACAACCTGGACGTGACGGAGTTGTTCGGAGCCAGCGTTTGAACCAGACTGAAATATCGATAATTATTTGAAATAAATGTTATTTTAAAAATGTATGTACTCGTGACAATAAAATTTGACTTACGAAAGTGTCACCCCATCCAGCAGCCCAGACAGCTTGGTTGTCAGCTGGGAAGTAGTTGGCACCAGCGATGGATGCAGCACGGACATTGTTGTTGAAGGAGAAGGAGGAGGCGGAGCGCAGGATAGCGATGTCGTTGTTCAAACGAACTCCTTGATTGTATTGAGGGTGAATGATGTTCTGGGCAACGTTGTGAACGACACCACCGCTGTTAGCCCAAGTAGAGCCAACACGGATACGCCATCTACTAGTAGCATCACCACTGCAAAAAGAAATGTCCAAGAGAATTGTTATTTAGCTGTCTAAAATTGTAGTCATATAATTTGATTTTGTTTAGAAAAGTTAACTTACGCGGTACAGTGGGCAGCTGTGAGGATGGATCTGTTGTTGAGGATAGTACCACCGCAAGATTGAGAGAAGGTGCTACCCCAGCGGTTAAAGAGCAGAGCAGCAATAGTGGGGTACCGGTCAATAGTAGTAACTGATCCACCGACGATCCTTTGAGGGTTAGATGGGACGGCTGGAAAAAATATTTTTTATTATATTCCTGGATCTTAGAAACAAAGAAGATCGAATTATAAAAGCTAAATACATCCTAAGAGTTATAACCATTGTTCTGTTTTGAGATACTGGAGTGAAAAATCAGTTTTAGCTAAATACAGTATAGCCATTTCTAGACCGTCATATTCGATAGTGAATGATTGCCAAACACCCTACCACATACATAAATGTATTAACCTCGTTACATTTGAAATTTACAAGTACATAAAATAATGAAATTGCACACAGGAAAGTCCAGGCACCACGTCTGTGCTCCCGAGAAAGTTAAGCTAACCATTTGCTCAAATAGCATCACCTCAGGGCAAGTTATTAGATCGCCAATGTGAAACTTTCAACAATATTAGCAAAAAAAGCAATCAAATACATTGAGGTATTTGATTGATTTGTAATACCAATAAAATCATAACATACCTGCGACGGCCGCTAAGCACAAAGCCAGGAATGCAAGGACTCGCATGTTGTTGGATTTGCAGGGGACACTATGGTAATTGATTGTAACACCTCAGTATTTATATGAATACAAAGTGATAAAATTCGTTATTATGATAATGATAATAATGAATCACACTTCATTATCTCTATTTTAATTATAAAGAGGTTTGCAGATAAGTGTTTTTCTGTTCGACTGCGTAATTTTTCATAACTCTAGTTATTATTGTGTTTTTTTTTTGTAATGAGATACGTTAGGAAACAACCACACAATGACCAGGCCAGACGGTAGACCCACAAAGGTCATTCGGAATTAAAACGCTTGTGTTGTATTTTTTGATACCATATCCACCCATATGTTTTTAAATACGAAGTTTTTTTTTAATTATCCATAAACAAAAAATCTATCCACGGTTTAACTCTCTTGAGGTGAGGCGTAATTATTTCTTAATGATTATGAACTGTAAGACGCTGCGTGGTGAATCTGACTGTCCAGAGATAGTAGGACAGGTGGTGCGGTTATCAGTACCCAGGTGCTTACTAACCAACTTCGGCATGCAAATTCTCAGCTGGTCCGAGTTCTCACCATGCTCAATTCTTTCCTGATGTCAGCGCCAGAGTGGATAGATCTGTGTCTTGAATAATTTAGATATTGTGTAAATTATAATGTTTGTTTTAGTTTAAGATTTCTATAATTACCAATCTTGTTTTTCAGTTGTATTAAGTACTTTTATTTAGTTTTTTTAAATTTGTATTGGTGTTGTATTTAATCCTAAAAGTACCTAGATAATAGTATTCATATAAAATAAAAGTATAACTTAATAACGTAAGCTGTAATGTTGTATATGTAAATTTTCTTAATAAATAAAGAAATAAATCTACTCATTCTGACAGTAGAAAGCTAATCAGATTTAACTGCATAATAATCTTCTAAATTACTGGCTTTTTGTTTTCATCAGAAGCTATTGTTAATAAAGAGAATAGATTTACAGAATGTGTTTACTAGGTTGTCATCATCAAGCTTTATCTCGATTTTCGACACATAAAGTTGTTGAAAACTGCATCCTTCTTGGTACTTTCTTTTTTTTTTTTATGTAATATCTCGGCAAACGAGCAGACGGATTACCTGATGGTAAGCAATCAGCGCCGCCCATGGACACTCGCAACGGAGGAGTTACGAGTGCGTTGCCGACCTTTTAGGGATTAGGGATTTGGAGATTTAGGGATTGAGGAGGGATTGGGGAAGGGGAAGGATTGGGCCTCCGGTAACCTCACTCACACGGCGAAACACAACGCAGTGGTTATTTCACGCCGGTTTTCTGTGAGGCCGTGGTATCACTCCGGTCGAGCCGACCCATTCGTGCCGAAGCATGGCTCTCCCACACTTTCATTTCTGCAAAAATATGCCATGTGACTAATGTGTAAACTCCATTATATGTTACAACGTCTTTTTATCTGCATTGATTGGAAAAAATATTCCACAAATATTAGATTCTTTTTTTAAGCTTCCTCACGATGATAAGACCGACGCGTTCATTCATTTATTAACACTGAAAATAAACTTCTGATCGACGTTGATTTGTTGTGTCGTCCTCGTGCAGGCTATTATCGTAGTGAATGTTTCGATTTTATTTTTTGACGACTTGTAAAATGTGTTTAATATTTATTCAGATATTTTACTATTCATTCATTTTATACAACTTGCTACTGTTTTCTGTGTCTTTATTGTTGTGAGGGTAATTCAGATATTCTAAGTGATCACGGACTTTTTTTTAAGTGATATGGCGCGAACTCACATCGTATGGATTGCCTGATGGTAGGCGATCGACCTTGGACGCAATCAACATTAGAGTTAAAAGTGTGTAACTGCAAGCATTGAAAGGGTTTCTTCTGGCAATATTATTAAGCGTCAATTTAAACTGAAATATAAAAATAAATTTAATAACTTGTTGACATTGTACAGTCAAAATAATCAGGATTATCATCAAAACACCTTCAAATAGAATTGGTTGTTAAAGAAATTTCAATTTGATATTATTTGTTTAACTAAACATTGGTTTTTGGACAACAACAACAACATTGGATTGTCAAGTAGAATCAATTAATTTCAATAACTATTGTGTTGGCAGCAATTAAAGCCACCATGCAATGATACATGGTGGTAGGCTGATTTTAGTAAAAAAACTCAATAAAATATAAAGAAAGACAAGACATTATTCTGCTATCAATTGAACACTCAATAGAGTTGTCCTGCGTTGAGCTGGATAGGCATATTTTTGAATGTGTTTATAGGCCTCCTAACACACATCTAAATGTTTTTCTGTAATATGTGTTGCGGAAAACATGTTTTAATAGTAAATGTACAATAGTATGTTGCGATTTAAATGTTGATCTCTTAGAAAACAATTCTCATTGTACAAACTTGTTAAGTCCCTTTTAATCATTTGATTTGTCTAATGTTTTCCTTGAGCACACCCGAGTAACATCCACCTCTGTAGCTTGTATGGATAATATTTTCTGTAACTGTGATTATTTACATAGTGGAATTGTAAATAGATTACTACCTGATCACAGTGAGCTCACAGTTAACGTTAACACTATAACAAGTAAAATATTCCTCTTAAAACTACAGAAACGTTGAAATAATTTCTAGCACTTTATGTCTTATGTCTCTGCTTCTTATGAGTAACGTCAAAGAATGTCCTTCTAACTTTCGCTTTCAATACACAACCTTTTAACCCCTAACAGAAGATCTTTGGGGAATGTCTGTTCGAGTGTGCATGTCGTTTATAGAGACTATTGCGCCGTACTTAACTTTTATTTTTAATAAAAGTGTAGATCAAGGGTTTGTCCCGGATTTAATGAAACATAGTAAAGTAGTTCCATTATTTAAATTAGGTGATAGTGCAGAACCTAATAAATATAGGCCGGTCTCTATTTTACCAGTACTAACCTGCCCCATTTGTTCCAAAATGAACCGGATATGGTATTTTATTTATTTTTTTATTTATTCTTTGTATACAATTGCATATCGGAGGACTTAATGCTAGAAGCATTTTCTGCCAGTCAACCTTTTGGTAGTGCAGAGATGTGTGGTAGGTGATATACAGCAATTTAGGAAGTTACGTGAGGTGGAGGTGTAAATCAATTCTAACTTACATATATAAAAATAATATATAAATAATTATATAAAATACATACATATATAAACACTAATACACATAATATAAATAAGTAATATAATATAAAAAAAAAATACATATAATGAGGACAATTTATAATCACGCACCCTACGCTTGAAACACAACCGGCTGGTTGCAGCTCTGATATCCGAGGGAAGCTTATTCCACAAGGTATTCGCTGATGACACTTTACTTATTTAAAAAAAAAACAAATTTGACGAAGTTCATAATGCCTTAATGAAGGTTGGAAATTGGTTTAAATAAACAACTTATTACTAAATGTATTAGATTTATTTTACCAAATGTTGAAAGTAACGTATGTGATGATATATTATTAAACGATCAGAAACTAGAATTTGTAAAAGAGACTACTTTCCTGGGGATAACTGCAGACGACAAGTTTCAATGGGGGTTCCACATCAGGGGTGTGATTCTGTAAGACTTCATTCTAAACTTCGAATCTGAATCCGCTGTGAGTAGTAGTACACTAGCGCTACACTTGCGAGTTGAACTAAATTGACAGCAACATTTTGATAGATAAAGTATGAGATGACGTTAAAAGCGGCATTCTAAAATTTAATTACCACGTTACTTCGACGCTCACTTCGCAATCGAACAAGATTCAAAATCAAACAAATTTTATAGAATCGACGTGCAGGTCTCTAGCAGGACGATTGAACTCTGCAGCTTATGCTGTCTAAAAGATCCGTCAGCTAACCGACGTAGGCACGGCAAGACTAGTGTTCTTTATCTACTTTCACAGCACCATGTCGTATGGAATTCTGTTGTGGGGACAGGCACCCGACGTTGATTCTATCTTGATCTTGCAAAAGCGTGCTGTCAGAGCTATCTTTAACTCAGGTCGTCGCGAATCTCTCTGAGAAAACTTCAGGAAGATCATCACAACAACAACAACACCTTACCGATTCAATTTATTTATGAAAAACATACAAAATTATATGCTAGGAAAAACCTACAGTTATTTGTAAAGGTATCTGACAAACATGATTATCATACATATGAATATGAATCAGATATAGGAAGAGATTAAGCAGCCTTTATTTAGATTGTCAAAAGTGCATAAGTCATTAATAGGTAATCATAATTCAAAAACAATGTATCAAGAAAAAATTATGTAGACTAGCATACTTCAAACTAAATGATTATAAACAAGATAAAGATGCTTGGAGGTTAGCTGGTCCTACTCCACAGGATGTTAAGAGGAATTTTTAATTTCTATCATTAAATTGTACACCATGTTGTTAATTGTTGATGAATTTTAAAGTTTTTGCAAATGTGAGAGCCCTGTAACCTATTATTATTAAGTTAGACTTGCAGAATATGGTTACTTGTGTCAGCTGGGAGTTGTCATGCTCACTCAGAGGTCTCATTGGCGGTGGCACGGGCACTGGATCGCTCGATTCCCAATAATATGGTGAGTTGGGCGGTGCTGGTGTACGTGTCATGTTCGTGAGCAGGCGCCGCCTATTGGAATTTGTCATCTCCAGGCTGGCTGTTGTCCTTGAGGTTAACTTCTTTTTCGGATTCTTTGCCTAAACATTACTGTTACACTGTTCTCACATATTAGAACCAGTTTAAAATTTAGGTATAACATGTACTTTTTTGGAACTGTGTCTTTCACATTGTAAATATTACTCTTACTATTTAAAAGTGAATCGTAGGTACAATCTATTTGTTAAAGAATTAAGTAGTCATTAGTATCGATAATGATTAATATACCAAATTCATGATGCTTAATGCTAGAAGTACATAATAACTGATATAATTAATGTGTATTAAGAGAATAGTCACATCATCAGCCTGAAAGTGCCTTCTGTTGAGCAAAGACCTCTTCTCACACTGAGAAGGTTTTTGAGAACTTTTAGGTTCAGGTTACTCACGATGTTTCCCTTCATAGAATGACAGTGTCAAAATGATCATAGAAAGTACATATAACTCGAAAAAGTCACATTGGTACTAGCCAGGTTTGGAACTCAAAGTTAATTGAATAGTATACAACCTTTATTGGAAGTATGAGGCGTGTGTAAGACAACATTTTTAAACAAAATAAAATTCTTATATAAATTATTGATCGTATTTTTATTTTAAAAACTTATGCGTTGGAGGCAATCCAAGATGAGTAGCGAGACACACGAGCGTTGACACCGGGGTACCTAGCGTCAGCACAGCCAATACCGAAAGAGCAGACACCAACAACGATGCCGTTGTGGTAGAGAGGACCACCAGAGTCACCCTGGCACTGGTCGCGACCACCAGAGGGCCAGCCAGAGCACAACATGTTGTCGTTGATTGAGAAGACCGTGTTGGCGTACTGGTTTCTGCATGTGTTCTGGTTGATGACTACAACCTGGACGTGACGGAGTTGTTCGGAGCCAGCCTCTGATCCAGCCTGAAATATGGATAATTATTTGAAATAAATGTTATTTTAAAAATGTATGTTCTCGTAACAATTAAATTTGACTTACGAAAGTGTCACCCCATCCAGCAGCCCAGACAGCTTGATTGTCGGCGGGGAAGTAGTTGGCACCAGCGATGGATGCAGCACGGACATTGTTGTTGAAGGTGAAGGAGGAGGCAGAGCGCAGGATAGCGATATCGTTGTTCAAAGGAACTCCTTGATTGTATTGAGGGTGAATGATGTTCTGGGCAACGTTGTGAACGACACCACCGCTGTTAGCCCAAGTAGAGCCAACACGGATACGCCATCTACTTGTAGCATCACCACTGCAAAAAAAATATGCCCAAGACATTTATTATTTAGCTGTATAAAATGTAGCTATATCATTTGATTTCGTTTATAAAAGTTAACTTACGCGGTACAGTGGGCAGCTGTGAGGATGGATCTGTTGTTGAGGATAGTACCACCGCAAGATTGAGAGAAGATGCCCCAGCGGTTAAAGAGCAGAGCAGCAATAGTGGGGTACCGGTCAATAGTAGTAACTGATCCACCGACGATCCTTTGAGGGTTAGACGGGACGGCTGGAAATTTTTTTTTTTATTATATTCCTGGATCTTAGAAACAAAGACTATCGAATTATAAAAGCTCAATACATCCTGAGGGTTATAACAATTGTTTTGTTTTGAGATACTGGAGTGAAAAATCAGTTTTAGCTAAATACAGTACAGCCATTTTGCTAGACCGTCATATTCGATAGTGAAGGATTGCCAAACACCCTACCACATACTTAAATGTTTTAACCTCATTACATTTGAAATTTATAAGTACATAAAATAATGAAATTACACACTTTTCGAAAGCCCAGGCGTGGTGCCTGGGCTGTCGAAATAGTACCTACATGGTGAGGCAACGTACGGCATCCCCTGATGGCAAACCATCAAATCGCCAATGGGTGACCCTCAACAATAATATCAAAAGTATCTGATTGATTTGTACCAAATAAAATCTAATAACATCATAACATACCTGCGACGGCCGCTAAGCACAAAGCCAGGAATGCAAGGACTCGCATGTTGTTTAACTTGCAGGGGACACTATGGTAATTGATTGTAACACCTCAGTATTTATATCAATACAAAGTGATAAAATTCGTTAATATGATAATGGCAATTGGGAATCACACTTCATTATCTTTATTTTAATTATAAAGAGGATTGCAGATTAGTGTTTTTCTGTTCGAGTGAGTAATGTTTCATAATTTTAGTTATTATTGTGTTTTTTTGCAATGGGATATGTTGGAAAACGACCAGACAATGACCGCACCAGTCGATAGAGTACACAAAGCACGTTCGGAATCAAAACGCGTGTGTAGTATTTTTTGAGACCATATCCATCCAAATGTTTTTATTTCCCATAATAAAAATCTATCTACTCATTCTGACGGTAGAAAGCTTATCAGTTTTATGCATAATAATCTTCGAAATTACTGACTTTTTGTTTTTATCAGAAGCTGATAGAAATTTTTAATAAACAGAATAGAGTTATAGAAGGCTTCTAGGTTGCCATAATTAAGCTTTACCTTGATTTTCGACATAAAGTTGTTGGAAACCGCAAGTCCGTCTTGATACTAGCAACAAAATTATAAAAATACAGTCTAAAGATTTCATTTAACCTCGATTTCGCTTTAAGGGCTTATGGAACCAAATTACGCTTGAACTTCTTATTGGTTTTTCAACGAGCATCATGCATGCATGAATTGAGATTTCTGAAAAAACATGCCATGTGACTAATGTGTAAACTCCATTATAATTTTCAACGTCTTTTTATCTGCATTGATTGGAAAAAATATTCCACAAACATTAGATTCTTTTTATGAGCTTCCACAATGGTAATACCGATGCGGTGATTCATTCATTAACACTGAAAATAAACTTCTGATCGACGTTCATTTGTTGTGTCGTCCTCGTGCAAACTTTTAACGTAGTGGGTGTTTTTGTATTTATTTTTTATTGTCGATTTGTAAAATGTGTTTAATATTTATTCAGAGATTTTACTATTCATTTATTTTATACAACTTGCTACTGTTTTCTGTGTCTTTATTGTTGTAAGGGTTATTCAGTTATTCAAAGTGATCGTGGACCTTTTTTTAAGTCTATGGACATAATCAACTTAAGGGTTATAAGTGCGCTTCCGGCCTTTTTTGGAAAGGGGGTTTTGAGATTTGAACTTTGGCAATAATAAATAGGATCTCATTTACACGGTGAAATATATCGCTTTGGTTGTTTCACGCCGGTTTTCTATGAGCCCGTGTTACACATTAGTTAATTTACCTCAAAAAATTATAAGATCTGATCTTGCCGTTTTCTAGTTAAGACGTGTTTCGTTTAGAATTTTTTTTTCAGGGCCTTAATTTTATTATTAAAACAAGAACCAAAGTTTAAGTTTTCAACGTTTCAGTCATTTGTTGTCAATGAAGTTACTGGAAAATACCATGTCCTTGTAACGTGTCCAAAGTTTATTTATTTATTTGGATTTCCAACAAGAAATACGCATTACAGACAAGTTAAATCAAATATTAATTTTTCTTGTGTTTCCTTAATCATAGGAAATCACAGCATGCATTAAATTATAATTATACAAAAAAAAATTTAAATAATTGAAAAACATTTGAAAAATCATTTAAAATTAGCATTATTGTAACAAACCAGTCGAAATATTATTAAAACAAAACAGTGCAATAAAAAATGAAATAGTTTAAAATAAAATAAAAAATATTCAAAACAAGACAATTAAAATAAATCCAAATCAATCATAATATATGAATTAGTCATTTAAGGTTAACTTGAATTACACAAAAACACAAAGATAATGAGATCAATTATAGAATAGTAAAAAAAAAACATTAAATTGCAAAAAAAAAATTAATTATTATACAAAAAAAAACTGAAATTGGAGTGACAAAAAAAAATTATAAGAAAGTAATTAGTTTAGTAGGTATAGTTCCAAAAATTTTTTTTATTCATTGACTATTTTACTGCTTTTCTATTTTTTATAATGTTATAAGCGACAAACAACCATGTGGATCATCAACTGGTAAGCAATTAGCGTTGCACGTTCATGGACATACGCAACAACAGAGGATTTGCAATTACGTTGCTTTTGGGTGTTAGGGATTGAGGATAAATGGACGGGTTTGAACAACCTCTCGAGGTTGTTCAAGAGTACGTCTACCTCGGACAAACTATCCAGTTCGGTAGAAACAACTTCGAGGGGGAGGCTCGTAGAGGGATAAAGCTTGGCTGGGCAGCACATAGGAAACTCAGTCGGGTATTCTCGTCAAAGATACCGCAAAGCCTAAAGACAAAAGTCTTCAATGAGTGCGTCCTATCAGTGATGACATACGGAGCCGAGACGTGGACACTTTACAGTCTGACTGATCCACCAATTTTAAGTCGCGCAGCGAGCTATGGAAAGGGCTATGCTTGGAGTCTCTCTGAAGGATCGTATTCGAAACGAGGTGATCCGACAGAGAACTAAAGTTATCGACATAGCCCAAAGGATCAGCAAACTGAAGTGGCAGTGGGCAGGTCACATCTGTCGAAGAACCGATGACCGCTAGGGTAAACGTGTTCTAGAGTGGAGGCCACGTCTAGGCAAATGTAGTGTAGGGCGCCCTCCAGCTAGGCGGACTGACGACATCCGCAGGGTGGCTGGCAGTGGTTGGATGAGAAGAGCTGAACATCGAGCTCAGTGGCGTCCAATTGGGGAGGCCTATGTCCAGCAGAGGATGACAACAGGCTGATGATGATGGACGGGTTTGGAATTTTGCTGCATTACCTCTGCTGCTGTATTTTTTAAGGCCGTGGTATTACGCCGGTTGAGTCGACCCATTCCTGCCAAAGCATATCTCACCTTCAATTATTTATGTTACTATATTTAAGTTCGTACTTATGAATATGTTATTGCTTAGTTGCAATGTCAAATTATGTCAATGACCACTGATCTCTATTTATATAACAACTATTTTTTGTGAAACTTCTCCCGCTCAGGATGAGCCAGCTAGAGAAGTCGGTTGAGGAGACGGAGTGTAAGACTCTTTTTACTGATTAAAAACGCCGTTCCTTCACCTGCTTTAGACAACCTTATTTCGCTTGGCCCACAATCCTGGCTGAACATCAGCTCTATAGAGCTTGTGGTGGTCCATTGCCTCTTTGAGGCACGCGTGGAACTCGTAACAACGCACCGTAGTTTATACAATACCCCAATACCTATAGTTTATTGTTATTTTTTTAATAATATGTTATTTTATGGTACTTTGTGTTTAATTGTGCATGAAATGCATATACGTAAGTTAAAATCGCAGATTTCCAGCCTGGTTTTTTTACAGCTTTGAACAGCAAATGCTCAGACGGATTTCTTGGCGGTAAGAAATTGGTGTAGCCCATAGACACTACCAACATAGGAGTTAAGAGAGAGTGCTTTAAAATAGAAAAGAAAAAAAATGGGAGTTAATAATTAAATTTTGAGATTTGGTCTAATTATAGCAATGTGCAAATATAAGGATAGGGATAGGGGTAGAATTTGTCTTTTGATATTCTCATTCACACGAGGAACACAACGCAAGTTTTGTTACACGCTACAATGTGCTTTAAAATTATAACCCCAAAAATATACATGTGATAATATACATTATACATACATTCCTGATTAGATATGCTTACTTAAAGTTACTTAGGTATCACAAACATACTTAAGGGATTGGTGTTTAGGGGCAATCACTAATTTGAATTCTGCCTCTTCTGGTTGATGTTCAGGGGTTGAATGAAACACGGCGTTTGGATACCGGATATGTTTCACGTAAGCCCCAAAGAGAATCGTTCAGTCGCACCGTTCCTTGCATGCCTCACGCTTGAAAATATCGAGGAATATCATTCAATAATTTCTCCAGGCCAGGTGAGATGAAATGTCAGACCCTTACTGGCTACCTACCCCATTCGTTTTCTTGCTCCGAGCCAAGCCACGGTACATCAATGCTCCTGAATCTGAATCTAGTGGATCCCATATGTAGTCTGATGGCCCGCCGTACTTATAACTTACTAATAACTTATAATTTCTAGTTAAAACTGATTCTAATGTTGAGTCTGGTTGGTGATTATCGTTGAACATTAGTCAACAAGCGTGTGTCGTGAGTCTTCTGCGTTTAAGATGATGCCTTCGCTCAGAAGTGAACACTTCCATGAATAATTGCCAAAAATTTAATTTGTATGAAATTAATAACGGAATTCATAACACTTTTTACCCAACGCTGATGTAATCAAACATCGTGGTCGTTGACTACGGAACCACAAACGTTATCAATTCGCAACGATAGATATGAGAGTTATAAAACAATGAAACACTAATACTACCAATGACATAAATAAAATATGACATCTATGGATTCTCAATTTTTAATAAGAATACAAATATATTTTTATCGTATTTTCCAGTTACTTGATATAGACACTGTTAAGATATAAATAATGAATGCTATATGAATTTAGTTCATTATCGTTGAATCCTTAATAATATGCGTATCATCCTATTCATAGCCCTTTGTGTCGCGACTGTGGCAGGTATGTTAAGTATCAGTGAACAGGAGTTTGCAGACAGTAGTTCTAATCAAGTGTATCCAAATTATACTGTGTAGTTATTTATACCATGTACTATAACATTTTTGTACTGTATGTATAATGTTTATAGCTGCCCCCAGGACTACACACCAAAGGATTGTTGGCGGCGACGTCACAACAATAGACCAGTACCCCAGCATTGTAGCCCTTCTCTTTGTATACGAATGGGTAATATACGCACAAGAATGTGCTGGCGCCATTCTAAACAGCCGATCTGTGCTCACCGCAGCACATTGCACTTAGTAAGTTATTACCAAACAAATAAGTTATAAATTGAACGGACCACGATAAATTAAAACGACATAAATTGCTTTTCCAGTTTTGATGCAGTAAGCAAATGGCGTGTCCGTGCAGGTTCTACCTTTGCTAACGCTGATGGTATGATCCACCGAGTTAGTGGAAACATTATACATCCATTATACGCTGTAGAACCGACTATGGATCATGATATCGCTGTCCTTCGGGTTGATACTTCCTTTGAATTCAATGAGTTCACTCAGCCAGCTCACATCGCTGGCCCTAACTATAGAGTTCCTGACTACGATGACCTCTGGGCCGCTGGATGGGGTACAACTTACGTAAGTTTCATGGTATCCAATAAAGAATCATTCTGGACTGCGGAAGATGTTCTAGTAACTTTATTTTGCAGTATGGTGCCCCCACAGGCTCAGCACAGCTACGTCACGTCCAGGTGCTGAAGATAAACTTGGATAGGTGCAAACAACAATATGGTGTGGTTCATATGGTTATTACTGACTCCATGCTGTGCTCCGGCTGGCTCACCGGTGGTCGCGACCAATGCCAGGGTGACTCTGGAGGCCCGATCTACCACAATGGAGTGGTTGTTGGTGTCTGTTCTTTTGGTATCGAATGTGGCCGCGCTGATTTTCCTGGCGTCAACACTCGTGTGGCTAACTACACTGATTGGGTCGTGGATAACGCGTAAATGATAAATAAAACAAACATAAACCTGTACCGTTTTTATATTGACAAAACCTAAATTTTGAATAAAGTGCTTTTGACACCATCCCGAGTAGGCCTATGTTAATATAGGTAATAGATTATTTAAAAATAAACAAGGACCGTCAAAATTATTAAATAAATTTTTAACATCAAGACTGGTTTTAATAAAATGTATTTATTAAAGTAACTTCTGCAATATCACTGTCGAACGGCATTCTCAATACGTCTAAAGTACTAAACACTTTTTTGGTTGACGGGGGAAATCATCAGATAATTTCTGTCCCCCTGAACGAAGTGTGTGAGAGAGAGAAGGTGTCCGACGTTTACTGACTAAAAATCACCCCATTCCTTCTCCTTCTCTGGGCCGAGGCTACAGTATATTATTAGCACCTGCAACCCCTTTGGCATAGAAAGCCAAACTTTCTTATATAATAAACTTTTCTTCTTAATGTTGACCACCAGTGATGGTTCCTGGTAGAACTTATATACAATGTCTTATGATAGAAAGTTTCACATCAGTTTTCCGTGAGGCCCATTCATGCCGAAGTATTTTGTCATCTTTTAAGAGTCAGTTAAAACTCATATAAAAATTCTCAGTGATTTTATGAGAAGGTAAACCGAAACAATAAAATTTATATCATTAAGAATAAAAAGTTGTAAATTTTGCAAACTAGTGATGTTCTATATTATTTTAGAGTCTTCAAAGTAGAATATTCTTTTGTATCCGTTTCAAGTTTTTGGCCATGATTTCTTAGTTCGCTTCCATAGGAAATTCTCATTTCTTCTTTTAAGCCACATTTATGTTCTCTTAGCGAATGATGCAGCCCACTCTTAAAAAGACGCGCAATGCTACACGCTGCGTATCCGTTATCTTTCAATCTGCAGCAAGAATCATCTACTTTTGTTCATTTTAACAAAAGTAGGTAAATTCCTCCAATGAAATTACATCACCCTGTTAGGGCGCAGCAAATTTACTTGCATATTACTGACCAAAAAAAAAAATAGACCAAAAAAAGGCACTTTTGAACGTCAAGCAAAAAAGATATCATAAGGTTTAACTTTATATGTGTCAGTCTGTCCGTCTGTCCTCTAGTGAAGCTATTTGCTCGTTCCAAAGTGTAGATTCCTATGGAGAAGAACGAGCAAGAAACTCCATGGTTACTCTTTTTCAATCACTTTTTACAATGCATTGTTACATAATTTAGATAGTTCCATTATGTGAGAACAGTGTAACATTAGTGTTTAACCAAAGGATCCGAAAAAGAAATGAACCTCAGGGACAGCAACTTTAGACAGTCTCGAGTTGACCAGTCCCAATAGGCGGCGTCCGTTCACGAACATGACACGTACACCAGCACCGCCCAACTCAACCATATTATAGGGAACCGAGCGGTCCAGTGCCCGTGCCACCGCCAATGAGACTCCTGAGTGAGAATGACAACTCCCAACTGACACAAGTACCAATATACTATAAGTCTAACTCAATTATAATAAGTTACAGGGCTCTCACATTTACAAAAATCCAACTTATCAACAATTAACAACATGGTGAATAATTTAATAATGGAGATCAAAATCCCTCTTAACCTTAACAATTTTTATCCTGTGCAGTCAAACCAGCCACCCTCCAAGCATTTTTATCTTCTATATAATCGTTTAGTTTGTAGTAGTAGTAGTACTGTTATAACTTCTCACTACTTAATGAATATAAAATTTACTCAAACACGCATTGTATGTCAGTCATACTAACAGTAGAGTTGCCAATTATGTTGACGATGTTAATGATTCATTGATTAATTATAATTGATAAAACATTGATAATTAAAGATCCGTACTATTAAAAAAACCAAGTGTGACTGCTTATCTAGAACAATATACATAATTTACACAGTAGCGCCCAATTGGAATGAATATACAGAGCATTACCTAATTACTGATAAAATGAAAAATGCACTATTAATTTTGAGGAGTTTAATAGATATCGATCAACTGCTTAGAGATTTGGCTTAGGTAAGCATCTACTATGACATAAAGACATCCATGAAGAATGCTTCGAAAAATTTGGCGTCTTTTTATTATTATTCGTAATGGAATGGCGCTGCCATCTCGGTGGGCGATGATATGACCTACAATGGACCATGCCTAACCATAAGTACTAGCTTATTCACTTGGGCCTTGGAAACATCCTGGTTATCCTCTTCGTGGTACATACATCGTCTTTTTGCCATCACCCCAACATTATTAGCATTCCCATTATTCTGATGGTTCGCTGTCTATAACTCTATAACAGCAGTAAATACTCTTATTGGCTTTCTGTCTTTTGCCAAATAGTAATATTTGGCGATTGACCTTCACCCCATCTCCTCTTTTATCTCATAAAAAGTACTGCTGCAGCAAGATAATTCGCGCAAGATTACTGAGATTTACTACAGTGCAGGAAAAGAGAGTGTTAAAAAACGGTGTCGTGTCGTGACGCTATGCAATAGACAATAGTCAAAAAGAAAGTAAATGAAATTTTGCGACTTACAATTTTATTTTAATTACATTAATATTAAAAGAAGGGTTTATGATCCTAAATTTAATAAAATTATGTATTGTGAAAGACAATGAAATGATAAGCTATAAAGTTAAAAAAAAAACTGATCAGCCCCTAATCTCCTTTGAATCCTCATTATTGGCTAAAGTTGTCGACCATCAAGAAGTTCACATTTTATGTCTAAATTTTTAAAACCAATTATGGATTGGGTGTTTCTTTTTATTGTTTGCTCCAAAAACGTTGTTGATGTTACGTGTCGCATGTCCCAATCTTGCTGCGACGTCAGTAGTCGTGCTTCAAAATCCATGATCCTAGTAAAAATTACCAAGTTTTTGAAATCAAATTGATTTGAAATTAGATGTAAGAGCAAACAAAATATTTGAAATGGCTAGTCTGGCAGGATTACAATTTCATAGGAACTTGTAAAGACTTAATATTGGATTAAGTTTGCGGTGCATTTTTCGGCACCATGCATCGCGAAAAACTGGTCCTCAAAAGAGTCCTTGAAATCCGTGGCTCGTAAATAGCCAGTTCATATAACTTTTTATAGTCCACATGTGAATATCACTTTGAGTTGCATTAAAACCAAATATTATACAACACTAGTCCCGTAATGTGCATTTACCTTCAGGCACAAACGATTTAGTTTCAATATCAATAACGTCTTTAATTACCGGAATTAAATATAAAAAATATATGTATTGCGGTGCCCTAAAAATTTTAACAACATTTGGAGACAATAAACTTTTACTAAGCTTAACCATAAAAATTATCTTCAGTTATCTATAGCTAATCCACTTTGAGTTTTTAATAGAGGAAAACGTTGTGTTCTTCTTTAATCTGTATACTTTATTGACTGATAGTCAATCGTCGTTGATAGTCTGATATATATAACAAACCAATTGTTACGAACTACTCCACTTATTGAATAGTTAGTAGCCGATAATATGCGTATCATCGTTTTGGTCGCCGTATGTTTTGCGGCTTCTGCAGGTACGTTATCATAATCAAATATAAATAATGCAAATGTATATATAAATTTTCTTTACGAATTCATTTTTTCTCTTTCCCTTTAGCAAGCTCTGACGATCCACAGAGGATCGTTGGTGGCAAACCAACAACTATTGATCAATATCCTGGCGTCGTTGCTCTTTTGGGCATGTATGAATGGTTGATGCACACTCAAGTTTGCAGTGGTGTCATTCTTAATATCAGATCCGTCCTCACCGCTGCTCATTGTCCTATGTAAGTATTAACCAGAAACATAAAAGAGTAATTGAAATTATTTGTTGCTGACAATCTAAAAAATTTGATATATTTTTTTAGTAATGACAAAGTCAGCTTATGGCGTATTCGTGTTGGCTCCAACTTTGCTTGGAATGAAGGAGTCCTTCATGAAGTAAACGGGATAATCGTCCATCCGTACTTCTGGCAAGGAGACAGATTACATGACATTGCCATCTTACGTTCCAAGGTCCCCATAGAGTACAATGATCACGTTCAGATCGCCAATATAGCTGGCCCTGGCTACATTCTTCCTGACAACACAAAGCTTGTCGCTGTTGGATGGGATGTCAGTTGGGTAAGTTTGTTAGCCAAGATATTTCTTATGTTTAATGATTTAATGTAAGTTTAAATTATCTTTTTTTTCTTAAAGTTATCGGAATCTGACCAGTTACGTTACGCCGAAGTAACGAAGGTGAACGAGAAGGAGTGTGATGATCAGTATGATGATCCTTACATTGTGATCAATGAATACACGCTGTGCACAAGTAATCCCGTTACCGAAGGCCCTGAATACTGCGAAGGTGAATCTGGTGGACCCGTATTTCACGACAACGTTGTGGTCGGCATCAGTACCTTTGAAAATAAATGCGATGGCACCAACTTACCTCGTATCTACACTCGCATCGCCAGCCACACCGAATGGATTGTATCGAACGCTTAAAAGATTTCTTTAATAAACCTTATTTTCTCGCGTGTCTTTTGTTTTATTTTGAAAATGTGTACCTACATCATGTTCAAAGTAATAGTTTCTTCACAAATTACCAGATCGAACTTTGCATAAGTAAAAAATATTTTTTGAAGTTGTTTGTAGCTGATTATTTCCCAATAATTTATAGTAGTTTGATCCTATGGTTGAAATTGAAAACGCCTTGAGTCGACATGTTTTTGAATATTTAAATGTAAAATAAACAAATATAATAAATAAAATCGAGTTTCCTAAGAATATCCTTCATTGCGTAGAAATGTTACTTGAAATAGCAGATTGAATGTGGGATTAGAGTTTGTTGGGGAAAATAACGATTTAATCTCGTCATAATAAATATATAATAGTCATAATAAATATATATAGAATACTACAAAAAGCCTATGATATAAAAAACATAATGCGTGAATAACAAACAAACTTTCTCCGTGTTGGAAGAGGTTGAGAGAGGAGTTGCTTGGAAGTGGGCGCTTATAGGTTGATGATGTGAAACAGATATAGAAATAAATAAATATGGATTTGGTTTTGGTCTCAATTTATCAAATTAACTAGTCGCCTCACCTTGACGAGAGTCATTTGATGAGGTTCTCTTCACAAAAAAAGCCTCGGCTTGGAGCAGGAGAAGGAACTAGCGCGTGTTTAAGTCAGTAAGAGTCTGACAGTCACTCTTGCCTCAATCTAGGCAAGATTGATTACATTTGATGATTTTCGCCGCCAAGCCGCTGGCAGTAGCTGGCGTCCAATATATCTGATAATTCCCAATCGAACCTTTAATCTTCTAAAATAGATAAGCTTTAACAACGAACTAAGTTACAGTACGCCGATCCTTTGAACTTGTATGTCGGTGACTTTGTATTGTTCGTTTACTGCCGAACTAAGGGAACCGTGTTCGATACCCGGTCCGGTCAACATTTGTGGGATGAGCATAGGATAACGCGAAGAAATACCCAGTTCAGTGCTTTTCATAATGTGCCATGTATATAAACCACGTTATAGTTTATACTTTTAACTAATAACACACATTTAACGTAAACCAATGGATTAACCAAGTTGAAGTGGCAATGGGCAGGGCACATAGCAGGAAGGTTCGTGAATGGTGGCTACGTACAGACATGGAGGCCCTCATTGCCGTTATTGGAAGACCTATTTAAAGTCAAAAGAGCCACTAGACGCAGATCGGTTCCACACAGCCGTAGATTTAGGTTGATGTCTATTAGCTGTCATAGTCATGATGATTTACTAATCTATAAAAATCACCTAATACTCCTTTAACAAACAAAACCACTTGTTATGTTGGTCTTCAAATACAAGTGCTTGCCACCAGGTTATTTCTAAAAAGTATTATCAATTATTCACAAAATTGCACTGTCACCACAGACTGTCACTAATCTTTGTTAAAGGAAAATATAAACATTTAATATTATCAATTGAGGTAGTATCATATTATTATGATAGTCATGTATTGGTATAAATACTGGTTACATGTATCGAATGGCTACTATAATCAGAACAAATAACAATATGCGTGTCCTCGCCCTGGTCATCCTGTGTATCGCGAGTGTCGCAGGTATGTCATCACTAACTGTTTTTAGTCTCTATTGGCAATAATTGTGAATATTCTCAGTATCAAAGGCATTGAATTACTTTCAGCGCTACCCACTACTAGTCCATCTAGGATAGTGGGTGGGACGGTCACCTCCATAGAGGAGTACCCGAGTATGGTTGTACTTTTGTTCGTATTTGAGTGGAGCGTGTATGGACATATTTGTGGCGGAAGCCTTCTAAACAACCGGTCGGTCCTCACTGCCGCTCACTGTATCTTGTAAGTATTTAGATTTCACTTTTTTACTTTTACAAGGAAAAAGTTCTTGGTTCTTTTGTGTTTTTATGTTCTTCAACATTTTCGATCTGATGAGCTTGATCCTCTTTTGTTCTGTAGTTTATACTTTAAAGTTTGGCTCGCTATACCCTAGTCAGAATCCTTTAATTGCATTCCTTGATTAAGTTTCTAAATATTTTTTATAGAAAGAAAATTAATTATAATTGTTTTTACAGTGACAATTCTGTTAGTAAGTACCGAATCCGAGTGGGTTCTACATGGTCGCATACCGGTGGTGTCGTTCATAGGATTAATGGAATCTTTGTGTATGACGACCTGGGCTATCCACCCATGATAATACATGACATCGGTATCTTACGCTCTGCCTCAAATATAATTTACAATGAGTCCACTCGTCCCGCTCCCATCGCTGGCACGACATACGTTATTCCCGATGACGATTATATTTGGGCTGCTGGTTGGGGTGGACCTGATGTGAGTATATAATTTTAGACAAGAATATCATTGATCTAAAACTGAATAAGTTGTGACAAATTTCTTCTTATTTTCCTAAGGCTGAAGACATATCTGAAATGGGCCAACTTCGTCATGTCAAACTTATGAAAGTAAATATAGAAGTCTGCAAAAGACTTTACGATGAGGCCAATTACGTGCTACCTACTGACTATATGATCTGCCTTGGCTGGCCGACTGGAGATCGCAGTCAATACTACGGAGACTCTGGCAGTCCTATTTTCCATAATGGAGTTGTAGTTGGTGTCTGTTCTGCTGGTGTCATAGGTTTACCTGACATTAACATACGTGTGGCCAATTTTACCAATTGGATTGTAGAAAATTCATAAATTGTTTTGAATTTTAAGTGTTTCTTTTATTAATTTGTGTTCATCTGGGAGCATCATTCTTACTCACTGATACGGTCTATGTATGCCGAAATAGTACCATTATATCTATACTAATATTATAAAGAGGTAAATTTTGTAAGTTTGTATGTAGGGGGTAATCTTTGGGACCACTGGTCGGATTCAGAAATTGCTTTTACTTATTGATAGCTACAATGTTCCTAAGTGGTATAGGCTATAAAACATTACGCTACTATCAAATGGAGCCGAGCACTGAGTGACACCGCGCGGGAGTAGCTAGTTTATTATATAATTAATGTAGTTTTTCGTCAGGTGAGGTTATACTAGACACACAATCCGAAATTCCTAATCTTCAAATCACCAAAAAGCCGGAAGCGCACGTTTAGCTCTTCTGGAGTAACAGGTGTCCATGAGTGGTGCTTGTTAAGTACCATCAGGTGATGCGGAAGAATTTTCTTCCGCATCACCTGATTTGCAGCCCTATTCAAAAACTTTTTTTATATATCTCCAAAAAAGCACTTATTAACAAAGTTTCCTATGACAACTAAATCTGTCTCATTTAGGTTAAAAAAGGTATAATAAAATAAAATAAAACATGCATAATAACGTTATCAATATGATAGTCTTGTTGGTATAAATACCAGCTACTTGTCATTAACTACACTAATCAGAAAAGTAACGAAATGAGTGCCTTTGTACTAATCCTGTGTATAGCAACTGTTGCAGGTACGTCATTATGAGCAAACTCATTTAAGGTTTCTATTTGAAATATTCCCAAACATTTGTAACTTCTAAGGAATTTGATTTCTTTTATACCTTCTTCTAGCGCTCCCTACTAGTCCATCTAGGATAGTGGGTGGGACTGTCACCTCTATAGAACAGTACCCAAGTATGGTTGCACTTTTGTTGCTATATGAGTGGGGTTTGTATGGACATATGTGTGGTGGCAGCATCCTCAACAACCGCTCCGTTCTAACCGCTGCTCACTGTGTGTAGTAAGTACATGTTTATGATTGTTATTCCAATACATTAAAAACAACTTAAAGTATCATATTACAATTTTTCACTTGTTCGATAATCAAATATTTCGATCTTTTATGACATTTTAACCCAATGGATGTGATTATTTTTACAGTGACAATTCTGCCAGTAAGTACCAGATTCGAGTAGGTTCCACGTGGGCGCATAGCGGTGGTGTCGTTCATAGGATTAACGGAATTATCATGTACGACGACCTGGGTTACCCACCCATGATAAAGCATGACATTGGTATTATACGCTCTGCTTCTAACATTAATTTCAATGAGTGGACTCATCCCGCTCCTATAGCTGGTACTACATACGTCGTTCCCGATAATGATCATATCTGGGCTGTTGGATGGGGTGCACGTTATGTAAGTATAATTTTATAAACAAATTGGCTTGTAAAATTGAAGAAAACTACAGTTATTTTCCTTTTTTAGTATGGTGAGGTACCTGACCCTCAGGAGCTGCGACATGTCAAAGTTATGAAATACAATATGGATGAGTGCAAAAAGCTTTACAAAGCTGCCAATTTTGTGCTTCCTGCTGATTATATGGTGTGTGCAGGCTGGCCTACACATGATCGTAGCCAATGTTATGGGGACTCGGGCAGTCCTATCTTCCACCACGGCACCGTTGTAGGTGTCGCCTCGGCTGCTGTAGAGTGCGGTCAAACTGGCTTACCCGCTATCAACATACGTGTGGCCAATTTCACTAATTGGATAATAGAAAATGCATAACAGCTCTTTGAATAGATAAATATCATAAAATACCTATTTTTGTTTTATTAAATTTAGTTTGATCTTACTTGGCATTTTCATTTAAATATGACTAATGGATGCAAAATGTGAGTATATAAACCAAAACGTTTTTCTGTAGCATCGCGAATGGATGAAAGAATTTGGTTTATTTCATAAAATATTGCATACACTAATCCGCTTAGGCTTAATACAGAATATAAATATTTCATATTATCTATTGAGGAAAAAAGATAGTCTTCATAGATATAAATACTAGCTACTTAACGAATAACTCCACTAATCAGGAAAAATAACAGTATGCGTACCTTCATTCTGATTACTCTATGTCTGACGACTGTTACAGGTAGATACATATATTTGTAGATACAAATGAAGTCATATCCAAAGTACTATAATTCGATTCACTTAATGTTTGATTTCTTATTTCTTCTAGCAATCCCCACCCGTTCTTCTAGAATAGTGGGTGGAGATGTTACTACCATAGACCAGTACCCCAGTATGGTAGCAGGTTTGCGTGTTTACGATTGGAGCATATATGGACAATGGTGTGGTGGAAGTATCATCAACAACCGATCGGTTCTTACCGCCGCTCACTGTTTTTAGTAAGTTCTTTTTTATGTGTGTGATGATAAACTTAACGTTTGTTGTAAGTAAAAGTTATTACATTTATATCTGTTCATTAAATATTCCCATTTATAGTGAAGGGTCCGTCAGCATGTACCGAATTCGACTGGGCTCATCTTGGGCCCTAAGCGGTGGCATAGTTCATAGAATTAATGGCATTATCAACCATCCTCTGTACTATCCAGCAACAGCGGATCATGATATCTGTATTTTGCGTTCTGCCTCGAACATCAACTACAATGAATTAAGTCGCCCTGCTCCCATCGCTGGTACTACGTACGTTGTTCCCGATAACGACTATCTCTGGGCTGCTGGATGGGGGGCACAGTTCGTAAGTACATTTAACTTGAAAATATAAATGATTAAAATTATGAATAAAAAATACATTTAATTAATTTTTTTCCTAAGTATGGTGATCCCTCTGAACCTGAGCAGTTGCGTCACGTTAAGGTCATGAAAATTGGCCTAGAAACTTGTCAAAAGCAATACGCTGTAGACAATATGGTCATCACTGACAAAATGCTATGCTCTGGTTGGCCTACTGGAGGACGCGACCAGTGCCAGGGCGATTCCGGCAGTCCTATCTTCCACCACGGAGTCGTCGTTGGCGTTTGCTCCTTTGGTATCGAGTGTGGTCTTGCTGACTTCCCTGGCGTCAACATGCGTGTAGCCAGCTACACTAATTGGATTTTGGATAATGCATAAATGTGTAATGTGAATTTAATAAAGTTTTACAAATAAATATTGCAACACTCTCCGTTGGTTTCAATAAAAAAATATCTTCAATATCGGTTTCCAATTGATTTACCCTAAAGTTCTTGGAATCTAAGCCGAGTTTTATAGTATTTTTTGTCTTCTAGAGTAAAATGAAATAGTAGCAAAGAAGCATATTTTAACAGGAACGAATAATAAATTTTAAATGAGATTTAAGGCAATAGACCTCCTTTCTTACATGCTTAAATAGTTATTGCGCCGTAAAAAATTAAAGCCAATGAGATCCCAAACCTATACTAATCTTATTGAGATCCCAAATCTATACTAATCTTATAAAGAGGTAAAATTTGTGTTTATATGTAGGGGTAATCTTTGGAACCGCTGGTCGGATTGCCAAAATTCCTGACTGCTATAGGGTATAAAATATCACGCTACGATCAAATGGAGCTGAGCAACGGGTGAAACAGCGCGAGAATAGCTAGTTAATTATAAAAAAAAATAAAAGACAATGACGTGACCGTGTAAAGTAATAATGGTGTTTGACTAAGATAACCGGAATCTCAACTGTTCTCCCTTCTAAAACGCCTTAACAAACTTTTGAGTCCTTTGTTGATGGTATTTTGTTTCATGGTTTTTCTCACCAGTCCGTGAGAATGGTAATATTCACAAATACGAACTTTGGTCAAAGAACCTCAACTTAAATAAAACCGAAAATGTTCTAAGCGTAGCTTTTAAACTCAAAACCTTACTACCTAGTAGTGCACTATTAGTCATGGGTCATAAAATTATAGCGTTACTGAATGGTTTAAGATTTATTTGAGGAAATTTACAGTTAACATTATCAGCTCAGGTAGTATGATAGTCATCGCTATAAATACTGGCCACATCTATCAATTACCTACACTTATCAGAAAAAATACCAATATGCGTATCCTCGTCTTGGTTGCTCTGTGTATGGCGACTGTTGCAGGTTTGTCACCAAATCATAACGAATTAAATATTTAAGCATATTTTTGCATATTTCATAAGAGTTTAAGGAATTTGATTTCTTGTATTTCTTATAGCACTTCCGACTAGTTCACAAAGAATAGTTGGTGGGACAGTCACCTCCATAGAAGAGTACCCGAATATGGTTGTACTTTTAGTCTTATATGAGTGGAGCGTGTTTGGACACAGGTGTGGCGGCAGCATCCTCAACAACCGCTCCATTCTAACCGCTGCTCACTGTGTGTAAGTACTCGTAAGTTCATGTTTAAGATTTTTATTCCAATGTACATAAAAACAACTTATAGTATCATATTACATTTCTTCCCTAGTATGATAATCAAATATTTCCATTTAAGAAGCACTTATCAGCAAGTATCGAGTTTGATCCAATGGGTGTAATTGAAAGTAAAATGGATTATATTTCTTTTTACAGTGACCAGTCAGTTGGTATGTACCGAATTCGGTTAGGCTCCACGTGGGCGCTTAGTGGTGGTGTGGTTTACAGAATTAATGGCATCATCAACCACCCACTATACGATCCAGTCACTACACATAATGACATCGGTATCTTGCGCTCTGCCTCCAACATAAACTTCAATGAGTTTATTCGCCCTGCTCCCATCGCTGGTACTAAGTATGTTGTTCCCGATAATGACTATCTCTGGGCTGCTGGATGGGGAACGCAATATGTGAGTATAATTGATATGGGCCATGATTCTTCTAAAGATGAGTCACACTACAATAAATTTTAATAGGTCATGTCCTTTTTAAAAGTTACCGTTATGTCTTTGTTTTCTTTAGTATGGTGATACTGCTGAACCCGAGGAGTTGCGTCACGTCAAAGTAATGAAAATAAACCTGGAAACTTGCAAGAAGCAATTTGCAGTTAGCAATAAGTATACCATCACCGACGAAATGCTATGCTCTGGTTGGCCCACTGGAGGACGCGACCAGTGCCACGGCGATTCCGGCAGTCCTATCTTCCACCACGGAGTCGTCGTTGGCGTTTGCTCCTTTGGTATCGAGTGTGGTCTTGCTGACTTCCCTGGCGTCAACATGCGTGTAGCCAGCTACACTAATTGGATTTTGGATAATGCATAAATATGCAATGTCAATTTTGTAAAGTTTTACAAACGAATACTCTAATAACCCGTTGGTGTCGATAAAAAATAAATGTTCTCTTTCATAACCGTTTCCAATTTATTTACCCTGTAGTTCCTGGAGTCTTAGCCCAGTTTTATAGCATTTTTGTCTTCTGGAGAAAAATTTAATAGTAGTAAAGAAGTAAGTTATAACAATGAACTGTAAATATGATATAGTATTAAGCAAAATCTAAGCCAGAAGAACGAATTCTTAATATGCTTGACAACTCGTATTTCAAATAAGGGTTGATACAATAACCTTCAAATTGTAGTATCTAAAAATAAATCAGATTAAAAAAAATAATGCGCCTTAAATGGGTAGGCATATTATATATTTATATTTTAAGCATCTGTTTGACATAGAGAAAGAGACAGAGACAAGAGACTGGCATAATATTATCGGAAACCTTTGTCATGTAGAGGAAAACATAATATAGCCGTGGAACAACGCGGACTCTTGGTGTAATATCAGTTTTTACAACTTAAATGTTAACATTTATATATAATGTCAAAATCTAGATAGTTGTTATAAAAGACCAGAGAGAAAAGGAGATTGAGGAATGACATCCGGAATTAATTATAAAATGGCATTAAAACACAATGACGGGATCGTGTCAAGTAATTATGGCGATTAGCCGTGTAACTACGGAAACCGGGATCTCAACTACCCTCCCTCCCTGAAAGCCCCAACAAACCTGTGAATGTTGGTGGTATTTTTTTCAAGGGTTTTCTCGCATATCGGTGAGAAAATCATAATGAGTAACCTTTAAAATGTCTTCAAAATAACCGATTATGTTCTAAGCGTATCTTTTTAATCCAAAACTTCACTACCAAGTAGTGCACTATTAGTCATGGGTCATAAAATTATAGTGTCACTAAATTGAGATTTATTTGAGGAAATTTACAGTTAACATTATCGGCTCAGGTAGTATGATAGTCATCGCTATAAATACTGGCCACATCTATCAATTAACTACACTTATCAGGAAAAATACCAATATGCGTATCCTCGCCTTGGTTGCTCTGTGTATCGCGTCTGTCGCAGGTTTGTCACCAAATCATAACGAATTAAATATTTAATCATATTTTTGCATATTGCATACGAGTATAAGGTATTTGATTTCTTGTATTTCTTATAGCACTTCCGACTAGTTCGCAAAGGATAGTGGGTGGGACAGTCACCTCCATAGAAGAGTACCCGAATATGGTTGTGCTTTTAGTCTTATATGAGTGGAGTGTATTTGGACACAGGTGTGGCGGCAGCATCCTCAACAACCGCTCCGTTCTAACCGCTGCTCACTGTGTGTAGTAAGTACATGTTTATGATTGTTATTCGAATGTACATTACAGTATATTAAAACAACGTATAGTATCATATTACAATTTTTTCCTAGTATGATAATCAAATCAAATGTTTCCATTTTAAGCAGCAAGTACCAAGTTTGATCAAATGGGTGTAATTGAAAGTGAAATGGATTATATTTCTTGTTACAGTGACCAGTCAGTTAGTATGTACCAAATTCGGTTAGGCTCCACATGGGCGCTTAGTGGTGGTGTGGTTTACAGAATTAATGGCATCATCAACCACCCACTATACATTCCAGGTACTAGATATCATGACATAGGTATCTTGCGCTCTGCTTCCAATATAAACTTCAATGAGTGTATTCGCCCTGCTCCCATCGCTGGTACTAAGTACGTTGTTCCCGATAATGACTATCTCTGGGCTGCTGGATGGGGAGCGCAATATGTGTATATTTGATATGGGTGATGATTTTTCTGAAAATGAGTAACACTACATTTTATTTTTAATGGGTCATAACATGAACTTTTCAAAAGTAACCGTTTCGTCTTTGTTTTCTTTAGTATGGTGATACTGCTGAACCTGAGGAGCTGCGTCACGTCAAAGTAATGAAAATAAACCTGGAAACTTGCAAGAAGCAATTTGCAGTTAGCAATAAGTATACTATCACTGACGAAATGTTATGCTCTGGTTGGCCCACTGGAGGTCGCGACCAGTGCCAGGGCGATTCCGGCAGTCCTATCTTCCACCATGGAGTCGTCGTTGGCGTCTGTTCTTTCGGGATTGAGTGTGGTCGCGCTGACTTCCCTGGCGTCAACATGCGTGTTGCCAACTACACCGATTGGATATTAGATAACGCTTAATATAATCAAATTGAACGGTGAATTAAATAAATTTTACAAAAAAACTTTGTATCTTTAATCGGTTTTACTCAGAACCCCCATATTGACTGCGTAGTCTTCAACAACTATTGGTTTTTGAAAAACAAAAAACTACTTAACTTATTTTCTATTCGTCGTTTGATTACTCAAAATAGGAGTTTCGGTCCTTGCGATGGAGAGGACGATTGGATGTTCCACACATTTTTGACTTTTCTCTCTTTTTTCACTCTTTTTTCCTAGATTTTGAATTCCAAATCTTACAAATCTGACGGAATAATCTTAATATGACATATGAAATGAATTTATATAAATAAATATGATTTACTCAGGTAAGTATTTAATCGTTTTAAGAACTTAGAAGTTTTGGAAATAAAAACAGATCATCCCCGAAAAATCTGACCACTACAGCTATACACCACGGCTGCTGTAGGCCAAGAGCAGGTCGAGGAGTGCCCAGCGTGGGCTTCTGAGCGGCGGGTCCTAGTCGCCAAGATCGGGCGAGACTTGTCTCTGCCAGCAGTAGTTAGGGCTATGCTGGCAGATGCAGAAAATTGGAGGGAAGTGGCTTCGTTTTGCGAGACTGTTATGTCCCAAAAGGAGGCTGCTGAGCGGGATCGCGAGAGGGCCGATCCTGCTCGTAGAAGGCGTCGAGGAGGCAACCGCCTTGACGCCTAATACGCCGAATCCCGCCTGCATGAAATTCAGGCGGACCTTTGGGGTCACGGGTGCATAGAGGGGGGCTCTAGGTGCTCATTCAGTGGTCCCAGGGAAGACGGTGGTACAGTGGTCACGTACCGCCGTACACAGCGAGGCTCGTACTCGAGGGATGTGCCGTCACAGGCGTTTCATCGTGGGGGCTCTGGAGCAGGTCTCTTGTAGAGGACCCGGGGCCCCTTACAGGTGATGAGGGTGGCCACCGGGGTGGTTTTAGTGAGGTAAAAATCCCACACTCCCTAGTCTTTCTCCCCAAAAAGCTAGGCGCCTTTTGAAGGTATCCCCCCCCCCGTAATAAAAAAAAAAAAAAAAAAAAAAAGGCCAAGAGCAGGTGTTTAAACAGGATCATTTTAAGCCAGGAAGGAACTCTGCGCAGGCTAACAGGAGTCATTTGATGAGTTCCCTGATGATGACAAAAATCACACACAATAATGCCCACAACGTAAGTCCAGCGGCTATTGGCAGCAACGAACCGATGTTTAGGAATGAGCTTCTGGTAACCTTGCTGTGGTTGTTTCATGACGGTTTTCAGTGAAGCCGTAGTATTTCTCCAGCCAAACTGGCCTGTTCGCGCCCAAGTCTCCCATACATACCATATTTGCAAGGACATCGACTCCCTTAAGGGTCATTCGGCCTTCAGTTTTTATGCTGAACTTGTTAACAGTTTTTAATAATAATGTCCATAGAAAACATTGGCACTGTAGGTGTATCAATACCTACATTGTCATTCTTTAATTTGCCAGAGATTACCTCAAGCATATTAAAATCTGTTTCAACTAAGATATGCACCTATCTCTGTCACATATTAAATCTTAATTCTAGCGAGTATACATCTAAATAGCTTAAAACATCCATAATTACAACCTTTGTTTAAATATAGAGACAAAAACTTAATGGAATATTATGTAATAGCTTTTGTCCTAGACTTCGCTCGCGTTAAGAAATATTATTATTAATTAGGTATAATTTTTGCGGCTTTACTTTTGTTTAGCGTGTGTTAAAAATTAAGGCCTCATCTTCATCAATCTGTTATTTCAGCTCAATCAGTCGAAGAACGGTGAAGGTTAACATCGTGAGGATACCTGGACTTATAATTTCTAATTATAAGTTTGAAATCGCCAACCCGCATTGAGCAAGCGTGGTGATTAATGCTTCAACCTTCTCAGTATGAGAAGAGGCCTTTGCTCAGCAGTGGGCACTTATATGCTGATAATGATGATGATGATGATGATGATGAATCAGGCGAAAATCTAAGAATATTTATACAAACTTTCATCCCCTATTTTATTCCCTTATAGGTGGAATTTATCAAAATCCTTTCTTAGGGGATGTAGGCATTCCGTATAACATAGGTACGCATAACGCATGCGTTATAGTAGCTTTATGCATGCAAGGTCTTAGCCCGATCGGTTTAAATCTGACAAAGGTTCATACAAATTTTCATCCCCTTTTTTATCCCCTTCGGGGTAAAATTAATCAAAATCCTTACTTAGCGGATGCCTACTTTGTAACATCTACCTGCATGACAAATTTCAGTCCGATCCGTCCAGTGGTTTGGGCTGTGCGTTGATAGATCACTATATCAGTCACCTTTGAGTTTTATATATTTAGATATCACTCATACCAGTCACATCCAAGATATGTGAGTAAAGTATTTATAGAGAACTGTATAATCACATGGGAAAGTATTATATTCATTGCAAGGAACAAAAAGGATTAAGGCAGTACCGAACTAAAAACATGGCAATCTTGAACACTATCTTCAGTAGCTTGGCTAAACAAACGTATACATATGTGATCTGTTTTATGACATGATACAGGCGTTCGATTATGTATATTATAACACACTACTCCACAAAAAAAATAACAATGAAGCAATGTACCTACTCCAACTCATTAAATCTTATTTAGAAAACGTAACAAAAATAACTAAAATTAGTCGTATTAGTGTAGTTAATAAACACGAAAAAATAAAAACTCAAGAACGTATCTTCTCATAAGGTGTACCGCAGGGAATCGTTATGGGTCCATTTTTGTTTATATATTTAAATTACTTACCTGTTTCTTGTTTGTTGCTGTTTTTGTGTTGTGTATGCAACCCATAACTACGTTTACAGGTGATAGCACAATAACCATCTCTAGTAAAAAGGCAAGTACATACGAAACTGACATAAACAATATCCTTGATGCAATAATGAAATGGTTAGATAATTATAATTTTAAAATTGATATCATTTGTGCTGATTAATTTTATAATTTTTAATTTGATCTATATTGTAGTTATAAATCTTATATTTCTATTACAATTTTCGTGAGACATACATATAATTTAAATGAAATTTGAAAGTATAATATTAATTAATTCTTATGTTTCCCGCTTACTAACGTAATTATTTGACGAGGAACTCGACTAGTTTCAAGCCATGTACCGTCGCGTCGCGTGTCGCAGAATGCTGCTCTCTAGCATGGCCTTAATATTATAGTTTTAAATTTCATTTAAATTAATTATTACACAATATATGCTTGTATACATAATTTTCCATGGTTTGCATGCCGAATGGTAACATGTGGCTGGGCTGTATTACATTACCTAAACACCATATTTATTTGAAAAAATAAAATATTCTATTCTGTTCTGACGGGGGCAGACTAGTTAAACAAATTATAAAACAATAAATTGCAGATTTATTATTTAACACCTATGTTTGCCATTTCCGTTAAAAATTCAAATAATTATGGTTACAAGAATTAATTTAATGTAATCACTAGATATAATATTTTATGAATAACACCTAAAAACATTATCTTAAATCCAAACAGGTGTAATTTATGAGTCTTAACAGTCGTAAAGCAATAAAATAATATGAAACCTTTAACTTTTTTTTATCAAATAGAATAGATCCTACTTGCTTCCAATCCATAAAATTTATGTTAATCGATTATCAGTTTTGTATATTATAGAGGAAAAACTTTTATATTGTGTTTATGATTACAGTTATATGATAATCTGTTTCGATATAAATACCATTACTTGTATCGATTGACTACACTAATCAGACAAAATTGACAATATGCGCATCTTCGCTTTGGTCGCTCTGTGTATTGCAGCCGCCACAGGTACGTTCTAGTCTTCGTACAAACATGTTACAGAATACGACTATGGAAGAAAATAATTTAACAAAAAGTTTTCTATATAAACCTATGCTTACCAAAAAAGTATGAGGATGTATGTTTTTTTTACACATTGTAAATACAAAACATTTTTGGAAAAACGTTTTCTTCTTTTTGGGACAAAAAGTTACTGTTAACCCTACATTTTATGGGATCCACTACTTATTAATTGTTTTCCTTTTTAGCGGTTCCCTACAACCCCCATAGGCGTATAGATGGTACGAGTGCCAGTATCACCCAATACCCCAGCCTCGTCTCTCTACTTTACGCATACGAATGGAGTGTGTATGTCCAAGAATGCGCAGGAGTTATTATAAACCATCGTTCCATCCTCACTGCTGCTCATTGTCCTTAGTAAGTCACTACACTTAATCAATTTTAAAGATAAAACTTGTTTTTATTAAAACATCAAAATATTTTTGTCCAAGTTTGTATTTGTAATGTTTGATTCCGTTTACAGCTTTGACGCAGTCCCAAAATGGCGAATCCGTTTTGGTTCCTCCTGGCCAAGCAGTGGTGGTCACGTACATGGTGTGAATGGAATAATTATTCACCCATATTATCGACCAAGATTTTTGGAACATGACATCGCTATCCTACGCTCTGCTACCGATATACACTTTGATGACTTTGCTCGTCCTGCTGTGCTTGCAACTGCTGGTTACGTTGTACCAGACAACGCTCCTCTCTGGGTAGCTGGATGGGGTGCACATAGCGTAAGAATGCTTTTCATTGATTGCCAATTTTATCTCACAAAACTTTAAAGATTAAAGTTTAGAGATTGAAGTACCTAATCTAATTTTCCCTTTTCTACACAGTATGGTGCACTGTCGGGATCTGAGCAGCTTCGTCACATTCAAGTTCAAAAAATTAACGACTTGAATTGCAGAAACAGATACGCCTTCCGTAAGATACCCGTCACAGCCAACATGATATGCTCCGGTTGGGCGTCTGGTGGCCGTGACCAGTGCCAGGGTGACTCTGGTGGCCCTCTTTACCACAATAATATCGTTGTTGGTATCTGGTCTTTTGGTTTTGAATGCAGCAGCGCAAGTGACTTCCCCAGTGTTAACAGCAACGTTGCTCGCTACAGCGGTTGGATTTTGTCTAATGCATAAGAGAAAGAGAGTATTCAAGCGAAGAATAAAGGAAATGATGATTAAAATTGATATACTATTTTGTGTTAACTTTTTTTTTACTTTAACTTTTAAAGAGTATAGTGGCTTGCTTTTTTCGGTTTAATAAATAAGAAGATTTAAGCTTTTTTATGGTAAAAACCTCGACCAAGCAACTCAAACATACATTTCATTATAAACTAATTTTAAAGCTCAATTTTTATTTAAAAATACACGTTCAGATACGGGTCAACTAGTTATTGCTCATCTTGTTTACTATGAACAAATAATAAAATTGCGGAACTTATCAAAAACAAAAAAATAAATACAAATGGACATTATCTGTATCAATAAATGTGTAAGATTATTTTATAATAAATCAACATTGATAGTCCAAACGTTAGCCAAGTTAGTCAATACAGAAGTCATATTACATTTGTCTATGTTATCTCTGTAAATTAAATAATAATTGTATTTCACAATGTTGCACAATTATTCAAAATGTAAGGCTTCTTATATCCTTACTCCACTTAAGCACATATTTCAAGACATAAATATGTATATGTTTATGCATAGTAAACATACATCAACTGTACATGAAACTTTCTGCCCCACATAGCAAAACTTTGGCATCTTGCGGCGGTGGTATTACCGAACCCATACGACCTTCAAACCTTCAAGAAACGAGCGCACTCCTTCTTAAAAGGCAATGGCAACGCTCCTGTGACTCCTCTGGTGTTGCAGGTGTCCATGGGCGGCTCTGATCACTTACCATCAGGTGATCCGTATGCTCGTTTGCTAGATGGCAAACTAGCATTCCATAAAAAAAATACAATTTTATTTATTTGTAAAAACTTTTGTTTTTTAATCTTAGGACTCAAGGAAAGAGCTAGACTAGCTTAAATAGCTCATTCATGCGCAGTTATATGCTTGCTATTTGACCGCTTGTCTATTTTTAAAGGTCAATACGCAACGTTTATCGGCCGGTACTGTAACTCAACTATCTATCATACTCTTTATAACTACAAAGATATCTTTAAAAATAAACCTAGAGTTGGGAATCGTGCCTCTTTACCTACTTATGTTTTGTTATCATTAAAAGATTATCGCCCAACACTTTTATTGCAATTTATCTTTATGGCTATGCTGCTACCTGAACGACTACTGCTGAGAATGAGGTCATTGGTTTTTCTTAATTTTACGACCACTAAGTTAGCAGGATTTGATAAAAGAAATATACTTTTGGACTACATTTTTCATCAGTTTAGATTTAAAATGACTTAATTTTAAATATTTACGAAATGAACCGATGATGGCGATGTCGGACATTCGCAGCATGAAGTTTAAGGGAAGCATTGTGTCTCCAGAAATCGCACTAACGCTGGAAATATAATAAAACCTTTGTTCCTTACTTAGGTTAGGTACACTGCAAATTCGTGCCAAAACATGGCTATTCTACACTTAGCTTATAATAAGTTATTCTAGTGTTTGGATATAGAAATGAAGATCTTGTTACCGTTTCTCTAGTTGAAATTCTGATGATGATGATGCAAGAATTTTTCCAACCAGTAATCAGAACTTAATGATCGAAGAGACTAGCATTTTTTTATAAATGTTCCTTTTGATGAAAATGATAATTTTGATGAAAATGCCAATCGTACAAGAGCTTTTCTTCAAACCTAGTAGTAGTGGTTCTACGTCTTATTCACAGAGCAAAGTTTAAATAATATAAGCCGAAACGCATTATCAGACTTTTCATCGTAAGACTAATTATTAAGATATATTCATCATTACATCACTATCTTAATTAACCAATCGATCAAAACTCGAGCAAAAACCTTCCAAATTATCCAATTAGGCAGATATTGGCACATGATTCTTATCAAATTATCAGAAGATATTTATTTCATTCATTATTATTACAGACATAGATAGGAACTCAAATCTTAAGGCACATAGAGACGAAATAACATACACACAGTTGGGCACTAGGAGAAGCGCTTAGTAGGTCCTATGTTACAAACGCCGAAACGCACTAAAATTTGTTCTAGATTCCACAACTAATATAATAAACTACACCTGGGCCTCGAGTCTGCTATTACAATTGTGTCAGAATAGTAGATCATTGGTTGCAAAATTGTTGATTTTGACAAGTTTATTGGTAATCTACTAACACGATAGCATCATTATGACCTCCCAATGCCACTTTATTGAAATAATTCTTTAGAACGGTAATCTCGTACATAATGACAAATTAATATTTGACATAATGCGGTAAATTAATAAAAAAAACAGTTCCTTTATTCAATGATTTACGTTTAGAATATTAATGTGCAGTTATTGTTTATAATTCGTTACAAGACATCTCGTACTATAATTATATTACGACTTCGCCGAACGCCAATGATCAGCCATTTTGAATTAACAGATTACAAACTTTTAGCAAAATGACAATGGAATTGTGTATGAATGACAACACTTTGAAAATAGTAGACTCGGGCCCCTGATGAAACAATTAATTATCAGTTACTGTGTTACTTTCATGTTTCTACAGACTATAATCCAGTACAATCCAAAGTATGTGATGGATGGACTGCTGTTTTACAACTCTGATGTAGAGCATTAGTTCCACCGTAAACGAAAAATCTTAAATAAAATCAACATGCTTTATAAAACAAAAAAAAGTTTCTATAGCCTGTGCGACGTTAAGCGATACAATCCAACCGTCGATAGCTCCAACCGTCTTTTTTATGAAATAGGTGGCAAACGAGCAGACGGATTACTTGATGTTAAGCTAATCCCAGGTAGCCAAGAGGTGGGTAACGTAGAGGTAGGTCCGTGAGTGGTTCTGAGCGTCTGAAAACATGAGCATGGACATGGCTTCGAGATTCACGTCAAGGCATTAAATTTATTTTTGTTTTGGCTCTCTAACTTTACCTTAATGCTCAATAAAAGAAAATTTTATTTGCAGAATTATACCAAACTAGCAAATTAACTCCTTTCGATGATACAAGGGTGTGTCTAAACAAATCCCGCATATACGGCCTGCATCTTGTTTGCCTGGATTATTTGTGCTTCAATTATAGCAGCATCCGCGTCCGTTTTAAAATATACATATAAATTGCTGTGTCATGATTGTTCCACTTTTTTTATACTTTTATCACCTGATGAAAATTACGCAATGCCTATGTGTTGTTTTGACAAATAAAATACTAATTTGCTTTTGTAAATAATATACATTATACTTTTTTAAGGCTCAAAATCATTTAATGGCTTCTGTGAGTATGATCCTTAGTTTTATATATAGGTTTGGTTTAGTTTTAAGGTACCTACACAAAAGATTATCTTTTTAATATTGTATCAAGGTAGTGCGTGCACGTATAATGAAAAAAATAATTGCCTGTGTGTAAAGTTTACTAATATTTATGTTTTTGACGTGATAACATTGCAGTCAATAAAATTTTCTCAATAATCTTTAAATTATGTGTATCAAAATTGATATTCCTAATATTAAAATAAGTGTATAATATCATAAAATTATCTTGTTTCAGGTAATTATGATGTGACTAATAGTTATTAGTCATCAAAGTCGTGAAGTTAGCTGCCCAAGCACGAGGAGGAGGCTCCAGAACTTAGTAAGTACAAATATGATGTAGGAAAACATCGATAGAAAACCCGAACTTTCATTTCAATTAATAAGTTTGAAAAAGTCAATCCACTTCGAGCAATCGTAGTGATTAATGCCTATAATTTCTCCGTGTGAGAAGCTTCTAATAGGTTAGCAACGTCTGATGATAAATCAATAATATGTACTTATAAATACACACTTACTAGCATTCTGTATTTATTTCTGTCCCAAACTAGGTTGACAATTCGAACTAAGGTTGATAGATGGAGTAAATACACATGTTAAGTATAAAAATAAAATAAAACAATTAAATAACAAAAATGTTACTGTATTCATCAAAAAAATTATGCGTTTGATGATATCCAAGAGGTGTAACGGGATACACGAGCGTTGACGCCAGGGAAATTGGCTTGTCCGCATCCATTACCGAAAGAGCAGACACCAACAACGATACCATTGTGGTAGAGAGGACCACCAGAGTCTCGTTGGCACTGGTCACGGCCACCAGAGGGCCAGCCAGAGCACAACATGTTATCGTTGACAGTAAAACCAACGCCAGCGTAGTTGTTTCTGCAAGTGTTCTGGTTGATGACCACAAGCTGGACATGGCGAAGCTGCTCGGAGCCAGCGCCAGAACCGAACTAAAAAACACAAAGAAAATAATTAAGAAACAGAACAACAATCAGTATTCCGTTCGATCAAGAGCATTATAAAGAAACATACGAAAGTGTCACCCCATCCTGCAGCCCAAACAGCTTGGTTGTCTCCGGGCCAGTAGTTGGCACCAGCGATGGAGGCAGCGCGGACATTGTTGTTAAAAGTGAAGGAGGAGGCGGAGCGTAGGATAGCGATATCATTATCGTAAGTCCATGTATTATATGAACCATGGATGATGTTCTGGTTAACGTTGTGAACGGCACCACCGCTGCTACGGAATGACGAGCCTAGACGAAGTCTAAATCTGCTAGCAGCATGGCCACTATAAATATAAACAAAATAAATAAGATCATAAATTTTAATATTGAAACAAAAAAATACATTTGCCTTTCTGTGATTGTGATTAGATTATTTGTACCTACATGCTTATCAGTTAATAATTATATTGATAATCTAATTATTTTGTCGAAATATTTATACAAAACAAGTCTACGATATTTTCGTTTCAAAATATTTCAATCCAGATTCTAAATTCTATTCTTTTTAAAGTTAACAAATAATACTTACATTGTACAATGGGCAGCGGTGAGAATGGATCGATTATTTATGATGGTACCACCACAATTGTGCATGAAATTAACCCAATCATGTGTAATTAAGATGGCAGCAATTGTGGGATAACGGTCTATAGTCACGAGAGACCCACCAACAATCCTTTGAGGGTCAGAGGGGACCGCTGAAATGGTAAAAAAGTTACACATAGAATCAATAAAATACAACAATTCGTCTAGAAAAGGTATTGTGATTGATAACAATTAAATGATAAGAGGCTGGCATTAGTCGGTTGGGTCAAGAGCTTGACACAGAAAGCAGTTCTCCTTTAGACAGTGTGTAATGTAAGGAAGTTTCTGTCTATGGAGCACTAATCAGCCATAGCTTGGAACATGTCTTCGCTACCGGCTAGCTATTTTTAAGCGGTATTTTTAAATATTATTATTTCAAGTAAATAAGAGTAAAAATTATAAAATGAAATCCTCGTTTAATGACATACCCGCGGCAGCCGCAAAGCAAAGGGCCAACAAAACAATAATACGCATACTGCCTAACACTTCACCACGAATGTGATAATCAGAGTCAAAGATATCGTATTTATACGACAAAGGTTTCAAATATTCATCACAAACAGATAAAATTATCTAATTAAGTGTTGTCAAATCATTCCTTAAAGTGAATTAAGAGGTTTATTCAATGGTTTTAAATTATTTACAATAATTTATCAGTCCATACAAGTACCATTATCTCATTAATAATGGCACCAGAATTGTTCAAGCCTTGGTTAAATTATTAACCCTAACTAACTTTGAAAGGAACATTCCTGTTCCCTTCTTGATGATACTTTAAAATGATCATGACCATCAGATTTTGTATATGTACCTATACATATTTATACAGAATCTATTTTAGAATACATGTGTATACATACAGATCAGATCAGACGCATTACTCAATCAGAAATTGCATACATTTGAATATTACTTCTGACCGAGTTGAGTCTGTGACTGAAATACTGACGATGTCTAGATGGTAGGGCTGCAAAGAAAAATATAATGTAAGTGACTTAACCCGCCATCACTCGCGCGGGGTGCTGTCGGCACCCCACGCGTTTTTGAACGTAAAAAAGAATTATAATTTCTTCATTTATGTATCGGTTCGTCTCAGTACCTTCAAGTGACCTTTAAATGCATCGAAACGGGTCGGAAAGGGTAGTGTAGCGCGAGCGCTGGCAATATGAGGACGTGTCAAAGTTTGCGTGGGGTGGTCACGACACCCCGCGAGCGCTCGTGTTATACTTTTGCAGAGCTTACTTTATCATCAAGGTATGTGATTTCAACTTTTTTGTAAACATAAATTATTTAGTTGTGTTTTTATTTACTATAAATGTATATTTATGTATTTCTAAGCATATATTTAATGATTTAGGTTTAGGTACCCTCCTGTGTTCGTAGGCATGTATTTATTTTTCAAATCTTTTTGTTTTCAGAAGAGTTGGGAACAGGATCAAGCGAGATTGGCAGATTTGTTAGAAGAATAAAATAATATCGGATAACGAAGATAATGTGGCAGCGGAAAGTGAGGCCATCTTGGATGAAGAGTTTATTCAAGAATCTGATCATGATTATAATAAATAATAATAATAATAATAAAGCAGATGTAACACAACAATTCTCAACAGATATCTGTATGCAATTTGGAGTAGACAAATGTAAAGTTATGTCGGTAGTCAAAGGAAGAATTGAGAACAATAGATACATACTTGAAACGGGCCAAACGATAGAACCCATGGAAGAACATGACACATATAAATATTTAGGTTTTAGGCAATCCAGACAAATACAACACAAATACACAAGACAAGAACTCATAAAAAAATTTACACATAGACTCAACCTTATTCTCAAAACAAATTTAAATGCTAGGAACACAATGAAGGCTATCAACACATTTGCAATACCCATTCTCACATACTCATTCGGAATAATACAATGGTCTAAAACAAACACCCGAAAGTTACAACAAATCATTAACACAACACTCACCAAACATCGAAAACATCACCCAAAATCATGCATACAACGACTCACATTAGCACGCAAAGAAGGAGGAAGAGGATTAATAGATATACAAAACCTACACAATAAACAAATCTCAAGCCTTAGAACTTATTTCCACAGTAAATCAGAACACTCGTTACTTCATAGACAGATTGCAGAAACAGACAAAAACTTCACACCGTTAAACTTGCAAAGCCGAGACACACAAACAAATGAAATAATTATTAACAATGAAGACAAGATTGCATTATGGTCAGAAAAAGCGCTTCACGGGAGACATCGATCCTTCTTGAGCCAACCACACGTCGACAAAATTAAGTCGAACGAGTGGCTCACACGTGGTGAATTGTTTCCCGAAACCGAAGGCTTTATGCTGGCCATACAAGATCAAATCATAGCAACCCGCAACTACAGGAAATTTATTATGAAAGATCCTAATCAGCAGAATGACTTATGCCGACACTGTAACCTGGCTTCAGAAACCATTCAGCACATAACAGGAGCTTGTAAGTCTCTTGCACAGACTGACTACAAGCACAGACATGATCAAGTCTCTGCCATAATACATCAACATCTAGCTTGCAAATATAACCTAGTCGACCAAATGACCGCATACTATAAGTATAAGCCAGAAACAGTACTAGAAAATAAAAATTGTAAAATATATTGGGATCGAACCATTGTAACAGATAAAACAATACATTTTAATAGGCCGGATATTACAGTACATGACAAAGTGAATAAAATAGTATACTTGATTGATATTGCTATCCCAAACTCCCACAACATACAATCTACCATATCCGAAAAACTAAGTAAATACCAAGATCTTGCCATAGAAATTAAAACGCAGTGGAGGGTGCAAACAGTTCACATTGTCCCCATAGTCCTTTCTACCACTGGTATTATACCGAAGTCCCTCACACAAAGTCTTAATACTCTGCAAATGCCTGCATACACTCTCCACACGCTACAAAAAGCTACCATCCTCAACACTTGCCGCATCACCCGAAAATTCTTGACATCGTCTACTTTAACATCTACCTATTCAATTTAATCTTCCCCTTTTACACTTGGCTCCGGCCCGTGTATAAGGTTTCTTAAACTCTCGTGTGAGAAGAAAACTATAATGCATTTAAAATAATAATAATAAATGTTTATTTCTCAAATAACTTAATACTAGATTACACAGTTTAAAACTTGGCAGCTATATTTTTATAACCGAGAGTTTAGCATCTGTAGCCGAACTAGGCTGAGCCTGTATTTCGGCGATCAGCGCCTTTTCCCCAGAATTCCAGGTTAAGTTACTATTATCAAATCCAAGTACAAGGTATGATGGGTTATGGTATACATTTTTGAACTTAGTAAGTAAGTAAAATTAAAATTAAGTTAAAAGTGAGGATTGGGTTTAGTTGTATAGTAAATAGGTAAGTATGTGTGATTTTGGTGTAGTGTAAGGGTGCGTGTGTGGTGTGTGGGTGTGTATGTGTTGTGTAAGGGTGAATGTGAGATGTGTGAGTGTACGTGTGAGCTTAAGAGTAGTCCAACTATATAGATTTACTGAGTGTTCTCTAATAGTCGTTCTGTCTCCTCATAATTAAGATTCTGTAAGAAATAAAAAGTTTTTAATTTACATTGTTTTAACGTTAAGGGGTACATATTAATTATTTTGTTTATTTTACTATAGAGGAATGGACCAAGGAATCCGATAAATCTTTTACAAAATTTTGTCTTACACGTAGGTGGTAAGTCACAAACGTTGTGTTTTCGACGTCTTTGAAGCAATAATGGGTTATATGACTGTTTAGTGTGCTGGTGGAGGATAACTTTGAGAACAAATAGTTGTCTAACTGTTAAAACATCACACAACCTGTAGAGCTTTACGGTTGGGAAGTCGATAGGATTGAAGGTGCTAACTTTCAGAATAGCTCGCTGAGCTATCTCCACTGACTTTATAGTAGTTTTATAGATACCGCCCCAGGTTGTGATACAATATGCAAGGAGTGACTGACAGAGAGCGAGATATATCCGCTTAAGCAGCATGGCATCCGCTACGTGACGCAAAGTTTTAAAAATAAAAATAAGTTTACGTAGTCTAGAGCTAAGAAGTTTTACGTGTTCTTTAAAATTGAGGTTCCTGTCAATGACAACACCTAAGTATTTGAGTGAATTTACTGATTCAATAATTGGACAACTACAATTTACTACCGAGGAACAAACGTGCAATTTTATATTTAGGTTATTTTGGATATCGGCGGCCTGCCTTATGCTAAAACAGACATACTTAGTTTTATCAACATTGAGGGTTAAGATATTTTTTTGTAGCCAACTTCTTGTCCTGTCAAAGCCATCCTGTGCGGCGCTGAAAACCTCTTCCCATGTTAGACCAGCGAATAGCAAGGCCGTGTCATCGGCAAATGAGATGATTTTACCCGATGCAAGGTTTAGATTCGTTAGCCCATTTATGTAGACGAGAAATAAGGTCGGTCCCAATATACTACCCTGCGGAACACCGTGTGTGACAGGGAAATAATCGCTTACACTTTCTCCAACTCGAACACATTGGGTACGTCCGGACAGGTAACTAGTGAAAAGTCGAAGTTGTGCAGCCCTGATTCCAAGTTTTTCTAACTTACTGAGTAAAAGGGAAACAGAAATCGTATCAAACGCCTTTTCCAGATCTAGGAAAATGGCGAGGCACTTATTCCCTCCATCCAAATTTGAACTGACAAAGTCAGCAAGCTTGTTTACTGCCTGCTCAGTAGATTTGCCATGCCTAAACCCGTACTGGTTAACTGATAGCAGGTTATTTTTTTCCAGATAGCCAACTAGCCGTGTGTTAATGATTTTTTCTAAGATTTTTGATATCGCAGGCAATATAGATATTGGTCTATAGTTGCTAATACGATTTCTGTCTCCGTTCTTGTGTATTGGGCACACAATCGACCTTTTCAGCATATCTGGGAATACACCCGTCATTAGGCAGTCGTTAAATATCTTAGTTAAGGGACAAACTAGAATGGATTTGTGCTGTTTTAAAAATTTACTGCTTATATGATCACATCCAGGTGCACTGTCAGTCTTTAAGCCCATGATGAGTTGATCCACTTCTGTCTCACTTGTATCAAATAAAGCGAATGAATTTAGTGTGTCTGTTTGATCGTGGTGAATAGGTATGCGAGTGTTTTCCCCTTCTACGTCGGTATTAGACTGTTGAATTTTATCTGCCAGAGAGCTTCCTACATTTATAAAGTAATTGTTTGCTTCATTAAGTGATTGTTGAGGAGAGGATGATAGAGACAGAATTTCTTTTGGCTGTTGGGTGGCTTTTGTAGTGTTTGTGATATTTTTAATGACTTTCCATAATTTTTTATTGTTATTTTGGGCATCATTTATTTGTTTTTTATCATATGCTATCTTAACTCTTTTCAAAAGGTCGTTACAATAGTTTCTGTAGCGCTTGTAAGTGATCTTTAAGACTTCGTTATCAGGTGCTGAGTTCGATTTCAAGTGTAGTCGGTCCCTATTTTGTATGCAGCGTAGTAGTCCTGGAGTTATCCAAGGTTTTAGTATTTTTTGACGCCTTGGTAAATGTATCACTTGGGTATTTTTTGAAATGGCCTTTTGTAGGCATGTTGTCAGGTAATTGATGTTAGTGTTTGGGTCTATTGTCTGATAAATTGGCTCGAAGTTGATTTCTAAGAGATCTTTTAATAGGCCTTTTTCATCAATTTTAGTATTTGTAGTGGTAGCATATTGTCGAGGCCTCTTCAAATACATACTCAATAACACCGGATGGTGGTCGGTAAGAGTTGCATGAGGGACTATAGTGATGGAGGGGCCTTGCGTCTTTATTAGGGCATGGTCTAAGCATGTTTGACTAGCACTACGTGTGACAAGGGTATGAGTAGGCAACAGGCCATGCGAGGCCGCAAGGGTTAAGTATTTTTCTCCATCAATGTCAATTTTACTAGGGTTAATTGCTATATTTAAGTCTCCTATAACCACTTTGTAATTGAAAGTTGAAAACTTTTTTAATGTATTGTCCAAGGAAGACATGAATGGGTCCAAGTTAATGTAGGATGGAGATCTGTATAGTGCAATCACCGCAATGCGATTTTCTATAATGGCAACCAAACAATTGCTGTTACTAAAATCTGGTTCCAAGATAGACAAGTTCAAATTATCCTTGTAGTAGATAACTACTCCATCGTTTTGTTTGGTATTTGTTTTAGTTTCAGCATGAGAGTAACCAGCCAGGTGAGGAATTACAGTTGCTTTTTGGAGCCAACATTCGGTTAGAATCAGAATGTCACATTTTATTTTTAACCTGTGAAGAATTAGATTCTTTATCAGAACAGGATATTTTATCGGAGGCTGAAGTAGAAGAGGCTGAAACTCAGGATCGTCAACGAGTTGATTTCATCGGAAAAGACAATAACTAAATGGCACAAAGTCAAGGGTCTTACTGCAATTAGAACCCGCGCTCTCAATATACATAATTACTGAAGCTCCCGATCCCAAAGGTAATGCCAAAACTTGTAAATCTCCACTTGAAATAGAAGATCATCACAACCAGGGTTACCGAAAGCACTCAAGAGGATGTTGAATGCTTCTGGATCAAGCACCGAAGAAATGTCGCTTACAAAAAAGCAGCACTGTATAGTTTGTCCACGTTCTAAAGACATCAAAACATTAGCTCACTGCATTTTTTGTAAAAAAAACATGTGTCAAAAACACATGAAGTTTATTTGCAGTTCTTGTTACGAAAAATAAGAAATTTTTGTTTAATTTTGTTATTTAATCCTTATATTTTGATTTTCAATGACCAAATTTATGTTAAAAATGAAGATTTTTTTTTGTTTTTGTTTTTTTTTGAGAAATGATCTAAATATCATGCCTAAAAAGGCGGATTATTATAATGTATTGTAGAACATCAATAAAGTTAATTATAAAATTAAGGTTTTTTTTATTTATATGCGGTATACAACACAAAATAATAAAATGCAGTTGTAATTCCATTAACTTCTACCATATTTGTATAAATGTCCTTTGAGTATGTGGGGTGGCCTCAACACCCCGCGAGTGCTCACGAGGTGAAAAACCGCGCGAGTGATGAAGGGTTAATTACTGTCATAGCATATGAGTACCTACACCTGATGGCAAGCAATCGGCGGGGCGCCGCGCGCCGTGTGATGTCGAAATAATGGAGATAAGGGGTTCTGGGGGTTTAGAGCTTAAGAATGGATGGGGGAAGGGAAGGATTGAATCTCTAGCACCCTCACTCACGAGGTGAAACATAACGCCGTTTTTTGTCGCCGTTGTTATACTCCGGCATGGCCCTCTCACTTTTTACTATCAAGCATAATATAACAACACAATACTCCTTAAATGAAACTGTAACAATGAGATCACTCCTTTACAATCACGATAAGTAATACCATAATTTTCAATCATTTAATTTTATCTTTATTAATGACATTTTGATATCTTAAATATGTTTGTGTTAAATTAATTTTATCACAAAAGAAGGAATTACTATCATATGATCCACAAAAATCTTGAGTGATTGATGACGGCATTTTTAACTTATTTTTCTGAAGGCATTGCAGATAATTCCATCTATGTATGTGGTAATTGTCGAAAGAAACCTTAACTTTGAATATCAGCATTAATTACACACTACAAATTATATTATGATAATAATATCGAATTTACAATTTTGGAATACAGAAGCAGATACTAAAATAAAAAAATACATAAACGAATATCATATCTTAAACTGTCCAAAAAATTCGGAGATAATCTTGACCTCTTCTTTTCAGTAAATGACAGTTGGCAAAAAAATATTGACGTGGTTTCAAGCATCGCCAAAAATAAATCAAGCAACAAATAAATGGGGAATCATGTACCTATCCAAAATTCATAGCATTCTACACAGTAAAAAAATATTCTTAATAACACCTCTGTTAGGAATGATTAATCTGCAAAATATTGACTGGCTCAAACTATTGGATATAATAAAACTACCAAAATAAAATCAGCATATTTATTAAAATAAAATACTTCTAAGCGTTTGATGAGATCCAAGATGTGTATCGTGATACACGGACGTTGATGCCAGGGTACCTAGCGTCAGCACAGCCAATACCGAAAGAGCAGACACCAACAACGATGCCGTTGTGGTAGAGAGGACCACCGGAGTCACGCTGGCACTGGTCACGACCACCATTAGGCCAGCCAGAGCACATCATGTTATCAGTTACTGAGAAGCTACTGGCATAGTTACTTCTACAAGTATTCTGGTTAATGGTCATAAGCTGGACATGACGGAGTTGCTCGGAGCCAGCGCCAGAACCAGACTGAAAAGTAAGAAGTGAATATTAGATTGCCATAAATTAGATAAAAGGGGCAGTACTGAAATTTTGAGACATTAAATTGAAACTAACGTAAGTATCACCCCATCCAGCAGCCCAGACAGCTTGGTTGTCAGCTACGTTGTAGTTAGACCCAGCGATGGAAGCAGCACGAACATTGTTGTTGTAAGTAAAGGCTGTGGCAGAACGTAGGATAGCAATATCACTGTCCATAGTTCTAGGGTTGTATGCAGGGTGGACGATGTTCAAAACGACATTGTGAAGTACACCGCCCGTGCTCCGGAAAGAAGAGCCTACGCGGATTCTAAACTGGCCAGGTGCCTCACCCCTGTAAAAGACAGAAAAGAAATGCTTTTTTTTAATAAGTCAAATCAGATTTTAGATTTTTAAACCCCTTATATCTCCAATCCTCAAATGCCAAACCCTAAAACGGCCAGCAATGAATTTATAAATCCTCTAGTGCTGTGGATGTCAACGGGCGGTGATAATTGCTCACTATCCGGTGATCTTTGAGCGTTTTGCTGCGCTATGCCATATTAAAAGATTGTGAACCTCGTGGTGAGGTATTGATGAAAGATTTAAATAAAGTCATTTAGATCAAAAGTAAAATTCTTACTCGGTACAGTGAGCAGCAGTCAGAACAGATCGGTTGTTGATGATGGTACTGCCACAAGAGTGACGATAATTAACCCAGTCAAATGAATGCAGGACTGCAGCAATTGTGGGGTACTGATCAATTGTAGTGACTGAACCACCCACAATTCTTTGACCAGAAGGTACCGCTGCAACGAAAAAATTGGTTTTAATCGGATTTATGCCTAGCATATGAGTACACCAAACGAATGACCGTAAAAATATTTTTCAATGGTCACATTACTAATTCAATTTATACATATTCCCAATTTAAATTCTGATCAAGTAAAGGAACAAGTAGTTTGATTGCTTATTGATTACTTACTGTGTAGACGAAAATTGAGTAACATACGTATATTTAAAACAATGAACTACAAACTTGACAATGAACTAAATAAATTGAAATAATTCATAAGTCTTCAAGACTTTTATATTATTATTATTTCTCATGTGTCGTGGGTGCGTTTACAAACATACAAATTCACATACACATCACACCCAGACCCGGAACAACAATTTGTGGATCACACAAAGAGCTGTTCCGTGCGGGAATCGAACCTGCGACACGTTGCACGGCAGCCAGTTGCCCAGCCACCGCACTAACCGTGCAGTCTAAATAATGGAATTTGACACATTTTGGTTTGAGCTTATGATAATATCTTGTCGCTAGTTAGTAATTTTCTAAATAGATAACTGAAATGGCCCCAAGCGAACCACTTACCAGCAACGGCTGCGATAAAAAGGGCTACCAGGGCAAGAATTCGCATATTGCTAATTAATGACTCCAACACAAATGCTGTAATCGACCAATACTACCGTTTTTATATCGAAGGCCAATACAGACTATCAAACAATCATATGTAGAGATAAACCGTGCGATTATTTTACTAATGATTTTAAATGATCTACAGAAGTGTATTCACTGTCTTAATCTTCTTAATTAAATCTTGTCGATAATATCCAATGTGGCTTTTATAAGTTCAAATTCTGAATCAATTTTCTAACACGTTAAACGCCATGGGGCTGTGTGGTGACCTCCCTTAGCGGATGATTTGCCTTCAACAATTTTCTGTCGGCAGTCAAAAGTTTAACAAGAGGTGTACTGCAGCACATCTTGATTATTTTTTGGTGTGCCTCAGAAATATATGGATATTATATTCTATGTATGCTTATGTCTGGTCCTTTTTCCTCTTCAGTATCTGTTCTGTGACGTCATTTTCATTTACAGTGCTCTAGTCGTGCTAAAAGTCTTCTTTCTTTTCATAGCCTCTTAATTATCTATTATTCTCATAGCTTTAATACCGTACATTCTTATTTTACATCCAATCCATCCTTTTATATGGAAAAAGTCATCCGTGGAAATCAGGAAGCCGCCAGTAGAAAATCTTTTATAAAGGCTGTCCGTCGGTGCTTATATATATTTTGTAGCGAACGCATTGTTATTTTTAATATTGTATATTTTTGTATGTAATTTTAATACTTTATATTACATATTTATAGTCTTGGTACAAAATAAAATATGTTTTTAATTAAAATGTTATACTGGTACGTACTTACATAGTATAAGTTTGATAGCACCTACCATATTACTCTGCCATAATAATTGAATTGAATATTAACTGATAGGAATGCCCAAAATATTAAGACCACTTCTGTACAACAGAAGGGCATAGAAGTTGTAAACAAACAAATAAAATATACTTTAATGGTTACAATTATTTACATAACAACGACACAATATTAATGTTATGATAACTAATATTATTTCCATAAAAGAACATTATCGTGATCAAAACAGTGATTATCAAAAGATCAACAAAAAAACCGAATCCATTGATGATGATACTTGTAGTACTAGCTTATCTTGATTGGTTTATCTTCTTTTTAACGATACTTAAAAAAAAATATATAAAAAGCTGATGCGGTGTTTGACAATTTTCTCAGCAATTCAAACAAATATAAGGATTTAAACATTTGGAAGCAAACGTGTTGGAGAGCCATGCTTTGGCAATAACGGAAAACCCATGTGAAACATTGCTTCCAAGGCTCAATCAGTTCTCCTTCTCCCACCCCAATCGTCAAATCGTCCAAATCCCGAAGGTCTGCTAGACCTTTTACCGTATGTCAATGGCGCTTGCCATCAAGTGATCTATCTGCTCGTTTGCTCACCTATAATATACCAAATACTTAAAAAACATGATTGAATCAGTGCTGGATTAATTTCTCCTGACTAACCATTGACATCGCCGTAGATTTGCTTAATGGAAAAAATAACCTTTTTAGACGAAGACCATTTTTACCTGTCAGGATACAAAGTGTAATGACCATATTTGGCCTTCTGAAATCGTTGAGAAATTATTGAGAAGCCTTTGTCGCAAGGTGTATGGTATACTATATGGTGCGCTAGAGACTTAATGGGGCCGGTTTTTTTCGAAGATGATACTGGATCAGATGGCGTCTGTCAGCATGGTCATGGTAGACATTTGCCAGATATCATTTTCATTCTTATTGTCATCCTCTCTCTCTCTCATTGAATCATCTTCATCAAACTTCGTTGTTTTGTGTAATTTGAGAAAACAAGGTTCTTTTTGAAAAACCTTAATTTTATTTAGGTGCATATTACACACCTATCACAAAATTTAATTTATTACTCAAATTTTTAATGTAATTAATTAAGCCTTGTAGTTCATACATGGTGTACATTATACAATGCTTCTTTTTATCTTCACCCAATAACAATCTTATGATATCCGGAATAATATTTTCATACAACAAGATAATCACCACCAATGTAGTGATTATCTAAAGGTTATTAAAAAAACCAGATTGATTAATGTATAGCTTATCTCAAATGGGTTTTCTTACTAAATACTGGTGACTCATATGAAAAGTTTGTTTACCTAGTAACTAAAAAACCTACTTAATTGTTGTATTATTTTTCTTGTCCAACTTACTGAGTACATAAAATTTTAAAAAACTTGGGTTTGCACCGTTTTTGTATTAACAGAAAGTAGGCAGCTTGTCATCTGAGAAATAAAACAAATCGGAATTTGAAAAACTATGAACATCACATAAATATAACTAGGGGAAAAGATCCCCTAGTTATGATATATTGCAGTCAATTTGTATGCGTTGACTGCTAAATAAAAAGCGCTTCATAAAGTCCCACACTGACCAGACATTTTGATGACATTCTAAAGTTTAAATCTTCGTCGTTATTCTTTTTGTTTAAATAAAAAAGTATGCGATATGTATTTTTCGAAGTAGGTAGCAAATTGTTAGGATTTTTAGACAAAATAAAAAAAACAAATTCTTGTTTCAAAATAATAATTATTTATTATTCCAAATGCAACATTATATATTATTTTATGCATTAGCCTGGATCCAAGAGGTGTACCATGAAACACGAGCGTTTACTCCGGCATATTTAGCGTCAGCACAGCCCATACCGAAAGAGCAGACACCAACAACCACACCATTATGGTAGAGAGGGCCACCAGAGTCACGCTGGCACTGGTCGCGACCACCGGTGGGCCAGCCAGAGCACAACATGTTGTCGTTGATTGAGTAGATAGTGTTGGCGTACTGGTTTCTGCAAGTGTTCTGGTTGATGACTACAACCTGGACGTGACGGAGTTGCTCGGAGCCAGCTGTCGATCCAGACTGAAATATAATAGTTGTATGTATTTATCATTTAATCAATTTTTGGTAAAATATTTACAAAATATAGAGGGTCTTGAAAGTGAAATTAAAAATACTTACGTAAGTGTCTCCCCATCCAGCAGCCCATACGGGTTGGTTGTCAGCGGGGAAGTAGTTGGCACCAGCGATGGAAGCAGCGCGGACATTGTTATTGAAGGTGAAAGCGGTGGCGGAACGGATAATACCAATGTCATTGTCAAAAGTTCTAAAGTTATATCCAGGGTGCATAATGTACTGAATAACATTGTGAAGAACACCGCCACTGCTACGAAAAGATGAACCTACACGTATTTTTAGCTGCCCTGGTTCGGTGCGGCTGTAAAAGAAAAAAGTAATCAATAACACACCTAATAAAATTGATGACGCAGACTTTGCATTTTAAATTATTTCAAAGTGATTTTTAATCCACATCGACTCCACGCTTGGCGCAGTAGCTAGGCAACTGCCCGTGTACAACGTGTCGCAGGTTCACGCACGGGACAATTGTGTCATCAAAAATTGTTGTTTAGAGTCTGGGTGGCTTGTGTAGGTGAATTTGTTTGTTTATAAACGCACAAACGACACAGGAGACAATCCTAGGGTGAGGCAACGTTTTTTTTTTTAAATACATTCGAATTAGTCGCCATACGAGTAAAGTAGTAAACAGAGTACGAGACGATATTTTTTTTAAATTGGTATAATATCAAAGAGAGAAATTGATTATATATTTAGATTTTCTTTTTACTTATAACTTATAGCGTGGTTGAAAAAACATGTAGGAAATTATCTATAGCGACATCTATAAAGGCCGGCAATGCACCTTTGACTTCTCTGGTGTTGCAGTTGTCCATGGAATGCGTCTGCTCGTTTGTCTCCTAATCAGTAAAAAAAAGCGGAATGGCCCATATGGTAATAATAAAGTTACTTACTCGAGGCAATGAGCAGCAGTGAGAAGGGATCGGTTGTTCAAGATGGTGCTGCCACAAGAATGTCCAAAATGAACCCAATTATAGGCATACAAAACTGCAGCGATAGTCGGGTACTGGTCAATTGTGGTGACGGAACCACCCACAATCCGTTGACCACCGGAGGGCACCGCTAGGAAGAGAAAATATAAGAATGTAAATTTTATAGTAAACGCCAAAACAGTGAGAGTTACAAATAGTTGTACTTCCCTTAAGATTAAAATGACAATAATATTAACTATAACTAAATTGTTGCGGTGGCCCGGAGGTTATGGAGCCCGCTTCTCATGCATGAGGGCGTGGGTTCGAAACCTGGCAAGTACCAATGTGACTTTTTCCGAGTTATATGTACTTTCTATGATTATCTAGACACCATTGACATACGGTGTAGGTAAACATTGTGAGGAAACCTGGACTTTTAATTTCTAATTATAAGTTCGAAATTGCCAACCCGCATTGAGCAAGCGCTGTTTTTAGTGTTCTAACCTTCTCCGTGTGAGAGGCCTTTGCTCAGCAGTGGGCACTTATATGCTGATGATGATGAATGATGAAATTGTTAAATAAAAAAATATTATAAAAGTTTTGGTAAAAAAATACCTGCAACGGCCGCTATGCAAAGGGATAGCAAAGCAAGAATACGCATGTTGCTTATTACAAGGACTTGGATCACAAATATTGTAATCAGCGCCGGGTTCATCGTTTTTATAGCAAAGCCTATCGAAATTTCCATATACGTTCATACACCTATACGTATAGATAGGTACCTACAGATAAAGAACACATTATAACAATTATGTTACCTACTATTGTTTAAAAAATTGCAAAAAGCCTTTACAAAATAACTCCCTAATTAATTGGTAATAGGCATTCTTTTATCTCTAGAACAATATTTTCGCACCGAGGATATTGTCGTTACCGAAACAATAACTATGTACTTATAAGAATATCAGGAAATTGTATAGAACTATTATTTGCGTGATCCACAATCTTTTCTTTTGGTTTTATATAATATTATGTAATAGGGGGCAAATGAGCCAACGAATAACCTGATGGTAAATGTTCAATGCCTCCCATGGAGATCCGCAAAACCAGATAAGTCACGTGCGGGCTGTGTATATCAATTTGTGAACGCACCCTTCAGAAAATCCTAGTCTCACACAAGAGTTTCTCCGTCTTATTTCAGTATAAAAGAATCGTACAACTTTAGAACGATTAAATACCGTTCTTACTTCTTCCACGCAGAGCCTTTCTACACAGACATTACTCTATAAAAGGGGCAAACAAGATTGTATAATATGAAGCTTTGTCTTATCTACATATTTTGTGCCTTGAACAAATTATTTTTTTCTGTTTACTATGAGGTAACCGCATTCGAAGATAGTTCGAGCGTAAGTCAATAGATGGCGCTTAACACAATCTATCAAAAATAATAAAAAAATAAATCAGCTATATAATAATTATAATTATGTTATCTGATAATAACAATAAAAAATTATGTTTCGCTAGCTTAAATGTAGTGCAGTTAGTAGCCCAAAAGGTCTGGTCAAAAGAGCTCCCATTTCCAAAAGTAGGTAGCATCACATACTGTTCCCAAAAGGTCACTCATTATAAAATCTGTTTTATACAATGAGATTTTTTGAGAATACGTTTATACTGTTGTAAGTGTTGGAAAGCCATGCTTCGGCACTAATGGGTCGATTTTACCGGAGTGATACCACGGCCTCGCAGAAAACTGGCGTGAAACAACCACAGCGTTTTCACCGTATGAGTGAGGTTACTGGAAGCACAATCCTTCCCCTCCTGGAGATTAAGGGGTTCGGAAGGGATTTCCATCCCTTCCTCCAGTCCTATAAAAAAATGGTTTAATTGGTGATTTTATCAGATCCTGGGGTGAACATACGTATTATATAGGTATATTTATTTTTAATTTTGTAATTTAGCACGATTCAAGCTATAGGTTCGGCTCATATTACGTGGAGTTTATAAGGTATGACTAATTTGTAGTTTGTGAGGGGAAAATCATCAAATGACTTCTCCCGCCCAGGGCAGGGCGGGAGGGAGTGTCTGACCCTTACTGACTAAAAACCCCCCTGTTCCTTCTCCTGCTCTGGGCCGAGGTAGCGGTGCATCATTGCGATCATTTAGACACTTGATTGCGCGATTGGCGCCGTGGCTGGGCACTCGCTGCCGCGCAACGTATCGATGTTCAGATTCGACTAATGTGGTCAACGTTTAAACGCATATATTTGGTCAGTGTTAAAACTAAGACGATTTTAATAATAATCGTCCTAAAATAAACGCATGTGATAGGTTAGTCGTGATTAGGCACGAATAGTCCGGCTCGACCGATGTATTACCCAGAACGAATGAATTTTTTGTCAGGGGAAATCAGAGTGTCAGACTCTTGCTGACTAAAATCCCCCTGCTTGTTGTTCCTTTTCCTGCGCCAGGCCGAGGTTGCGGTGCCTCATTGCGCTTACCCCGCAACCCCGGCTGAACATAGCCCCGTCTGTGGTGGTCTATTGGCTCTTTGAGGCGCGCGCGGAACGTCACGCCGTACGCTCGCGTCTGTTTTCATCGGGCGGCGAGCTATCCTTACTCGCCGTCCGCAGACGCGCGCTTACGGTGGCCGTAGATCATCTCTAAATCCCCGACCCCCGGAATGTCACCTACTCCGGAGACTGGGGCGTGAGGAGGATAGTTCCCTCACGCGCTCCGCCTCCTCCTTTGCGAGCATTCGGCCTTATTCCCAAACAAGTAGTTTTTGTTTTTCGAATTGAAGGAAGATGGCAATAAGATTCAAAATTCAAAACCCGAACTCAAAATTCAATGGTTTTAAGGGGGATCAAGTTGTAAAATACGAAAAAATCAGTGCTCATTGAAAATAGGTGTTACATAATTGTTATCGGATTAGTTCAATTAATTACTGTTCATCCACTTTAATTGTTTTATCAGAACAAGTATTGCTGATAACTTTACTTATTAAACTGATAAGTGATTGTAATCAAGGTATATCCTCTACTGTAATACTTAACTCAATTAATAGCTTTAATTAATACATATATTAATTGTAAATTAAACCTTTATTAAGGTTGATATATTCGTAGAGAGGTTTTTCTTAAAAAAAGCGGTTCCTGTGCATGGTTCCCGAAACAATAATTTGTGGATCATACAATGTATTGTTCTTTGCGGGAATCTCGAACATGCGCCAGATTGCGCCAACCATGCAGTCAGTTTTAGGGTGATAGTCGAGTAGATCACCATTGACACCATAAAACACTTCTGTTTAACAATTTGTATTATTTATATTTCACAAACCAAGTAAGTAACAATGTGATTTTTTCAAAGATGTTTGTCCTTTTTATGGTTATTTACAAACATATTTTTGAATATAAAACTATTAAGACATACTAAATTTATTGACTAGCTATTCTCGAGCGGTTTCACGCTCGGCTAATTATGATCGTAGCGTCATGCTTTATAGCCTATAGCACTCTGGAACATTGTAGCTATCTATCATGAAAGAATTTTGGTAATCCGACCAGCGGTTCCAAAGATTACCCCTACACACAAACTTACAAATTTTACCTCTTTATAATATTAGTATAGATAACTTCTTACTCACGTGAAATAACTGAAAAAAGCTCTACAAATTCAAAATTAACTAGTACATTTTAAGTGTGGGAGAGCCATACTTCGGCACGAATGGGTCGGCTCGACCGGAGTCGGTCGTGATATCTTCTATACCACGACCTCACAGAAAACCGCCGTGAAGAAACACTTACATTGTGTTTTGCCGTGTGAGCTAAGTTGCCGGAGACCCAATCCTTCCCCTCCCCCAATCTCAAAAAAGTCTTCAAAAAGCAAATTAACCACCAGATATTAAAAATGGAAATTTGCTTTCTCACCGAAAGCAAATTTCATTGTATAAAGAATACATTCAGCTCTATTCTTCAATTTCTATTTAAATATTATGGTGTGGTGCTTTCATCTAAAGATCATCTTTTTCTAATAATTTATATGTCTTCTCCCGCCCTGGATGGGGACGAGAGAATGTCAGATTGTTAATGGCTAAAATCACACCGCTCCTTCTTCTGTTCCGGGACCACGGTTCATTATTGCAAATGTATCCAAGTCTTTAAAGCCAGGGTTGGGGCTCTTGGAGAGATGATCTCCGACCACCGTAAGCGCGAGTCTGCGGACTTCGAGTAAGGGTTGCTCGCCGCCCAACCAGATCGAGGCCCGAGCGAACAGCGCGTAGCGTCCCGCGCGTACCGCTATAAGTCACCGCGGCCTCGGTCCAGAGCAGTAGAAGGAACGGGGGTGTTTTTAGTCAGTAAGAGTCTGACACTCTCTCTCTCTCCTTACCCTGAGCGGGAGAGGACATTTGATGATTTCCCGTGACAAAAAAAAGAAAAAGGCTTGCGGATCTTGAGACCACCACAGAATGACCTTGCAAATAATTTTTATATTTGTCTTGCCTTTGAAAAGAAACCGAATGCCCTCTGAGTTTGTCTCGTATTTTTTATTCCAGTAGAATCAGACAGAAAATAAAGGCTTTCTCATAAACTCCATTGTCTTGTTAGATAATGGTGACGTGTAAAAGTACTGTTACAATTAATTTATTGTTTAACGATACGTTGTATAAACAAATCTTGTAATCTTGACTCTAATCTGTGTCATACCTAGTGTTTCACTTCGATAATTGTCGTTATCGGGGTATTCCTGTAGACCGAAATTATATTATCAAACATATACACATTATTAAAAGAAAACACAGGAAAACCAAAAACAAAGAATAATCTGTTTCTAATCAATAAATAATGAATCATTATTTTTGTGAAATTTCCCGAATAAATAGCCAATTTCCGCTCATTAAAATCATTCCTTAGTAACGATTTTGTTTCGTAAACAATTGCTAGGGACTGGGTTAAAAGCCATTAAATAACTCTGAGATCTTAGGTAGGTCATTGAACCCACTTTTAAAAAAAGAAAGTTCTAGAATTGTATCTTTTATAACGAATGATTTTTTCTCTTTATTATGTTTAGAGATCTTTATACCGTGTATATGTCAGTCCCATCTTAAAACGAATTTATTTACAAATAGAATTTGTTGATTACGTATTCAATTTAGGCAGTAAAGCTAATCTATGAACAGTGCTTAGCCAAAGAACGTGTCTCTTAGTCTTAAAGAATTCTCAATATATGGTTTTAACGTAAATTTTGTTTGTCAGAATCTATCTCATAATGTATCTTTTATAATGCCTCATTTTAATCATGTTTGCATGTCATTTGTGATGTCATGTCATCATTGAGCTATATTTGGTACTAAAAATATTTTATGGACAAAATGTTTGACAGAATAATTATTATTCATTCTTCGTTTTACACCCTCCAAAATTGAAATGTAAGAACGAAAGCTTCTTACAAATCGAGTGTAGGTAAAAAAGTCCTGTACTAGGTGGTGATATATACATGCAGCGTAAAGTATTCCTTCAAAATAAAATATAGTAAATAATCAAGTTAATTATTATGTATATATTGAATATTTTATATATTTATGAGTTATGCTTTTTCATGCCACTGAGGCTGTAATCTGTTAACTTTTAGGAAGAGCGATAGTAAAAAAAATAACATGAATTTCAAGAATTTGATGTTTTTTTCTGAGCTCACACGTCGTACTTCCTAATATTAGATGGATATCGCAGAAATTCGGTGAAGAAAAATACTGAAGAAATCTTTACTGATGATTTCATATTACGTATTTGAAATCGCCAATTCGTCATGAGCAATCATGGAGATTAATGCTCATATCTTCTCCATGTGAGAAGAGGCGTTTTGCTCATATGCAAGTACTTTATACACTGGTGATATTCATACGTGATTACGGTACGATTGGAGTTTGTGCCAGACTGGAAGAATTTTTGTGTGATTATTGTTCCAAGTTTGGATATGATATAAATGTATATTATTTCGTAAATATTCCCTTTATACTTGAATGTTATGGAGGTTAAGGCGCCTGCTTCTCGTATCAATGTGAGTTTTTCCGAGTAATTAGTATGTATTTTGTATGATTGTTTAGACACCACTGAGATACAATTAAGGAAAAACATCGTGAGAAAAACTGGAATGGTAGTTGCTTATTATGAGTTTGAAGTCGCCAATTCGCCTAAAGCAAGCGTGGTGATAAATGCTTCAACCTTCTCCGTTTAAGGAGGTTTTGTTTGACAGTAACACCTTTTTTTAACAGTAGCGCCTTATAGGCTAATGATATGATGTGTGAACAAATGGAACAACGGTATAGGTATAATACAACCGCAAAATATGAAGGAATCCTTGGAATATACACGTTTGAAAGTCAAAAAATATTAAAAAAATGTCTAGAATAACGTCCAAAACACATTTCTACACTCATTCATCCTTGATATCGTACTTATCTAGACTGCTTATAGTAATTAGCAATAACAAAAAATGGAAAATACGTTCTGATAACGTATAATTAAAATCGTATTCTTTATAATCAATTATTACGATAAAAAAAACTTCGTTATCTAATGATGACAAAACTCATGATTAACACGTGTATTAGGATTTAAGTTTAAAAAAATCTTCTTTTTCTCATGAAATTTAATAAATTTACTTCTACCTTTACACATTTAAGATTTTCACTTGAATGTTACTCTGTTCCTAAAAATATAAATGATTCCATTTGTCTAATAAAACAAAATAAATAATTGTAATTGTTAATATCGACATCATATTTCATTGTAGTAATATATGAACACTAGCGCCATCTTTAGTGGAAATATCGTAAACGTGGCTTTGTAATTGTAAACACATCAAGTTGGTATATGACATATTTTTTGGTTTTCTTGTCTGTAGAGTAATTTTTGCCAGAATTACTTATTCTATAAAGCTGTGTCAGTAAGCATGTCCATATTTTATTATTAAAATAATTAAAATAATTCTACTATAAGCCTGTCACGGCTAATGATAAAACAGATATATTGGGATTTAAATTCATCAGCTATATTTTCTTCGTGATTTCTATGAATTTACTTAATAATCTATTATTTTTTGTATTATGCTAAACAGCACCGTTTACATATAATATAACAATGGAACACGATTAAGTACATTATTATTTAATTTATAGAAATTCTTTTCGAGTAAAAATAACAGGATTTTTGTCGCACCTACGATGAAAGTTTAAAATAGGAAATTAAAATTTTAAAGTTTACTCATTGTAAACGAATAATAAAAAAATATCAAAACATTTTCCATTATTCAGTTTTTTTATTAAATAAAAACTTTTTAGTTATTGGCCATGATTCAGATTTTTTATTAAATAAAAACTATTTAGTTATTAGCCATTTTCAGATTTTTTTATTAAATAAAATTTATGGAGTTATTGGAGGGTTGAATAATTTAAAAAGAAACATGGTTACTAACAAACATATAGGTACTAGTTAGATAGTCAAATCATGACATGCATGAGCCAAATCTAAGAGGTTTCTGCGCCATATTCCTTAATCACATAATACTTGGGGAATTCACAGATTAAAAGGAAATAATCTTTTTCATTATTGAAAGATAATTATGACGTAAGGATTGATATTTTGTTAATCTTGCTGCGTATCAACGTACATAATCTTAGACTTATATTATTATCGTAATCTTAGTAATTAGTGCTAAGGTAGCGGTTCACTGTATTTGTAAAAAAATAAAATATATATGACCCAATTAAAAAACAATTACGATTTAAAATAGAAAAATAAGTGTTTTGAATGTGTTAATTTACTTCCGTTCCTAAATTCACTTTAAGTAAGTAGTGAATTATGCTATAATAATATAACATTTGACAAAAATCCTGGCCATTTTAAATAATATTATTGATTGGTATTGCCAAACTGAAATAAAAACACATTTTTAAAGATGAAATCATATAAATCTTCAAGTATTATGTAGATATAGTGAAAGACACGATGGCTGTTACTTATACGAACATCCTATGAATATTTAGCATGTCATGTAATTAAAGCTAAGGTATTTGTCAATTCTCGATATCGATAGCGATTTAATTTTGGTAGAGCCACGGTGTTACAGAAAACCGACAAGAAGAAATAACTGCGTTGTTTCATCATACTAGCAATGTTACCGGAGGCCCAATCTTTTTTCTCCTCCATTCTCAATCCATAACAACCCTAAAAAGTCCAGCAATGCACTCATAACACATATACATAACACATAACATCAGCAATAGACGAACGCTACACTAGAGGCTAGTGTAGCGTTCGTCTATTGCCGGCACCGATTGCTAACCATCAGGCAAGACATGTACTCGTTTTCCCATCCCATAAAAAGATACGCAGCAACTTTTACATCCACCACAGCTTGGGCCCAATTGGGCTGATCGTGATGTCCAGCTGATTGATATTGTCGACGATTCCGAGTAACAAGAACTATTAAAAAAATACAAACATTCTTGTTAATCTTTTCTTTGTCATAAATGAGAGTTTAAATTCGAACCAGTTTACACGACAAAAATAATATTTAGAATGTAAACTATTTGAATAAAAATTGGGTAGTGGAGTTTAGTTTTACCTAATTCGAGAAGATGTCTGTCCTATATTTGTTCAACAAGATAAAATCGAAGAAATATTGGAAGTTTTTCCTATACATACTACTCGTATATACGTATATAAGGCTTTTTTATTCTAAAAAGAAGATTTTATTTATCTTATCAACCAAATGGGCCATAGCACTTTGTTCCAAAAATTATTATAGTGATCATTCTAAATTCAAAATATAGCTTTTCACGAATCAAGTTTGTTACGGCAGTACACTAAGTGAACAAAGACCTTTAATTACAGATTATAGGTATTATCTTACAATTACAATTAATACCTTGATAGATTATTATTGGAAAACCCAGTTGGAATATCCCAATTAGCAAAAAAAATAAATTATTCTTATTGGTTGTATACAAATGTATTTCGGAAATACCTTCGAATTTTCCCAAGTATATTGTAGAAGTCATTATAAGGAAAACTTTTATAAAATCTATTTTATGACTCTGAAGGCATATGGCAATATGGCATGATGACAAAATGATTAGTTGAATAAATAACCACAAAGCGTTTTATTGCTCTTATTTATTTAAAACTTAGGACTGAGGTAACTACCGAACTATTGTTCAGATCACCAGATGGTATGCGATCAACGCTTCCCAAAACCACTCGCCCCACCAGTTGCTTATAAATTCCCTGCCAATCTTTTGGCAAGCTCGTTGCCAGCCTTTTTACAGTTGCAGATTAGAAAACTGGCGAGTTCTCTAGAATCCAGGTTGCCAGTTTAGATATGCGAGTATTGACTCCATGGTAACCAGACGCGCAGTCATAGCCCCATGAACTGATCCCGACCAGAATTGCATTATGGTAGACCGGGCTACCAGAGTCACCCTGGCACCGATCACGAGATACACCGTAGGGCCAGCCGAAGCATAGCATGTTGTCAGTCAGATTAGCACCGATGGTAGCATACTTGGCTGCGCAAGTATAGTGACTGATGACCCGACCCTGGAAGTGTCGAAGCTTCTCGCTTGGAGCTGCACCTACCTGTCGGAAACCATAAACTAAGTTGAGGTTCCTCAAATAGGTTAGAATTATAATATATAATAACCTACGTATTTTTAGCTAGTTTTTCCCCAAAACCAGTGGTTCGTAATAGTTTATGTATTAAAAGTTATAATGAGATGTCTATTATTAAAATTGTCTGGCATCTTATGGTTAATTTTTTTTTAAAGTAGCGATGGAGTTTCTTGCTCGTTCTTCTCCATTTGAATCTACAATTTGGAACCGGCACCTATCTTCATTGATAAACAGACTGACAGACTACTATTCTGATGTTTCCAAAGCACCTATTCATGGTTTAGTTGGAATAAATGATTTTTACTTTTGAGTTTTATGACTTGACCAATCGAAGTTCTCAAAAGTTATAACTAACCTAACCTAATCATAACTAACAATTATTAGCATAAAAATTGTCGGTACTTACATGTGAAGATCCCCATCCAGCAGCCCAAACAATTTGACTGACAGGAAGGTTGTATTTCGAGCCAGCAATGAAGACAGGCTTAACAACGTTTCCAATAGTAAAGGCGATATCGACAGTAGGATGTAAGATGGCAATGTCATTGTTCATAGTTTGGATGTTGTAGTTAGGATGGATAGTGAAGGAGTTGAGAGCGTACACAAAACCACCGCTGTTAGCCCAACTCGAACCCACTCGGGCACGCCATTTCTCGGCTGTGTCACCACTGGAGAAATAAAAAATACTTGATGTTATTTAACGCCTTAAATTTCTTCAAAGGTATAAATAACTTCATAATGATTTATCAATTTAACATTACTTAGAAATAAGCCCTAAAAGTCTAAAAATGATTTCAGGTTTTGAAAATGTCAGACCAAATACAATAAGTAAACGCTAAATTTATTTCGAAATCATCATCATCATCAAAATCAGTTTATAACGGTTTCATCATTCACCATTATTAATCACTAAACTTGCTCGAAGCAATTGGTGAAATCATACTTAAAATTTTTAATTTTTGGTCCAGTTTTGATTACGTTTTCTTTTTTATCAATGGTGTCTAAATACACATATAAAGCACGTATAACTTCGAAAAAGTCACATTAGTACTAAACTTGGCAAGTTTCGAACCTTTCTAGGCTACTACGATATGTACCTAAAAAAATACATTCAAATAGTCATTTCGAATCTCAAACATCATACTCAAATTTTTCGAACCACGCCACGCCAATTACCTACTCATACTTAAACACATAGATACTTACAATATACAATGTGCAGCAGTTACTATAGATTTCAGATTAATGATAGTGCCTACACACACTTGGTTGAAGTTGTTCCCATCGCTTGAGTACAACAAACTAGCGATGCTAGGGTACCGAGTGAGGACGGTTTCCGACCCGCCTACTATCCCTGAAACGCTCTCAGGGACTGCTGCAAGAAACAAAATAAAACATTTTAGACTTAAAAACAATGTTGTGTGATTCAGTTTAGTTTGTCATACTCTCTTTAATACAGAAGTATTGATGAAACTCCTTAGATTGTAAACTTCTATAATATTTTGTCTAATAAGAGAGAGCCTTTTTATGTTATATACCTAACTTTTTTATATATATGATAGGACGACCACTGAGCTGCCAGATTACTTGATGGTAAGCAATAAGCACCGCCATTGGACACCCGCAACACCAGAGGAGCTACGAATGCGTTGCCACCTACTGGGGTTAAGGGTTTTGGAGAGTAAAAGATTGGGGGAGGGGAAGGATTGGGCCTGCGGTAACCTCACTCACAAGGCGAAACACAACACTGTGATGGTTTTCCGATTTTTGTGAGGTCGTGGTATCACTCCAGTCGAGCGTACCCATTCGTGCCAAAGCAGCTCTCCCACACTTTACCTTAGAGTCTAGGTTAACGAGTCATGTGCAAAAAGTCAGCTTAAAGTATTAACATAATCTGGGCACCTGCAATGCGTTGGTCATATTCGTAATACATGACTAATACACGTTAATGATAAGAAATACCACTCCTGTGTGAGGGTTACTGATAACTTAAAGACATGGTGTTTTGAAACATGTGACATAAATTATTTATTAATTGACTCCGTTGAGCTGGCTCCATTTCCGTATGTAACAACTCTTAGTATGATCCTCGCACTATTGTTACGGACCCTGGGTTTTTTTGAGAGGGTAGGAAATCGTGCAATGATTTCCACTCTCTACCCTGGCTGGAGCGAGAGGGGGTGTCAGGCTCTTACTGACTAAAAACATCTAACCTACATTATTGCGATTGCATCCACAACAAGAGACACGAAAAATATAAACGCATACAATGTACAGGATAAAATGAGAAAATCCTAGTAAGAGACATGTTTAAAATGGACCAAAAATTGCTAAAGTAATACCGCTCCCAACCACAGACAGTACCTAGAGCAACAAAGAAAAATATTCTTATAAAGTCATATTAAGAAGACTAGCTACTCTCACGCAGTTTCACCCGCTGTTCAGCTCCATTTGATCGTAGCGTGATGTTTTATAGCCCATAGCACTCAGGAACATTGTAGATATCTATCAGCGAAAGAATTGTGGCAATCCTACCAGCGGTTCCAAAGATTACCTCCTACATACAAACTTACAAATTTTACCTCTTTATAATATCAGTACATTACATGCACATGCAAGCGTACATGCTATTTTAAGCTCTTCGTATAACCCTATAACCATAAACAATAAATAACCTAATAATAAAAGACTATAAATAGAGTGGGACAATCCACCTAACAATATTTGTGTAGGTACAAAAATATTCTTGGAAACGGATATCGCAATGTTATCAAAATATAGATTAGAAAGGATTTAAACCTTTATGACCGAGATTTTAAATTAATTGATGACAGTTTTGTGTATGTAAGTATTTATCAGTTTTAGCGATTAAATAGATACTTCTAGATATTTTTACTGGAAATATGTTTTACTATAGTTCTAATAATTGGGAAAAAGTTATTAAGTCCATAGTACATACAACTCCTAAAAGAAGACGTTTAACACATTTTTTTAAAAGCAAAAGCTATCTTAAATTACTTTTATGTAAAGATCAATATAATGTTAATATATGTGTAATGTCATACTAATTGCACATATCATAATATTACATTTTTTTATTTATTAATTAAATGTGTACCTCAAATATGCCTCTGTATACAGAGTAATAAAAAAATAGGTACTAAGTCTCGCATATTAAAAAATAGACAAAAAAACTTGAAACGAGCGAGTTCACTTTCTTGGTTTTAAAGAAACATAAAAAAATAACTTACCATTCACTACAGTCAGGCAAATTGCAACTAACACAAAGGCTGCATGCATGATGATGAATGAGGCATCAACTTGCATTCCCAGCCGCTAATATTAGTTTATACAAAGTGCACTGAATCATAGTTTCCAAAGTACCTATCATAGATAATCTCAATTGTTTCTTTTGTTTCTTAGCATTGTTTTGTTTGCCTCCTTCAATTAGAAAGTTTTATCTTATAACTTGAGAGTTTTCCTTATTTACATGACCGTCTTCATACCTCATAGTTTGTTCGTTGTATCGTAATGGATAAAAAGTTATTTTTATTATAGACTTCTTTCTTTTATTTATTATGATATACTTTAAATTACATAGAACTTCGTGTACTCAGTATCTTAAACACCTAGACTCGAAACAATATATAAATAATACAAAGAATAGTTCCGAAGTCTTTTGCCGGCCACTGCGCCAACCGAGCTGTCATCTTTACAAGTGCTCCCCTTTTTTATAACTGTTCCATTTTATACTTTGAATCGTTAAAGACATATCACACATGTTTATGTTTAGATCTAATGAAAACACAAACTTAAAATATGGTATAATAAAATTAAACAATAAATAAATGGCCAAAATAATCATTTTATTCCTCACAAATTAAACAAAATACTGCAAATTTATTTTTTTGTATGTTGTTGCTTCGCGTGAGAAAACTTGAAATTTCCAGAAACTATACAAAAATATTTTTGCTACAGATCATTATTAGGTCATTAAACTAAGCGTTAGTCTGAATCCATGTAGCCAGTTTGGAAATACGAGTGTTGATTCCAGGGTAAGCAGCATTAGCGCAACCGTAACCCCATGAACTGATCCCGACCAGATTGCCATTATGGTAGATTGGGCCACCAGAGTCACCCTGGCACTGATCGCGAACGCCACCTAAGGGCCAGCCAAAACACAGCATGTTTGCAGTCACATTAGCACCGAAGGTAGCATAACTAGAAGCACAAGTTTTCTGGTTGATGGTCCAACCCTGGATGTGACGGAGCTGCTCACCGGGGGCTACACCAACCTGCCAAGTTAAAATAGATCTTATAATTACATTGGTAACTCTCCAAAACCTAATTTCTGATATTGGTAATTTAAATGGTTAAAGACTACTTTCTGAACGCTTAAAGATAGAATTCATTAGTTATAATCATCATTTTTATAAACCGTAAGACGTTCACTGTTAAACAAAAGCCTCCCTCTTAGTTCTCCACGTCAAACGACAACTCGTCACTTGCATTGGCTCCCCACGAATCCGACGCTGTCGTCAGTTTTATCCAGTGGGAGGCCTGCCCACTCTATTTTCCAAGGTTCACTTAGAACTTTTCGGGGCCCATCGGCCAAGACGGACGTCTTTCAAGTAAAATGACCTGCCCATTGCCTATTCAGCCTGCAAATTTTACGGGCTATGTCGATTACTTTGGTTCTTTGGCAATAATGAATGTACTCATTTCGAATTTTGTCTCACCAGGAAACCCTGAGCATATCTCTGGCTCAATAAATACAATATGATAATTAAATAAAATTTGTTAAAGAATATACTTACGAGTGTAGTCCCCCATCCAGCGGCCCAAACAACCTGATTGTCAGGTAGATTATAATTAATGCCAGCAATTGAGACAGGTTTGGCACTGCTATTTATGATGGCTACGGCAGTGCGTAAGATGGCTATGTCATTGTTCATAGTTCGAAAGCTGAAGCTGGGATGGATGGTACAGGAGTTGATAGCATAGACAGTACCACCACTGTTAGCCAAACTCGATCCAGCTCGGGCTCGCCATTTGTAGACAGCATCACCACTGAAATACAAACATGGTGTTCATTATTTTATATTTTACGTATATTTCTAAAATTTGGATGTGCCGCTAAAAAGAATAATTCGCCATTCAATAGTTGATCTAGTATGGCCGCAGTATTATTCTGGTAGCTTTTTATTTCTGATGCTGTTTCCATTTTATGTAAGTCGCAATCCCGAAGCTAAGCTATCGTTTCAGAAACAACACAGTCCAATCACAATTTCTTCACCATAAAGCTAACGGCCTACATGAGTAATTCAGTCTTTCAATCAAACATGATAATGATATGCTAATTTTAAAGTTGTCTAGAGAAAAAGAGATTTGTGTCCTTCAAAGACCTAAGTATTTTTCTAAACACTGCACTGGCTTATTACGTTATTGGTAATGGTAAATATCATTCTACCATTTTATGGGACGATAATTGGACCCAAAAGTCGAATATAATTTACGTAGAAGCATGGTGATCACTACTATGGCTAATTCCGTAAAGCAAACTGGGTTCTTACATATTAGAACTATCTAAATTATGTAACAATGCATTGTAAAAAGTGATTGAAAATGAGTAACCATGAAGTTTCTTGCTCGTTCTTCTCCATAGGAATCTACACTTTGGAACGAGCAAATAGCTTCACTAGAGGACAGACGGACAGAGTGACACATATAAAGTTAAACCTTATGATATCTTTTTTGCTTGACGTTCAAAAGTGCCTTTTTTGGTCTATTTGAAATAAAGAATTTGATTTGATTTGATTTGATTATGATCAAACTGATATTAAGTAGTATTATTGTTACTTACTATACACAATGTGCAGCAGTTAGAATAGACTTCGTTGTAACAATAGTACCCACACATACTTGGTTGTAGTTGTTCCAATTGCTTGAGTATAACAATCCAACAACGCTAGGGTACTGACTAATGACGGCCAATGACCCGCCAACAATCACTGATTGCTTCGTGGGTACAGCTGCAAGAAACAAACAGGATATAAAACAATTAGAAGAGGTCACGTGGGTAAATCAAATTTTGGTGCAAAATGGCCGGCTCAACCACAGCGATGGTCGCACAGAATGCAAGGTCGTGAAATTGCATTTGCTTTGATATGTGATTCGACGAGTGATTGAGTTTACCGGAGGCCTAACTAATCCTGTTATTTTCATAAAATATTTTTGAGATACAAAAAACTAAAACTTACGAAAACATTACTCGCTTCCTAAAAATGTAAGGATTTAAAAATGTCTTACCTGAAACCGCACTTAGGCCAACAACACAAAGACTGCACGCATGATGACGACTGATGCATCGACTTGCAATCCTAGACACTATCATTATTTTATACTCATTGCACTGAATCATAGTTTCCGATATATCTATGATAGATAATTTCAATTACTTCCCCCTAACATTTCACTTCTTAAGCGACAAACTGGATAGCTTTCCTTATTTACGCGGTCGTCTTCATAAGTATAAAATATTTTTACTAAATACACTAGTAATCTGATATACTATTCTCGCTATAATATATTTTATGGGATAGAATGGCAAACGATTCGGTATGATTCTAGTGGTAAGCAATCGAAGTAGCCCTTAAATGCCTGCAGCACCAGAAGCCCGTTGCCAGCGTTGTGGAAGGGGGAATTGGGACCCCAGTAACCTCATTCGCACGGCAATTAAATATCCGTTTCAATTTAATTTTATAATTTTTCTACATATATCGACTGACCTTTTTTAGCGGCCCATAGGAGAAGGAACGGGATGGTTTTTAGTCAGTAACAATCTGACACTCCTTTTCAATCGATTCTATCAATCAATTGTTTTCTTCGCTCCATTCAGGGGGAAAAGAGACCATCTTCCGACTAACAGTAATTGTATATTTAAGGTATTTGAGACCTCATGTATCTGTGATTTTGTATCTTAAACCATTTTTAGTTAACATTCTTCTGTATCTTTCACCAGATTACAATATAACTTTAAAAGGGTTCTTTTCATACCTTGACAAAACAGAGTGACGACAACAATCTATGAAGATAGCCAGCAATATCGCACACGTGATGGATGGGTTGTCATCAAATTGAAATAAATAAAGTATTTGTTCAAACAAGCAATACTTAGTACCTTCCAATACTTGGTAGATAAAATTTACAAGTAAATACGCAATTATCTTCAAGTCCCTCGATTTGTAATAGATGTTTTCAAATGACAACGACACTTGAACATCAGTACTCAGAAACAAACACTTTACTCAACAATATATTCATGTGTTGATCATCTCCTTCGTCGAATTACTCACTTAACACGTTGAACGCTATTGCAAACAACATGCTGTCGCCAGGCAATGACTTAAAGAGAAGACGTCTTCTCTTTTGAGTTTTCGACGCTAAGAACGCCTATCTTTTGTATCTTTTCTTACGTATTCTTTTTATTTAAATATTTTCCAAAATCTCATTTTACAGCGGTTATACCTTATTAATAACCAATTATAAATTTCTGAAGATAAAATAAAAAAAAAAAAAAATCTTGTAACACCCAATCATCAAACCAAGAACTCTTGTTTTGCATTCAGAGAAAATAATAATTTTCCATTATCCGTGTTTGTTTTACTTAATGTGTATAAAATTAGCAAATAATATATTCCCACGTCAAGTCAGGTAAAACAAATTATTCTGTACTTTGTTAAGAACAAAGGTTTACTACAATAAATAGCAAAACATTAAAGCAAATTGGCTCTTTGTAAATAAATTAAACACTTCGGTTTCGTATAAATCAATCCCAAACAGCTATAAATAAATGATTCAGAGACTTAGTTACTAACTTGTTCAGCCTCATTGCGGGTGATATCGTATTTTATTTCATTACCAGTTACCAGTACCTTTCTAATTATACCTAATTTTAGTAAAAAAATATTTTAAAATGTGTGCTAAAAATGTACAGCTGCTATCCAATATTTGTTCGCTTAGAAAGTGATTTCCATCGAGAAAATTAAAAAATAGCTTATTTAAGATTTTAATCTTTTTTTGTGTATAATAAACAAAGAAAACTCAAAGAATTATCAAAATTTAAATCAAGTTTTGATTTAAATTTTGAGCAATAATTGAGACCAGTAATATATTCATCGTTCATACTTCTACGTTCATGAATATCTCAACTGACTTTTCAATTTTATCAAATATTTTCCAAACACGATCTCAATTCAATAAAACAATAAATGTAAAAAAATCTATTTAATTAACTTTTTAAGCGTTAGCCTGGATCCATGAACTGAAGCGAGAGACACGAGCGTTGACGCCAGGATACTGTGGTTGTGCACAACCAAAGCCCCAGGAACAAACACCAACAACGATGCCATTGTGGTAGAGAGGACCACCAGAGTCACCCTGACACTGGTCGCGACCGCCAACGTCTAGAACTCCAGAGCACAACATGTTGTCGGTGATGGTAGCACCACCTGCGGCATAGCGATCGCGGCAAGCTATTTGGTTCACAGTCCAAATCTGGACGTGGCGAAGTTGTTCGGATGCAGGGCCACCAGACTGCAAAACCGAAAAAAATAATTTAATCCTTCTTTTTGTGTTTTACTGGCTTCCACCCTCGACTTTGCTCGCTTTGCGGATAAAACGTAGCCGATCTATGTACATACCAAATTTAAAAACCAATCCATGATAAGTACGCGAAAGAATAACAAACGTGGTAAACGTACATCCGTACATTCTCCCAAATTTTAGTAGGATAACGTGTCGCGGGTTCGATTCCCGCACGGAACAACACTTTGTGTGATCCACAAATTGTTGTTTCGGGTCTGGGTGTCATGTGTATATGTGACATTGTATGTTTGTAAACGCACCCACAACACAGGAGAAAATGCTAAAGCGGGGCAAAGTTTTTTTAACAAAAAAAAAAGGATTAGAAAAACATCACTGACAATGATGATATAGATTGTTGCTGATTGTTAGATAGATATTAACTATACATAAAAATAAATATATGTTACGAAGTTCTGACTCTTCGCTAGTTCTAGCAACAGAACCAGAATTCTCATGAATGGTATCTAATTTTACTAACAAAGAAATAAGATTTATACAAAGAAATTTTGTTCAAATGAAAATTGTTAATCAAACCGATACTTACAGAAGTGGTTCCCCAACCAGCAGCCCAAACAACCTGATTGTCAGCGAGGTTATAGTTAGGACCGGCGACGGAAGCAGCCTTGACTACACTATTAAAGGAGATTACTTGACTGGTGCGCATGATAGCCACATCGAAATCCATGGACCATGTGTTGTAGTTAGGGTTGATGATGATAGAGTCTAAAGCGTAGACTGTACCGCCACTGTTAGCATAAGAAGATCCAGCACGAACACGCCAGCTTAAGGCGGAATCACGGCTGCAAAGAATATTCCAGATTTATTTTCAATGACATGTTGACTTTATTAAACACTGAATGATATTATGCTTTGGAAGAAAAAGTACGCCCACTTTACACTGGTTATGCTTTTGCTGACTAAAATTCTTCCTGTTTGTTTAAAATTCTTCCTGATCTTTGAGCTTTGACCCGTAAAATATTAAATTTGAAATTAAAATATCTCTAACAAAGACTATTTCTTCAGAAGTATAATCTAGAAATCCGTGAGGCATACATTATTTGATTCTTGTCATACAAATACTTCAAAATTCTATAAAACTTACAATGGGCAATGGGCAGCGGTCAGAATAGCTCTGTTGGTGATGATGGTACCACCACAATTTTGGAAGAAGCTGGTAGCACTCCATGAGAACAGAAGAGACACGATGGTAGGGTACTGGTCGACGGTGGTCAATGAGCCGCCCACAATTCGCTGCGGGAATGCTGGGACCGCTTAACAAAAACAATTACATAAACATTAATAAAATTAATTTCTGTACCATCCTAATAATTATGTGTGACAGTAAAAAATCCGTTACAATTTAAAAACTAACAGTACCTGAATAAGGGTCGGATAGCCATGTTTCGGTACGAATGGGCCTGCTCGATCTGAGTGACAGAAAACCGACACGGAACAACTCTTTCTATGTGGTTCGCCATAAGACTGAAGTTACCGGAGTCCCAATCCCAAAATCTCCCAATTCCCAAAATCGTAACCACTTAAAAAATCGGCAACTACTAATAAGTCCTCTGGTGTTGCGGATGTCCTTTAGACAATCCCGGTTCTTAACCATATCGGCCTGAATGACTAGTCGTTTGGTTGAATGGCTAAATTCCTCAATCAGGCTGTAAGTTGAAGAGTGAAGGGATTGTCATGACAACCGATTTTGTACTAGAGTGATAAGTTAGGTTAGGTTAGAATTGTAAACAAAACAGAAATTGAATGGCCGTCGCAATCAAAAGCCTAGCTGATTTATGAAACGGCTTTTTAACTTGACTAATAAATCTTTGCATCGCCTTTTTTTTGTCAGTCATCTAATGACTTCTCCCGCCCAGGGTAAAGCGAGGGAGAGTGTCAAACTCTTACTGACGAAAAACCGTTTCCTTCTTCTGCTGTGGGCCGAGGTTCCGGTGCCTCATTGCGCTTACCCCGCAACCCCGGCTGAACATCAGCCCTATTGGGCCCCATCTGTGGTGGTCTATTGGCTCTTTAAGGGGCGCGCGTAAAGCTACGCGCCGTACGCTCGGGTCTGGTTCTGGCCGGGCGGCGAGCTACCCTTACTCGCCGTCCGCAGACCCGCTCTTACGGTGGCCGGAGATCATCTCTCGATCTTTGCATCTTTGCATCGCCTGGCATCTAAATTATAGCAAACAGCTTAAGTTCTTGTTTAAAAATTGAATTATCTTTCCAATCATAAAAACGGCCTTAAAATCCATTACACAACATACTGATAAATATATAATAATACATACATATGTATGTAAAAGTAATCTTATCGACATTGGCTACTGTATTTATCCTTATCCTATTATTACCTTGGTGTCGTAAAATTATAGGGCTGTAATAACATTGGATTTTTATTTGATGGTTACTGAGTGACTTATTTTTAGGACAGGGCTGTATATCTGATTATTTTATTACCTATAATTTATTTTGTAAATACACTTTTCACATAAAACCGAGATTAAGTTACGAACGTATAGTTTTGATAAAGATTGGTGCGATCTGCTTCCTAGACAAAGTCTAGATGATCGAAGAAATGAATAGAAGTAAAGGTGTTAATTTTATGTTACTAAAAAAAAACACATACATTGATTTTCCACACTCATTCGATAAGCATGTATATACGAGTGTGGGAGACCGTAGAGGGTATCTTAGGGAATTACTTCATAGGTACGTCTGCACAAAAGGGTGGTCTCAATCGACCTATCACATCTTTAATTGCTTTATTTTTCACGAAATTTTCTAATCATATTCTAATTACAACATTTAAGTAAATCTTCAAAAAAAGATTAATATTTTATAACCTACCTAATTTTCTTTCTCTTCTAGCTAAACCAACAAGATTTTAATATTAGTCGAGCCACTCAATCACGGTAGTCTGCACTTGTTTGATCCCCTCTTGAGGCCCTCAATCTAATTGGTACTTGAGGCTGCAGTATTAAAAATACCACGCCCATTTCTTTGCGAAAATTCAAGGAGAAAAACAAAAAACTAATTAAAAACACACAAATTTTAATAGTCATTGTGTTATACTGAGTATTTGACATTACATCTACTACCTGATAACGCCCAAATTGGTTGGTATTCCCTAGAAATCAAGTACCTATAGAACGTTTGCTTTTTACTATTTCACATCTTAAGTTCATAAAAAACCAAGAAGCATCAGGCGTATCTTTAAAATCATATTATACCTACTTGTATGAATTACAAATTCTAAATTTAAAATTTCTATTGATATATATGATTACCGTTATTTCCGACCCCTTTATCTCTCAAGATTAAGAAGAACTCAATAGCATTATTTTTCACCAATGCGACTTAAAATCAAACGGATGGTAAAAGATTCAAAAATAAAGTTATTTCTTACAAAATAAGGCCTAGAAACGTAACCTCTTTATGCGAGAATACACATGTATAGAACCGAGTCAACGCTTATTTGAATATGAAAAAGGGATAAGCAGAACTTTACTCAGAACTTTATTCGATACTTCTTGGCGTTATTGGTTGCCATATTGTAAACGAAAACTATCTTATTCATGGCCCTTATAATAGTATTGGAAATAGGGATGGGCTTCACACAAAGTTTTATTATGTAGTATGAGTTCACAAATAAATAGATATATATACCAAACAAGATTCTGAATTTTGCGTCAAGTCAAGCTTTTCAATCTTGAACTTTGCAATATTTTTAAATAAGTACCATATTAATTACAATATTTCAAAACCCTAATCGCGAAGTGCTCAAAAAAGTACAAGTAGAACATGTTGCTATTTGAATTTGTCAAGGCAGTAAAGTAACGAATGAAATGATATTAAAATATTTTTTTATCTAAAGAAATACTTTAATTTTTGGAAAGAAAAATATTTTTACAAAGCACCGTAGATATAAGATAAAGAGAAAAAGACGCACCATTAAAAAAAGTTACAAAAATAAAATGCAACAATAGTAAACGCTTTTGTGTGTGTAACAACCAACAAGTTTGGTAGAAACCTCTTCGAGAGAACGATCGCAGAATGTTACGTTTACGGTAAACCTAAACACAAAAGTTTTCAACGACTGCTTCCAATCATTCCTACCAGTAACGATAATATACGAGATGGAAACTCGACATTACAATTGATTCACCAAATTTTAAGTCTCGCAATGAGCTATGAAGATAATTGTTGCTCGACGTTTCTCTAAAGGATCGAACTCACAACTAGGTGATTAGACAGAGAACTGACTTTATCAGTGTACTAAAGCAGCAGTGGACAGGCCACATTTGTCAAAGAGCCGATAACTATTGGAAAAGACAATTTCTGTAGTAAAACCCCAGATCAAACATTGTGTAAGGCGCCAGCCTGGTGGAGTGATCGTATCCAAAAGGTAGGTAGCTGGCAGTATTTGAAGGCGTATAGCTGTAGATTAAGCGCAGTTACGTGCAAATGGAGATGCCTATCTCCAGCAGTTAACGTAAACGATCTGAAGATGATAAACTCTCTTCACTTTTTTATGATAGGACATCAAACGATCAGGCGCATTGACTGTAAGCCTGCAGTGCCGCCCAAGGACACCAGAGGAGTTGGTGCTGATGAGTGCATTACCAGCGTTTTGGGCATTATGGTTTTAGAGATTTAAGGATTGGGAGGGAAAGAAGGATTAACCCTCTGGTAACCTCACTCACACGGCGAAACTCAATGATGTGATTGTTTTACGCTAATTTTCTGCGAGGCCTTTGCATCAGTCTGGTCCCACCCATTCGTACCGAAGCATGGTTCTCCCAAACTTGCAAACTCTCTCTCTCACAAGTCAATATCAAAATAATCTTACTTAGATGAAGCCGGCTTTTGCTAATTAATACTCTTAACTTTGGGAACAAACTCCGAAACAAAATCAAAAGCTTATGTCCAAAAGTGCTGATGATAATCATGACTCAAACTATCAGAGAGTAGAACATACCTGTAACAGCAGCTATACAGCCCAAGAGAGCAATAAAAACACGCATCGTGATTCTTCGTCCACCAACCTTCTAAATAAATTTATAAATAAACTCGTATTTATAGAAAATCTAACACCTGGTACAATTTAACCTTTAAAGTTAAGAGATAAAAATAGAGATAATTAATACTATTGAAGTTAATTGTCCATCCATATCTAACCTTCTCAAATGGTTACAAAATATTCTGAACCCATCGGTTTTATTTTCAGTTTATCATTGTAGATAAACTATTTATTCGACCTTAGTCAGACGATGTTTGACCTAATTGTTTAAAAATAAAGAGAAAATTACAATTTCCTGCTAATATTATAAAAGTGCAAGTTTTGAGAGTGCATGGATGTATATTTGTTAACCTTCACACAAAAACGGCTAAAACTATTTTGTTGAAATTTGGTTTCGAGATAGGCTATACCCTAGATAAACACATAGGCCGCTTTTTATCAACATACCAAGCGGGAGAAGCCAAGTGGAAGCTAGAATCATACTAAACCAATTATTAAGTTTTTTCTTCATTATTTTATTATTACTTCATTGGTAGACGATAAATTATACAAGGCGCTCTAAACATTTATTGTAGGTAAGTAAACGGAGATAAGAAAACCATTCGAATCTATGACATTGAAATTAAATTTAACTTAATTGGAGATCAATGTTATTTATTACTTTCTATCTACACATATTTTTAAATTAAAAAGGTATTTAGAACAGCTTAAGTACGATATTTTGAGTACGGAATATTTAAAACTTCCGTTTTTAATACAAGTCTGACAAGTTACAATGTAACTTTTTCGAGTTATACATTATGTACTTTGAAAGATTATTATTTGTGAGTCTAAATGGTCCATTCTAAGGGAACCTTGTCTAAAATTATCAACCCCCTTGTGCAAACGTCGTACAACAAAAATGTAATATCAAAACTCTGTTTGGGAAGAGGCTCACATTGAACACTTTTAGGCTGATGATGACAATAACAGTGATGACGATTGAGAAGAAAATAACTGGCTGATATTATTTAAAAAGAAACTCATAATTTATAAGTAAACATACGCCTGACAAAAACTGCATACTCATTTGCAAGAATGATAATTTCGATTTTTTAAGTTCTGACTTCAGATTTAAAAACAAATGAATGAACTAACTGACTCTACGAAGACTAAGAGATATATCCGTAATAAATTATCTTCTACTCAATAAGTAACGGTTTACTTTGACAAATTAAAGCGTCGATTGCGAATAATTCAACTCAGAGGGACCAAATAACTTATGTACTACCAAATGGCAGACCTTTTTCGATGCCCACATTAATCTTCGTAAACTTAACATGTCACAATAGAGAAAAAGCCTCCAAATAGAAGGTCGTTCTAGACTTTGTTTTTTTTTGCTACGCACCTAAAATTTACAACGCCTGATTTTTTTTAATCTGTGGAAAATATTTATTCATTACAAGTTTGTGTAATTTTGCTATACTATAATCTATGTATGTAGCCAATCATTGTTATAGTTTACCAGGTAAATATAAAGTAAAACAAAATATCAAATCTTTTATTTGATCAATAGATACATCATTTTATCAAACAATTTGTATTGAAATTTTAAATTTTCGCTTGAGTTTGAATCCAGTTTGTGAATCGAGACACTCTTGAATTAACTCCTGGATACTGAGCTGAAGCACAGCCAACGCCCCACGAACAGACACCAACAACGACGCCATTGTGGTAGAGAGGGCTGCCAGAGTCACCCTGGCACTGGTCACGACCACCAACGTTGAGCCACCCGGAGCATAACATGTTGTCAGTAATGTTCAAGTTTCGGATCGCATATCGAGATTTGCATAATCCTTGGTTTACTGTCCACAGCTGTACATGTCGTAGTTGCTCGGAAGGAAAACCACCAGACTGGAAAATTTAAATCACTCAATTCAATCGATGGATTGTTAAATATCTTCAATAGATGTACTTACATTCCTGGTTAAGTACAGACTTACAAAACCAGAGGAGGTTCTAAATTCGAAATAGATTTTTTTTTGAAAAATCCCATCATCGACCAACATTTGAATTTATGCCAAACAAATAATTGACTATTAGGGGCACGCAAACGCCTGGTAATTCTTTTTAAAGTAGTGTGAGATAGATTTGTCGAATAAATTAATTTCAGCCCCTTTAAGAAATAATAAAGCAAAATGCCATCTAGCGTAAAAAATCACGTCTTAATAAATCGTTAGCAAATTAAAAGTATTTTTTTTAACTCACAGAGGTAGTGCCCCATCCAGCTGCCCACACGACTGCATTATCAGGTAGGTTATAAAAGGACCCAGCTATTGACGCAGGTTGTACTGCATTTCCGTACTCAATGAAGTTAGTAGTTCGTAGGATTGCCACGTCATTGTCAATAATGCGCTGGTTGAAGTTGGGATGGACGAAAATGGCCGAAACCGTGTGTACAATCCCGCCACTATTGGCGAAAGAAGAGCCAACTCGAACACGCCAATTTAATTTTGTATCTCCACTATAAAAAATTTTGGTTGTGTTAAATATATTGACTGACTAACCTACCAAATCGAATGTTTCTCTTTCTTCATCATTATCGTACGAGGAACATTGAAAAACATAGACCTCGCCCAGTGACCTTTTCATAGGCAGATTTTATGATGCCATGTTACAAGTGAAATTCTAAAGTTGGGTAAATATGAGTAAGTAAATGTGGTAGGATTTGTGTATACAACTTAATCTTTAAATAACAATAACTAAATCTATTATAACTATAAATAGGGTATACTCACTAAGGACAATGGGCAGCGGTGAGGATAGATCTCTTGTTAAGAATAGATCCACCACAGGACTGGCTGAAGCTTGTTCCGAAGAAAGAATAAAGCAACGAAGCGATAGTTGGGTACTGCTCAATTGTAGTCAAATTTCCGCCTACAATTCTCATAGGATTAGCAGGAACAGCTAAAACAGAAAAAAAAACGTATTATATTAACATTACCTTTTTATAATGGCAAATTAATGCAGTACGTGGTTTGTTTATGGTCAGACTGTCAACTGTGCTTTTGGGCACAGAAACGGCTGAAAGATCGACTATTCGGAAGAGCTGGTCTTTTCATTAAAGTTCTCTATTATACCAACTCTTGAATTTGGATTTTATATATTATAGTACAGATATCTGTGATTTGTTAATGTTAAATAGAATTTACTACTGGACAGAAAATTGGTTTAGGAAGATGACTAACAGTTATGTTGGTAGCCGGACCGAGCCAGTGCCATGGATGAAATGAAATGTGTGAGTGGCTTTCGTGCTGCCATTGTCGTCGTCCGTTCTGTGCCATTGCGATCAGTAGCAGCGTTGTCACTTATAATGAAGATGTGTTAGAATTTAAACTTTGTTCGCTTTTCAACCCAAGTTAGTCAATCCTTCCTTCGTTCGTTCCATCCTAAATCTCCGAAACCCTAATCTCCAAAATTCCAGCAACGAACTCTATTCTGGTGTTTCGGTTGATCCTAGGCGGCGCCGTTTGCTTACCATCAGGTTACCGCGGTGCCCGTTGAGCGACATGTCAAATAAAAAAGTTACAGGAACCAAGATAATATAATGTTAGTGCGCACATCATATCCAACATTAACCCACTTCTCATACTTGAAATTTTAGGATTTTCTTTAAGTGTTAATTAAATCTCTTTGCTATTATAAACTTTTACGTTCCTACATAAAAGGCGAATGTAATGAAGATTATTGTTTATGGTTAATAAAAAATATTTTATAAACATTTCTCGCGGCTACAATTTTTATAACTTTTATTAGCCTTTTGAGCTCACTTTAATACCGAGTTTTCTTTTGTTACAGGTACCTAAGATTTTCAAGGTTTCTGAAGTTCACTGAATATCCTGCAGCAGTTATGTATGTATTTATGTTCATGACGAAACAATAACTTTAATTCCTGATGACCGTAAAGTTTTTGAAATTCTGGTTGATATCAAATACAAGTCGTCTTATATTAAATCGTGTATTAAATACAAGTTAAATATGTAGTTATATGTCAGTTTTTAGTGCGATATCAGATTTTTTTCAAGAAGAATGATTTTACCTAATGATGTACGAAAAAACGACAATAGTTTTTTGTTGGTATGATTCTTACTCTCCCTTTCACTCGCTTCAGCCAGGGCGGGCAGAATCATTATATCTTATTTCCCAGACAAAAGTGTCTCTTATACCACAGATAAAAGCGTCAACCGTCCTAATATAGATCTGCTTACGAGAATTCTGACATATCTTTATACAAAGTATTCATATGTTGCTAAGACTATTCGTAAGTGGTTATCACTGAGATATCGTTCAATCGTTCAAGTAGACGCACTCCTGAAATTTCACAATACTCTCACAGATTTACGTTTTAGTTAAGGTGGTACCTTGGCTAAAAGATCAATTCAAGGATTTCTTTTCGTATTACTTTTATTCTATTTGTTTTTTTTTTTTGAACGAATTGATCATGTTACAATTCCCACTCCTATGTCTGTGTACGACAGAGAGCATAAAATGTTTATTGGCTAAAAAAACCACCGCGTTCCTTCTCCTGCTATGAGTAGGCTGTGGTACATGATTGCCCTTGCACTTGCACCCTCGCTTGTATATCAGCTCTAGTGGGATCCAAACTGTGTCTGATAACTCATGATCACTCGGTCATGGATTTGGTCTCAGTCATAATAAAGGTATAATTCAAAATTGTAGAACGAAATGTGCACTTATTACAAACTAGCGGCCCACCCCCGCTTCGCACGGGTCTAACTATCTCGCTAACAAAGAAAGGGTCCCTTTTCCCCAATTTTTCCCTCTACTTTTCAAATTTTTTCTTTCATAAAACCCTTCTCCTGACAATAATAAATACAAAACAAAAGGTTTGGCAAAATTGGTCCAGGCGTTTTTGAGTTATGCTCTTACCAACACATTTGGCGATTGATTTTTATATTATAGATGTATCTCAACTAATTATCGAGTCTATACCTAAAGAAAAACAGTACAAATTCAAAATTGTCTACTATGTAATTTTAAATATAAATTTTGAATGACACTTTACTAATACTAATCGAATTTGAACCAAAGAACACGTGTGCATAAGCCGAGGAGGCAATCACAACACAACCCAGCTTATAAAAGATGTAAATGATGCTTTATATAAAAAAAGGGACAGGAAAAAGGGGTTAGTGGTTCGTCCACAAAACGGCACATTAACCCATTTTCCTTTATCGTTTCCTTAGAAATTTTGCTTAAAAACACCCCATTGTATTCGTCTACCTTTATCCTTTATGTTTACTCATTGTAAGCATTTTACTTCACAATCTTACATTATACAGGTAATAGCTTATCTCTATTTTTAAAACGATTTTATTTAATAGACCTTTTATAGAAATTACAAAAATATTTAATTCTTTTATATTAAAATTTGGCGTTATACTATTTAAATTAAATGTCCACGCAATATAATGGTACGATTAACCTGGGCCTCGAGTCTGCTATTACAATAGTGTCAGAATAGTAGATCATTGGTTTCAAAATTGTTGATTTTGACAAGTTTGGTAATCTACTAACACAATAGCGTCATTATGACTTTCCAATGCCACTTCATTGAAATAATTCTTTAGAACGTTAATCTCGTACATAATGACAAATAAATATTTGACATAATGCGGTAAATTAATAAAAAAAGAACAGTTCCTTTATTCAATAATTTACGTTTAGAATATTAATGTGCAGTTATTGTTTATAATTCGTTACGATAAAGCTATTACGACATCGCCGAACGCCAATGAATAGCCATTTTGAATTAACAGATTACGAACTTTTAGCAAAATGACAATGGAATCGTGTAGGAATGACAACACTTTGAAAATAGTAGACTCGGGCGCCTGGTCTAACGATAGAATTGAAAGGTTGCCGACAAAACTAATCAACCTTTGACTACCCAGCAAACACATCGAGTTTGCACTCATTAGATATGCCCATTTCTAATGAGGACGTAATATGGTTACAAGCGTATTTATAGTTTTTTTTTTTTAATTTATTTATAAGAGTAAACGTTTTGAGTATTACTGTCAGTGTGATTACAATTATATTTTTATAAGGCGTCTTAGCACCTGAAAATTTTAAATATGAAACATTACTTTCCTTTCAGTAAGTGGTAGTTACAATATGCGTAAGGTCATCAAAAATCCATTGGATATACGAATGATGACTAGTGTTTTAGTCATTTTATCCTCCACAAACATTTTAATTTTTACCAAACTGAAGTGGCAATTTGCAGGTCACATTTGTCGAAGAATCGATGAGATAGATGGGTGATGATGTATTCTGAAGTTAAGACCACATTTAGGCACAAGTAATGTGTAGGGACTTCCAGCTAGGTGGACTGATGGCTGGCAGTGGCTGGATGAAAATACGCCATTTTTAACTAAAATATAGTCAGCTGTTTATGAAAACCACAAAAAAGATTAAAGCAAGGTTCAGAATAAAACATTATTAAAATACCTGCAGCGGTGGCGAAAAACAACGCTAATACAACCAAACCTGTCATGTTGCACAACTGTAATTAAACTTCATTGTCTTTATTGCATCCATCTCTTATATTACCTTCGAGTTATTGATTCTCTTAAGATATCTAGCTATCAGTCAAAAGGATAAATAACTTCAAACTAATAGAAACCTTCAATATCCAACGCTAAACACTTGACGAGTACTAGATTATATTTGTTTGTATGTCATTAATTATACCTGCACACTTGCTAATTAGTAACAGTCATTTTTACCTACCCAACTCTACCTACCCTAATCTACATACCCTACTTTGATCCTACCCTACTCTATCTACGTTACTCTACCTACCTTACACTACCTACCCTATCTGACCTACCCTACCTACTCTTCCTACGCTTACTATCATTCCGTTTTCTACGCTACCTACCATACTGATCTTACCCTACCTGCTCTACCCTATCTTATCCTATGTCCTTCTCCCAGTTCTTAGCTACCTCCGTACCAAATTTCAGCCCAATAGACACAGCCGTTCTCTAGTTATTAATAATTTACTAACACGACTTTCTTTTATATAAAACAAGATATAGAACAAAAAAAAAATTGTGATGACTACTGTCTTTTGTAAGCATCACGTAAATATATTAGATATATTCTATCATAATTATAATCTCTGAATTAATATAGAATGGAATTAATTCATTACAATCGAAATCTAAAGCGATTAACTTTAATTTAATTATTATTATCATATACATTAAATGTTCCAACATTCAATTACAAAATACCTACAGATTATGAATATCGCAACTGTATCCACGTTAAAATAATTAGTTTATGTTTTTTTTCAATGACAACATGGACTGAATTACTCGGCGAAAGTCTATAATTACGTATGTCATAAATATGGTATCAGATGACGTTCGTTGACTTCTCAGGGGAATGGAATGTAATTAACGCAACGAAATAATTAACGAAGGCCGCGCACTAGGATTACGTGTGTTGTATATGACGCTAAATAAACCCCAAAAAATTTATTTAGACTTTTATTACCATGTTCGCAAGGAATTTGCTTAGGGTCTCATCATTCTCCTGGTCTTTCCCAAAAGACGCCAACAACATAATTTCAGTAAATAACACCTCAACCTACTGAATACTTTATTAGACTTTATTACTAAGTAATAAAGTTGAATATCTAATAAAAAAAACAGATGTAGTAGATTATCCTGCTGCTGGCATCTGTAAAATGATTATGTACCCATACGTTACCAATTATCGACCATAAAAATATCTGCCAAGTAACCTTAGAATGGTCAAGCGTTGGAAATTACTAAACAGTAAGGCATTCGGTTTTCTCAAGTCCTCTTTAACACACTAATTAGATATACTATATATCCTTAGTCCATCAGTCTTACTCGACACGACAGCCCGGATCGACATTAAAAGACGATCCTTCAAAGCCAGATGCGAAAATCCACCTTTTTTGCCTTAAATTTCCACCACGTTGATCATAGATACAAGAGTAAGAATCTGTCGAAACGTCACGCAAAATTCAATTTCATTTTATATACCATTGACAGTCCCTTTGATCTACAGTCGAGCAGACAAGTCCTCGCAAGACAGCCAAAACATATAACTTTGTCATAAGAAAACTATTATAACTTATGTCATTTAAGATTATTTACCATCCCTCAGGCTAGTTATTTGATCTCTATTACAAAGAAGTAACTTTCAAACAAAAAGTACATTCTGATCATATTTTTACCCTTTTCCCTTCAAGTCACAAACGGAACAAAGCAAATAGCGATTACTACAACCGAACGTGAACATAGACTTACATGTCTTAGGTAGACTTATACATATGTACGTGTCATTCGCCCCGATATATTAACTTTACGTGATTTTAATTTTGAAATTCGAAGTTGATTCGACGAGACTGATATTATTTTCAAATCTTTTTTTAATATTAAATTTGATATCGCTATTAATGTCTGCGTCACCGACATTCAAATGTTTAACTTTCATCTTTTTGTATTTGACGCTGTTTTTCATGTTATTTATTTGTTTATACGTTAATTTTGAGAGTTTTTTTGTGAGGGGAAAGTCATCAAATGACTTATCCCGCCCAGAGTTGGGCGGGAGGTAGAGTCAGACTCTTACTTACTTAAAACCTCCCTGTTCCTTCTCCTGCTCTAGGCCGAAGTCGCGATGCCTCATTGCGCTTACCCCGCAACCCCGGCTGCATCCCGCAACCCCGGCTGAATTTTGAGAGATATCAATACAACTTAGACATTTCTATTGATATAGAAAGCAATTTTGTTTAATTGCAAGTAAATTACCTTGACAATAATATCTATAATCTCCGTTTTATTGTAAACCATAAAAAGTTACCAAAACATTAGAAGAAAAATTGTTATAATAAAAATACGTTTTCGTACAATATTCTTGTGAAGTTAGAATAACAAAGAGTATTATAATAAATAAACCAAAGTCATTTAAAGGTAAAAAGTTTTACCTACATATTCAAGTAACACGCCTTAAAATTGGGCATGCGCCTGCCGTCCATTTTATTTCCCCCACACGGCACACATCCGCGCAGAATATTGTGAAAATACACAAGGCGACTTCGTGCAGATATAAATCAATTTGGCAGCGGATAACATTAGTATTCAGTGTGCGTCGAACTTCTCTCTTATCAGAAATTTCACTGACCTTACCTATTATGCCGGAGGATTACAGTAGCCCTTAACTAACGCTATTTGGACATTCAGCCCCTTTGAGGTCACGGCGGCCATTACTTTTTGCCCACCAAAGCTATTGTAAGCCCATTAACACGAGTCACTCATTTAGCCTATTAAGTATTGTTGGTTAATAGTCTAAATGAGAAGCTCTTGGATTACGAGGAACCTTGCAGATTAATTAATTTGTTGCTCGAGGACGAAAATAGGATGCCATAAAATGTTTTACTTTTTTGTTGTTTTATTTTTATACTGCTTTGTTTTTTGAGTGTTTTTTTTTACAAACGCCAGCAACGCAAAACCGAGTATTATTCGGAGGTTATACAATCGCACTCACTCGAGTTGAACTTCCCCGACTAGGGTTCGAACATTTGGTTTTCGGGAAATCGATAGTGGTCAATATCGATTTTGAGAAAAATGCATCAGATGTGAAAAGCAACATAGCATATTCAAAGAGTTTGTTACTTTTGTATTTTATTTGCGTACTACTTTTTTTTTAATAGGGTTGCTGAAACTGGTATAGTTTTGGGATAAATCCAGGTGTAATTACTAAACCAAACATTTATTACCTTTTAGACATTAGATCAACAAGATCCCAGGAGAAACTGGATATTGTGTTATCGGGGCAACATCATACAAGGTAGTGATACTCGAGTTAACCTACTTCATACAACCCCGCTCACTTACGACGCCCCCGGGAAATGATTTAAATATACATAGAAAGAAACTTCGCTTATATTTAAATTGGTCTTTTGAGGCGAAAATTTACTTAGAATTTAGTCTTTTGAGACAGGAAGCTATGGAATATTATCATTTGATTATTGTAAGAATGACGGAGAACATTTTCTATTAATTATTAATTATTTTAAGTTATTGTTTAACTATTATAATAACTGGTATTCTTTAGGTTTCGCAAGTAAAATTCCGTTTTATCTCAAATATGAAACAGAATTATATTGATGTCACAGTCAGTTTTATTTATTCATGTATCTCAACATAATTGAAAACAAAAACGCTTCCCGCTATTTGTTCTTATGTATTCTTACATATTTTAAACTACGTGACAGATTTTGATGCGGTTTTTTAATAGATATAATGATTTAAGAGGAAGGTTTTTTTTAAGGGGTTACAATCGTTAAATGACATCTCTCGTCTTGATAGAGCGAAATAGGAATGTCTCTTCAAGACTAAAAACCACCCCGTTCTTTCTCTTGCTCAAGGCTGATGCCTTGGTACTTTCTTCCAATTGATATGTATAATCGAAAGATCGGCTTATCGTTAAGTGTATAATTAATTAAGGTTTTAGGAAGAAGTCGCGGGCAAGAAGCTAGTAAACTATTGTCCGATTAAATAAGTCTAGGCTGATACGTAATGGTAGCTGTTACTAATAAAAAAAATAAAAAAATCAAACAATATAAAATTCTTTATCATACCTAAGAATCATGTTAGGCACATTTTAGTTAGCCTAAACTTATCGTATTTTTTGTTATCAATATTGCACATGCTGTAAAAACACCTTATCAGCGTCCACTTGTATGCTATAATTTTTAATATCATGTCACATTATGATGTCAAGATTACCATGTTACTCAAGTGGATGCAATCGAGCCTGTTCAATTTTAGGAGTCTACTGAAAACATTCAAATCAAAATCAAATTCTTTATTTCAAGTAGACCACAACAGGCACTTTTGAACGTAAAGCAAAAAAAGATATCTTATGGTTTAACTTTATATGTGTCAATCTGTCCGTCTGTCCTCTAGTGAACCTATTTGCTCGTTCCAAAGTGTAGACTCCCATGGAGAAGAACGAGCAAAAAACTCCATGGTTACTCTTTTTTAATCACTTTTTACAATGCATTGTTACATAATTTAGATAGTTCCATTATGTGAGAACAGCGTAACACTAGTATTTAACCAAAGGATTTTCATCATCATCATTCATCGAGTTTTTCAGTATTAACACAATCAATATATGAAGAAGGCTTGTTAAATACATATTGTCCTTAATAAAAATAGGTCAATCATACTTAATATGTCTCGTTCTTAGCTATCGTATATCCAAATGTTTTTTTAAGAGTTAAATATGACATTTTATTTTTTAAGTTTATATAGACACCAATGACAAATGAAGTGAAGGATAATTTTAACGCCAATCCGCTTTGAAGAGGCCTGGTGATTAATGTATAGATTCTCCATGTGAAAAGAGGCCTTTGCTTAGCAGTAAGGCACTTATAGGTTTGCAAGTATGTGTAGACATATCATGTCCAATTATAATAAAAATGCACACTAGAGCCGGCTTGTCAACGAGTACGTACTACGTATTTAGATAGCCATCAAGTGATATTAATCGACATCGCACTAAACAAACTCGGTCAACGACTGTTAGTCACATGACAGTAGCTTATCACATATCTATGTGTTTTAAATATTGATTACAATATAATTGTATTTAATTTTATTTGCTTTCGAATATCAGAGATGATGACGAAGATGGAGTCAAATAAAAAAGTCGTATTGCTTTATTATACACCTTATGCACCATTATTTAAAGTTTCTAATAAAACTTAATTTAACACTATATGTAGGGCGAGGTGTGACACACACCACACTGTAATTGTTCCGAAAAGTCAAATAAATTCAATTATTATTTCAAAATATCAAAATCCACAATTAGATATTAATAATTTCTTAAACATTTTACTAGATAAATAAATAACATCGAAAATTAAATTAATACTAGTTTGATTACTTTATTCTACCTTGTTGTCGTTCGTCATTTTTGAAATCTTCAAATATTATGAGTAATTGCATTGAAATGTTTGATAGAGAATAAAACTTGAGATCTGTCATAATTTTAAGCCGATAGTATCTGTTATATCTCTGGTGTTTAACAATTTACCATAGATATTTTGGCCGTACATTTGAATACTAGCTCTTTTAGATTAGTAATAAAACTTAATTAGTTTAAGTGTGGGAGTGCCATGCTTCGGCACGAATGGGCCGGCTTGAAACAACCACAGCGTTCTGTTTCGCCGTGTTAGTGAGTTTACCGGAGGCCCAAACCACCCCAAATCCCTCCTCAATCCCTTAATCTCCAAATCCCTAATCCCTAAAAGGTCGGCAACGCACTCGTAACTCCTCCGTTGCGGGTGTCCATGGGCGTCGCTGATTGCTTACCATCAGGTAATCCGTCTGCTCGTTTGCCGACCAATTACATAAAAAAAACATCAAATTAATTGGATTTTCAACCGAGGTAAAATTAAGATCAAATTAGTACAGAGATAATAGCTACATATTTTGCAAGTGCGATATCTGTACTGAAAACTTTTTTTACTTTCTTACTTGTGTACCAAATAACATTAATGGCTATTTGTACTTGTCCACTCACTTTTTCTAAGAAAAACTGTCACATTGGGAAATGCAATAATTTCCTGTACTTTTTATCTGACTGATAAGATTAAAAGATTTTACTGTAATTCCTTTATCACTACAAAAATATGTCTGGAGTTGGTTTGAATTTGCAAATATTTTTATACAGTCTAAGATTAAAATGTGGACTATGTAGCTGAATAATGTATCCAATTGATAATTATTTATTTATTTGTTAAAATAAATGCAGGTTGAATACCTATACGGACGCAATGCCTCAAGCATTTTCGACCAGTCGAGTCTTGATTGGTTGGTGCAAGAAAAAAGAGACTTAATTTTTATATAAGATATACGAAACACATGCATATAATTATATGAGCTAATCAAAATTAAAATCATTTATTCCAAGTAAACCATAAATAGGTACTTTTAAAACGTCATAGCATAATACGTATATTTGAGCAATCCAAACTATTGTTATATATGCGAAAGTAACTCTGTCTGTCTTTTCGTCACGCCGAAACTACTGAACCTATTTGTGTGAAAATTGGTACAGACATAATTTGAAACACAAACAATAGGATAGTTTTTTAAACAAAAACCTGCAGGAAGTCGCTATTGCGCGCGAACAAAGTCGCAGGCAAAAGCTAGTTATTGAAATATACGTAATAAAATTCTTGATGCAGAAACTTGCAGACACTACTAGTTACGTAAGAAACTAACAGCAAATAAAAAACAACGTACAGTGACCATGATAGGTCGCCATAGAGCCGGAAAGCCTTGCAAGCAAGCCTTGGAAAAGCATTAGTTGTCATTTTCATTTAATTACGTTTGCAACGAACGTGTTGGTTCAGGTCCCAAGTCCTATAGCGGATGTATTAAAACTTCCTGGGCCCAAAGCCATACTGTACTACCAGCGCGCTATTCACCCACCACTTGGCGACTTAGCTTTTGTTTGAATAATGGCCAATGATTAGTTTTGAAAGGTTCCTGTTTCGGATCCAGTCGGAGCACCGCCGTATCCTCCAGGGAAGTGATCGGCGGGTTCGAGCTCTCGCGACCTGCTTAAGTTGAGGCCCAGCTGCTTAACGAGAGGAATTGGCAGTCATC